TTCTCAATCGAGTCAAGTATCTCGGAGTTGCTCAGATATATATAACTAGACATGCGCCGACACTTTTTAAAATTTTTTTCAAAACTTTTCTTTAAAATATAAAATTAATTTGTATACTTAGGCCGCGAAGTCATTCTTTAACGTAGGGAAAAGAAGATTGGCGCCGAGGCCGCTTGCGGCCGAGACAAGGCAACTTTGAGGACGTTAAAGAATGACGCGGCCGTGGTATACACAACATTTTTTTTCTATTTCGGTGTCACAATGATGATTTTGTACAACTGTTTTCGGCCGAAAACAGTTGTACAAAGACAGTGATTATAGTCGTTTTTTTTTGGTAACTCATTCTTAAGTTGGCAGTTACTAGTTAGTACAAGTAGGTACTTCATTGGGTACTTCCATGTTTGAACTTCAAAATGTCAGTCTTACTACGCTGCCAACCTAAAACTTAACGGCATAAAAAGTGTTCCCAACATAAAACATGTTAGTTCTAATGTTCCCTATAGTTTCTGATAATGATTTTTTTAATTAAATTAAAGCACCGAAATAGAAAAAATAGTATGAATAACGCGTGTTACAATGCTTTATTGTAATACTCATATCTTGCGGACACTCGTGGCTACGCTTCGCGTCGCCACTCGTGCCACAAGATAGTCGTATTACAATTTAGGTCGCATTGTAACACTTGTCTTTCAATATACTATTGTGCAATTGTGTAGAATCGTCAATAAATAAAAATGAGATTTCAAAAATAATAATTTTCGTCGCAAATAGAAAGACGGCCAGTTTTCATTTTACCATGGAAATGAGATAAACATTTTTCGTGAAAGAAAAGTCAAAATGTGTGCCTCCGAAAGTGATTATTCGATATCCGGAACCTTGTCTGAAAATGTACTATTAGCTTATGGAAAAATCGAAGACCTTAAAAAGTTCAAGCTTATGGAGTGTGTATTCGATGCTAAAGTGCATGCTTAATATAAACGAGTGTATAAAAAAGTGTACCTGTCGGTTTGAGTTCTAATGAAAATCAAAATGTTACAGTTTCAAAGTATAACGCTTCTAACACTTTAGACTTTCTTTCAGGAGTAAGTATAAGTAACAATACGAACTGTACGATTAATATTAACATTTATCCAAAAGATTTGTAATTACCTACATGCTGATTGTCAAAATATATGTGACATTGTTTTACTTTAACGGCCGTCACTATGACAGCGGCCGCGAAAATGAATTTCACTTAAAAACCCACTACTTTGCATTAATTCGTACACAATTTTGCATGGGAGGGACAGTCCAAAATCCAACGAAAATCATATGGGATCTATTGACTCTAGTCGGGTACCATAATGTAGGTAGAAATTACAGAAGAAGAAGTTACAATGAAACCTTTTCATTTAATTAATCTAGATGCCTATAAAGAAGAAGTTATTTGTGTTAGAAGGGAAGTTCGACGTGATAAAAACTTATGGTAAATATGCTGGGATCTGTCAGTATATTTATGAGTGGACTGGATGGTAGATGGTACCTACTCACAGGAACCAAAATTAAAAAAATATGATTTTTCAATCTTAGATGCTTGGAACAACTTCATACAATTATACAAATCTAGTAGCAAAGTAATCACAATCATTTCCTACCGGAAGACTATGATTTTTAGTAACACTATAATTGTTTACGTATAATGCACCAATAACTGCAATTGTAATTTGCCTATTCGTGCAGGTAACAAGCAAAATCACGTTAATCATGTAATCATAGTCTATCGCTTATTACATTTCATTTGCTCATTTTACAAAATCATACCCATTAAAATCCCCAATTGCCATTTATAAAAGAAACAGGGTAGCAAGTCTCCAAATATAATTCATTACGTTAAAAATATTCACGAATGCTCTCTTTTTTATTGGTCTTCCCCGTGCAAAATCGCCATGTTTTTTTATACCTAAAAAAGAATAACTGGGAACACATTTGTTAGAGGCACATCTAGATCTACGAAACGGGTTCTTGAAGCTCCTTCATTATTTAAAAAAATCCGCTTGATAAATGAAAGGCAAAATAAAAGTCGGTTGGCGATACCGAACAGGCTACTCCATGCAAAACCTTGAAATGTAAAAATGGGAATTTAAAAGGAGACCGTCTTCGTATCCTGTTCTACCACTTATACCTTGACAAAACATACAGAAACTTATAAATTGAATTCAGTGCCCCTGGCTTAATCTGCAGGTGTCAAGGATGGATCAGCCACGGTTTATCAGATGTCCCTGTTTAAAAATGAAATTGGTATCGTAGGCATATATTACTACGTAAATCCATACTTTGGCTCCTAATTGTAAGTTCTCCTATCCTACCTCGACTTCCATTTTACCACCATTTTCTCTCCCCCCTCTTTCCCAAATCTCATCTTCGATATCTCGACATTTTAATCCATTCCCTTTTTTCCCAGTATATCCATTCTTCCCATAATTTCCGTCATCTAGTTTTTCTTCTGTTTCCATTATAAGTATGTCATCAACGAAGGACCATATATTCCTTCGTCCCTTCGAATCCTCCACTTGAACCCTATCTTAATCATTTCTTCATATCTGTTATGTAAATAGGTTTGAGCAAAGTGGACATCACTGTCTTGGTCCTTTTATTCTCCAGAACACTTGAATCTCTCCACAGTATGACTCCTTCACTCTGTTCTTTAAATATCTATTTTCCCATCCTCCTCGTATATACAATTGATCGTTCCTCTCCTTCTGAGTCCCATTTGTGTTACCTCTAACCTCCTCTTTTCTTCTCTTTCTACACCGCATTTATTCTGTACGGAGTCGTCATTATCGGGATTCCCCTATAATAATAATCCATACAGCCTGTGTCACCTCATTTGCAAATCGGCACTGATACCACTCCCTTCTGCTCATTCGCTATTCCTCTTCCTTTCCATATCTTGATGAGTTTCCTCAGCTTCTCCTTGATACGACTATCTGTGGCAAAAATCCATACCTCATTTCATATTTCATCCCTCCCTGTCGCTTTCCCTTTCTTCGGCCTCTTTAATTGCTGCTCCTATTTCACTTGATTTTCCCTTGCTTAATCAAGTGCTGGTTCCAATACTCCTTAACCCACTTCTTATCTTTCTTACATTTTCTCTGTTTATCATTTTGCAAAAGTTCTCTGTTTTTATTTCCCCGATTTCTTCTTCGTATTCTTCCTGTTTCTTCGCCTTTCTTTGTCTTTTATGCCTTTTTTTCTGTTCTCTAAACTCCTTGTCCTCTATCTCTCCATTTCTGTTTTCTATCATTGTTCTGTACCTGTTTCTCTCTTCTGTACACTATCTATCCCACTATTCCTTTCTTACATCTCTCCCTTCCACTTTCATTTACCTGTTTCCATGTTATTGCCTTTATAATCATTTCCTTTATATTTTTCCACTACTCCGCCTCTGCACTGTTCTCCCCTATTCCGTCTTTATTTGTTCCACTTTCTCAACAGTGGCGTCTTTTGTTCATATAAGGTCTCCACAAGCGCTTTCTGCAGGTTGTTCTCAAATTTACCTTAGAGCCTTCTCCAATTTGTTTTAAAACCAAGTTGCATAAAATTCTTGCGTCTTCCTAATTCTCTAGAATTCTCAAAAAATTGAGTTATTTGCTGTCATAATTTCAAGACTGGAACGGAACGTTCCTAACCATTCTCGAAGAGATTAAGATGTGCGAAATCGCGCCAGAATCAAAAATCCATTGGTTTTCTAGCGACATCAACTCAGATATAGCACAAAACATGTTTTTGCCGTCAGTTTTCTTCCTGTCGAGCTTCTTCTTAGGACAATTCGACTTGATATGTCCGAATTCAAGACATCTATAACACTTCACAGTTTTCTTGAAGTCACCAGACCTTGCTTTCCCACCAAATGAAGCTGCATGATTGTCAGTGAAGTTTATTTGTATGTACATCCTGAAGTAACCCGGCCATTTTTATACCTAAACTCTCCATGCCCATAATTATTGGTTGATACTTATCTTTGGAAAACCAGCCAACGTTAATATTCCAATCCATTGTTCCTTAAGTTCCAAACCAACACAGCTTGGCTTAGTTACGATTATGTTTACAAATTCCTCCATGTATCATCAATTCTCAAGCTTTGTTGTTATAAGCTTGCGTGGAAGATCAACTTTCATAGTTAATCCAGAATCTTCAAATGTTTTGTGAAGACTTCCTTGGCATCTTTCGCTTGACGAATAATGAGGAATCAAGTAATATAATTAGCTTGGATCTGGCTGCAACAAGTTTCTTTTTGTTTTCCTTCTTGCCTTCAACAGCCTTCCCCAGATCTTCCATCTGGTAGTATGCCTGCACAGCAACTTCCCAACTATCCCAGCTTTCGCGTCTATTTATTCTCTCTATTTGTGGTAAATTAGAAAGAGTCATTCTGGATAGTTTCGCAGTAACTAATTAATTTTTAGTATAAAAGAGCGTAAGCCCATAACCTAATGGTAATTAATAAGTTTATTACCAAAAGAACAATAATAATCATGAAGTGAAGTATCTATTTGACAAAACTGAAAAACTAACTTGATCTAGTTAAAAAGAAACAAAATTCAGTTGCTTTCTTCAACAAATATCCATTATAACCATTGAATAATGGAGGTTTTTATTCAATGTTATAATACAGAAGTAAGAAATCAAGGGCCAAATTTGAATCCATCACTCTTGATATTCGTTTCGCTGTATTTTGAATAAATTTGAGGGCATTAGAGCCCAATTTAGCGAAGGTTAGGTTTAATTCTCATCTATATATTTGTATTGCCGAATGAACAATGGTATTTCGTTAACTTTGTGTGAGTTGTGTGAGTACTGACTACATTTTCCAATTGCCTGTTTTGCTTAGGTCTACACTATCTAGTATTGTCGCTTTTACAGAAATGTTGCTTTGATGTGTTGTTTATTGCCAGATATCGCATAAAAGGCAATTTAGGCATAAACACAATGAATTATCTACCTATTCGGATGAGGAGCGGAAATCTAGTTCTATAAAACTATATAACGTTTGATGGTGCAATTATGTTATGCCAATATTATGGTGGATAGATATAAATATCTAATTATATAATGTGCGTGTTTATTCAGTAAACTGTCCTTGAATACCCTTAAATAACCACATGGGACGTACATAAATCGCTAGATCGAACTTCCGGACGCAATTGGAAGGTTAACTTAGCTGTATCGTATGATAGTCAAAATAAATAGTAGATATGAACAGATTCGGGTGGTAAGCTTCATGTTAAGTGGGACTGTGTTGTTAGAGCGTTTCTTAGTGCTAGGTTCTATTCCAACGTAAGCTACTTCCACCATATAGGAAAGACGCCATTGGAATACATTTCCTTTGGAAAGCTACTGGAACGCACAGCATTGCAGTATCCTGAACGAGACGCCGTGATATCGGTGCAAGAAAACAGAAGAATTACCTATCAGGATCTACTATCACAAGCCGATCGATTTGCAGCAGGCCTACAACAAATTGGCATAAACTATGGTGACCGTGTCGGACTTTGGGCACCCAACATCTTAGAATGGAGTATAATTTGCTTCGCTTGCGCACGGGCAGGATTCGTAGTGGTGCAAATTGCATTGTTCAAAATTAAAAAACTGCCTGACCACATCTCTTTTTAGGTGCCCATTAATACTGGATACGTAAAACAGGAAGTAGAGTATTGCATTAACAAAGTGGGTTTAAAAACCATTATATGCCCAGAAAGATACAACAAACAACACTTCTACGCAACGCTGTGCTCCATTATAAACAACTTAGACAATCAAAAACCTGGAAATTTAAACAATACCAACACCCCGTCCCTTAAAAGCATCATAACTATATCCGAAAACAATCTTGGGTATGCGATATGGTTGACCAAACCACGATCATTCCCTTTTTTTGTAGTGGCTCGTTTAATTATAACGACATCATGGATTTTGCAAATGAAACCTCCATAAGAGAAATTAGAGCGAACCAACAGCATGTTACCCCCGAAAGCCTGGCAAATATTCAGTTCACATCCGTAGGTAAAACATATTAGTCGTCTTCTCGGACTATTTTATTTTAGGGCACCACAGGACAACCGAAAGCAGCAACTGTAACCCACCACAACGTTGTCAATAATTCACTTTCCGTCGGCAAGCGAAATGAACTTGATACGAAACATCACAAAATCTGTGTCCAGGTGCCATTCTTCCACACGTATGGTTACACAATTACAATTGGAGCTGCCGTGAGTTATGGGGCTACAATGGTTGTACCCTCCTCCACATACAATTCGCTACAAAACTTGAGAGCGATCAAACAGGAAAAGTAGGTAGCTACTCACAATCGGATGGTATTAAATGCATCCTTGCAGTTGCACTGTCATTCATGGTACGCCAACAATGTACGTAGATTTAGTGAACGTCCAGCTGCAACACAATGAAAAAATCTTTCCCGAAATAGCGGTTTCGGGGGGAGCACCATGTTCGCCGGAACTGTTTAAGAAAATGAAACGACACCTAAACGTGAAAAAGATGAAGGTAATGCACGTCTCTGAATACTTGGTTTAACAGAGCAGCTTCCAGTCAGTATACGGCTTAACTGAGGTAACAGCGGTCGCCTTTCAATCTACTCCGTTAGATGATGAGGACAAAGTGCTCAACACTGTCGGGCACGTAGGCGACAATTTAGAAGTAAAAGTTGTGGATGAAGAAAATAACGTAGTGCCTTCAGGAACACCCGGCGAGCTATGCGTTCGGGGATACAGTGCCATGGTGGGTTACTGGGAAGACAAGGAGAAAACTGCTGAAATGATCGACGATCGCCGCTGGTTAAAAACGGGGTAAGTAGAAAATGCAATCTCAATTTCCTTACCGATTCTGGACAATCCTAGAGACCAATTCATTCTCGACAAAGACGGCTATGGAAGAATTGTCGGAAGGATAAAGGATATGATAAACCGAGCGGGAGAGAACATATTCCCAAAAGAAATTGAGGATTTACTCTACACGCATCCTGACATATTAGAAGCGCACGTGATTGGTTTGGCACATGAAAGATTAGGCGAAGAGGTTTGCGCTTGTGTTAAAGTGCAAGATGGCGCCGAATTGACACTTGAAGCAATTACAGAGTTTTGTAGAGGGAAATTAGCTAAATTCAAAATTCCCAGTCAACTAAGGATTGTCGATGAATTCCCTAAGACACAATCGGGAAAAATCCAAAAATTCTTGTTAAAGAAACGGTACGAGTCGGTTACATAAACGTACTATCAATTTTTATGAACGTGCATAATTAATTATGCAACGTGGTTTCTTCGGCCACAGGAATTATCACAAATTTTTATTGGTCTTTATAATCCTTTTACTATTGCAATTATATGAACAAGCCTTTTGTATTTATTACTTTCACTTAACGAGTTCCTAAAGCGGGCTCATGACTTTCTGCCCGTCCGTCCGTCCGTCTGTATACATGATAACGCGAACGCTTTCGAATTTTGCAATTCTGTTTTCAGTAGGTATTATGCTTATCATCACCCAAGGAAGAACTGATTAAATTTTCAGTGCCCAGGAGCTAGTTTGCTATTTTTGTTACAAGTTCATTAATACAGCATTCTTTTTTATCAAGGTACAATACTAATTCCCAGCACGCTCAAGCAACAGATTCTAAAAGAAATTCATTCAACCCATATTGGAATAGTTAAGAGAAACAACTTGCCAAAAGATATGTTTATTGGTCAAAAATTGACTCAGAAAATGAAAAATTAGTAAAGAATGTGCTAAGACTCGGCACAATCCGCCAAAAGATCCGATACACCCGTGGAAAGAACCAGAAGGGAACTGGGAAAGCTTTCATATTGACTATTCAGGTCCATTAGATGGATATCATTTTGTTATCCCAGTAGATGCCTCTTTCAAATGGAGAATTTAATTTAAATCGAAAGTTGTGTATTCGCTTAGATGCCATCAAATACAATAGGGAGGAAAACGACAGCTTCATCGCTCACTCGCCAATTTCAAGAAGGAGAAAGAGTCCAAGTACGTGTCCATGTAAATAATAAAGATATATGGACATTTGGCATCAGAGAGGAAACTGGGAAAACGGCACTATATTTTTGTATTATTTATGTCTTACTAACCTATCATAGCACATTTTATATCTGTGATCTGGATTCTGGATTCTGGATTACGATAGGAGGGTGAACAGTGTCCACGCGTACTTAGGCCTCAAATTCGGGCCCTTTGTACTACCTCCCTGACTAGGGTCGCCCGACCCCTCAACATCACTCAAGCCATCCCACACGTGAGATGAACCTTAGGACGCTGGAAGGGGAGGCGGCTCTAATCGTAGCCATGTCCGGCCAGGATTCCCCCAACATGGATCGTCTCAGTTGGACTAGAGCGGGACATTCACAGAGTATGTGGTATGCCGTCTCGTCGTCTGTGTAACATCCTCTACAAGATGGTGATTCCACCAAACCCATGCAGTGCATGTGCTTGTTTAGTTTACAGTGCCCAGAAAGAATGCCCACGAGTAACCTCAGGTTCTTCCTTGATAGCCCATGTACAAAAACGCGCCAAGCTACGAGATGGTCCTCTGAAGGCTTCTCTCGCATGGCGACAATCTAACATCAAGTTCCACCTAGCCCTGTGCTGGGTTTGGGTGTCTTGAGTTATTAGGTTGTTTACAGTTTTAACTGTAAGTGGAAGAGCCGGCTCTGGACCATAAAACGCCTGTTTTGAGGCCAGTCGGGCTAATTTATCGGCTTTCTCATTACCTTCCGTTCCAGCATGCCCTTTGACCCATACGAGCTCAGGGTGTTGCTGCTTGCTACTTGCTCTAGTACGTGGTGACATTCGGAAACCATCCTAGAGGTAATTTTACAGTGACCAAGTGACTGCAAGGCAGCCCTGCTGTCACTTGAGATTCTGATAGTTTTGTTCTTTATGTTATGCATAAGAACTGTTCTTGCACTAAGCGTTAATCCTACCAACTCTGACTGGAATACAGTAGGAAGTTTACCTAGTGGTTGGGTGATATGGAAGTTCAGTTCTTTGGAGTAAATACCAGTGCCTGTACCTTCCATTGTCTTAGATCCATCCGTGAAGATGAATATATCTGGTTGGGATGCCATATTCTCATCAAAGAAGATGTGATAGTTTTTCCCTAATATGAATTGAGGAGTGAGTGAGTCCGATCTCCCCTCTAGGATAGGCAGTCGCTTGATCGCCTCGCCCAGAATTCGGGAGTGGCCCCCCCTCAATGCCTCTGCTATTCAACAACCCCTTATTTTTCAGACGCAGGAATGCCAGAATGGCCTGCTCTCTCACGTGGAGATCTAGTGGAGGCAGATCCAAGAGGGCCTCCATGACGGCTGTGGGGGTCGTTCGCATCGCGCCTGTGCAGGCAAGGCACGCTAGTCTTTGCACATGATTAAGGAGTGCTACAGTTGTGGAGAGTCTGGTTCTAGGCCACCAGACAATTGCTCCATAACAGAACATAGGTCTAATCACGGCAGTGTACAGCCACAGGACAGCCTTCGGGGATGGTCCCCAAAGTTTGCCAATAGCGCGGCGACTTTGCCAGAAAGCCCTATTTGCTTTTTCGGCTTTAAGCTGGATATGTTTGCTCCAATTCAGTTTTTTGTCGAGTGTGATTCCTAGATATTTCACTGACTCTGAAAATTGGAGGTGTTTTTGGAATAGCAGGGGAGCTCGAATACCCTCTACCTTTCTTTTTCTTGTGAAGAGAACTAGCTCCGTTTTTGTCGGGTTGATGGACAAGGAGTGTTCCCTACACCATTCTTCGGTTACTGTAAGAGCTGATTGCATCAGTCTGCATAAAGTAGCCTCAAATTTGCCGGTTATAAGTATGGATATATCATCCGCATACCCCAGCGTATAGTAGCCACTGTCATTAAGGCGACAGAGAAGCCTGTTTACAGTCAAGTTCCACAGAAGTGGTGATAACACCCCACCTTGGGGGCATCCTCTCACTACTGTGCACCTTAGTGTTTCGTCGCCAACGCTGATGTGCACTGCTCTGAGATTCAGCAGCTGCGCAATCCAGCCTCGTACGACGTTCGGTACGCCGTGGTGACGTAGAGCCATTTCTATTGAATCGAAGGTTGTTTTGTCGAAAGCCCCTTCTATATCTATGAATACTCCCAGTGCGGACTCTTTATAGTGCAGCGATCTCTCAATCTGCCCTACAACGCAGTGCAGGGCTGATTCCGTAGATCTTCCTGGGCAGTATGCGTGTTGGTTAGGATGCAGCGGAAACCGTGTTAGCGCCGTATCCCTTATGTATCTATCGCACAGTCTTTCAAGTGTCTTAAGAAGAAAAGACATCAAGCTGATTGGACGATATGCTTTAGGTGTGGAGTAATCACCTTTTCCAGGTTTGGGGATAAAAACAATTTTTATCTCCCTCCATTGTTTAGGTATGTATCTGAAAGCGATACAGCCTGTATATATTCCCACTAGGTAGGTAGCAATAACATCCAGTTCCCATTGCAGGAGAGCCGGTATTATGCCGTCCAAACCGGGTGACTTGTATGCTGAGAACGATTTCACCGCCCAGGTCACCCTCGCCACGTCCACCACCTGACAGGCATATCTGTGATACGCGGGCATAGTACCACTTTATGCCCTAGGGCATTAAGTAGGTATCACCATAGTAACTCATTTATACTTAATGACAAAACAAACAAAAATTTGCAGGTCATTGAAAATTAGAAACGTCAATTATTAATTGTCAATACCTACTAAATCACAAGATTGGCCTTATTTCGTATAGTTTCTGGAACTTCTTGCTCATTCACGATGAATTGAATTATTTAAAATTACGTTTGACGTTTGGATGGTTTCAATCGCATTAACAAATTCGAACTACGCATACTCGATCAAACATAATGAATTATTTTGTAAACGAATTTTGACGAAGAAAACTATTTGTAAAACATAAAATTGTGTATGTACCACGGGCATAAACTGATGTTTATACTCTCGGGCGACTAAAAAGCTCTCGGGCCATAGGCCCTCGAGCTTTTTAACTCGTCGCCCTCGAGAATATAAACATCACTCTTATGCCCTTAATACATAGATAACTATTAATACACACCAAATTCTAAGTATGTGTACCTACAACTATAATATATACTGAGGTCAGAAATGACCCCACCTGGTATTAGGCGTTTGAAAAAGTACCCGCTACTTGGAAGATTAATTCCGAACAGATACACCCTAGAGCACGTCGAATTTATTTATATAAAATTGATTTAAATTTAGTAAGATTAGACATCAGGGCCACGGATAAGCATAAAAAACTATTGTTCCCACGCGATTCAATTATGATTTTCCCAGGCTTCACAATTTGCAACGAAAGTGTGATTGGTGCAATAATTAAAATGCATTACTGGTTTATTGCATTTGTTTGGGCCAACCTTTAAAAGAATAAAATAGCCATATTCCAGCGCACTTTGGGGTAAGTACATTGGTTATTCAATTATTGCTTAAAGTTAGAAGTATAGGTACGTCATCAAGTTTAACACAGTCCATCATTGTGAAACGAAACTAATAAATTTGAAACCCATTTACAGGGAAATTCTCATGACTAAATTAAATCAAAACTTGAATGGAAGTAAGATTATATAAAAAAGTAATTCCTAATGGGTTCCTAGGTAATAAGTTTTTTACAAAATAACACGAGGATTTAGTTAGTTTTACTGCTAACTGTTTTTTCTTTCTTTTCTTACCAACTTCTATAATTTTCTTGTTCCATTTTTATCCTTTTGTTGTATTTATTCGAATTTCAGTAAGAAGTTCAGCTATAAACAAGACTAAGCTCTCATATTCATGTTCTATCATATCCTTTTAGAAATAGCTATATCTCGTAGGTACATGGCACAGTTAATTTAAGAAAATTATTTATTTCGACATCATCCAAAACATTTTGCAACAAAATGTAACTCTTGCAATAAATTCATTTAGAAGAGTTGGGAAACAAATCGTTTTTCTGAGTAGGTAAACTGAAAAAAGTAAAACCCACTCATTGATTTCTATTCAATCTGTTGGAATTCTTCGAGCTCTATTAGAAAAAGGGGCTGTAAACTCCTAAATTAATAGGTAGGTGAAATTTCTGAAAGGTTTCCTAACACACCACGCACCCCACCCTACCAAATACAAAAATCAAGATCCGTTTCCAGACAGTATGTGAAACTACGTTATTTTAAAAAATCAAATTAGCACATGACCTTTGTTAAGTAGCCACCATATTTTAACATCACAGTTATTTATTTATGTTGGTCTTGGGATTGTCAAAACATTTTTACGATTGCGTCTCACACACTTCAATAAAAAGCAAAATGAAAATAGGAGTTAGCCAAGGTTTTCCGTTTTGCACTATCGCCTAAATTACCATACAGTAACCCTCTAGTTATAAGATTACAGGTCTAATGAGGTTGCCAAACAAGTTGTTGTGGTCAAAGAAAATATGAATAGAATCCGGAGGTAAGATTTAATTTTAAGGAAAAACCGTTTTGATTAAGCATTTTCCAGTGCTAGATTTTGTTCCAACCTAAGCTACTTACATCATATAGGAAAAATTCCCCTGGAATACATTCCCTATGGAAAGTTACTGGAACGAACTGCATTGCGGTACCCCGAACGGGCAGCTGTCATATCGCTACAGGACAACAAAAGAATTACATACCAAGATCTGAAAACACAAGCTGATCGTTTTGCTGCAGGGCTTCAGCAAATTGGCATAAACTACGGTGACCGTGTCGGGCTTTGGGCACCCAATACTATAGAATGGAATGTGGTTTCCTTAGCTTGCGCTCGAGGAGGATTCGTAGTGGTGCAAACTCTTTGTTCATAATTGCGTTGATATTTTACGTGTATATTTTTCAGGTGCCCCTCAATCCTGCTTACACAAAACCAGAAATAGAATATTGCATTAACAAAGTGCGTTTGAAAACTATTATCTGCCCAGAGAGATCTAGCAAACAACGCTTTTACGCAACACTGTGCTCCATCATAAACAACTTAGACAATCAAAAACCTGACAATTTGATTAATACCACCACCCCATTCCTCAGTAGCATAATAACAATATCCGAAAACCATCTTGGGTAGGTATGCGCCAACTTACCAAAACTAATAACTTTTAATTTTTTTCGATTATTAGAGGCACATTTAATTATAACGACATTATGGGTTTAGCAAGTGAAACCTCTGTACGAGAAATTAATCAACACCAAGTTAATCCTGAAGGAGTAGCAAATATTCAATTCACATCTGTGGGTGAAAAATTCTAGTTAGGTACCTTTTCAGCGAACTGTATTTTAGGGCACTACCGGAAAACCGAAAGCAGCAATGATCAGTCACTTCAGTATTGTCAACAACTCACTCGCCATTGGTAAGCGAGTTGAACTTGATGAGAAACATCACAAAGTTTGTGTACAAATCCCATTCTTTCACGGATTTGGCTACACAACCTCAATTGGAGCCTCCGTGGCTTATGGGGCCACAATAGTTATACCCTCTCCCACATACAATTCTCTGCAAAATCTGAGAGCGATCAAAGAGGAAAAGTTGGTGGGTATTAGTCAATGCGTTGTGGTAAATTTATGCTTCCAGTTGTACAGTTGTTCAAGGCACACCGACTATGTACATCGATTTAGTCAACGTTCAGATGCAACACAACGAGAAGATCTCTCTCGAAATAGCCATGTGTGGAGGAGCCCCAAGCTCATCAGAACTGTACAAGAAAATGAAACAACACCTAAATGTGAAAAAGATTACGGTATTGCAATTAACTTAACGCTTCCTTTAATTCGGCAGTTTCCAGTCGGTATATGGGTTATCTGAATTGACTTGTGTCGCATTTCAATCTCTGTCTTTAGACGACGAAGATAAAGTACTCAATACTGTCGGGCACGTAGGCGATCATTTAGAAGTAAAAGTTGTTGATGAAAAAAATGAAATAGTGCCTATAGGCACACCGGGCGAGCTATGCGTTCGGGGATACAATACCATGCTCGGTTACTGGGAAGACAAAAAGAAAACTGATGAAGTGATCGATGATGGCGGTTGGTTCAAAACCGGGTAATTGTAGCAAAACAAATCTCAAATTCCATAATTATTTTCTGCAATGGCAGGGATAAGTTTATTCTCGACAAGAACGGCTATGGGATATTTATTGGTAGATTAAAAGATATAATAATTAGAGGTGGAGAGAATATATTCCCGAAGGAGATTGAAGATTTCTTGTATACTCATCCCGACGTACTGGAAATTCACGTGATTGGTTTGGCGCATGAAAGACTGGGCGAAGAAGTTTGTGCTTGCGTTAAGGTGCGCGATGGAGCCGAGTTAACGCTAGACAGAATTCAGGAGTTCTGTGAAGGAGTCTTGTCAAAATACAAAATCCCAACTCAACTAAGGATTGTAGACAAATTCCCTAAAACGCAATCGGGGAAAATCCAAAAGTTTCTATTGAAAAGGCAGTTTGAATCAGATAATTGATCAGTTACTTTTAATAGGTTATACGCAGTGTCCCGCTCGTATTCGAATAAGACTTGGATCTTTGATGTAGAAAGACCGGCTATATTCAACTATCAAGAAAAAGGTGCCAACCTCACTGATTATACAATTATTTGGTTGAGAAAACGTCCACTGCATTGTCGGCCATTTAATGTTTATTGGCTATGTTTAAGTCTCTATAAATTCTATATGTTACCCTTACTCTTGTTAAAATAAACAACACAAACAATTCAATGTCACATAAATCTAACATTATAATAAAAATTTAAAAAAACAATTAAAATGCTCGAAAGTGTTCAAGTCCAAGGTACAATACATTCCGTTGCGCCCGATTTGTAGTGGCAAGTTACGTAAAAAATCAGTTTATTAATCAAAACTGGTCATAACGTTATGCACAAAACGGCTACCGGTAAAAAAAAAGTTAAACGAAATTAATTCAAGCTTCTGCTTGCTGTTAAAATCATAAGTTACAAGGGTACTTTTTGACATTTATACATTGCGGAACATCTGTAATCTATTACTGTGAGTAACTCAACCAATTTAATTAAAGTAAGCGTGAAACACGGTTTCTTCCTGAATCACCCTTCGAAACTCATTTTCAAACAGCGATCCAATTCAACTGGTAAAAAAAGAGGCAATATTAAAAGTGGCTCTAAACAAATCAAGTAGGCGTAAAAACTTTTGAAAAGGATACATTCTGATTCATAACTGTCTCAGAAATCCAAATTGTACACATTTAGCGTCGCCATATTTCTAGTAAAACATTTTTTATAACCAGGCGCGTGTTGTATTCCAGTGGCGTATCATCATTTTTTAAATGGAACGGCCAGGAGAACGCCTCATATTTTATTACTAATTTAGAACGTACTTAAAAAATACTTATTTTTTTATGTAACATGTTATACCCCTAACTTTAACGTTTTCGTCAAAATTTGACAGTTTTTTGAAATTTTTTTGAGAAAAACCAAATCGCGCAGGCTGCTAAGTGTTGGACTGAAGCATAGGTCAGGACCTCTTCCACAGTCACATATATTATGAATTTTATTAGAATTCGGACTCTTACGTGTAGTAATCCTCGATTGCGGGGGTTGTAATTTTTGTAGTACCTACATCAAACATTTGTATTTTGTTAATCGATTATGTATAAATCCCTTCAATTGCACTTTAAAGTTTTTGGATTCTACGCCCCCAAAATTAATAAGAAAAAGTGTTTTCCCGCGAAATTTTGGTGCAGTCGATTTCCTTTTTTTGGAGCCCGAAAAAAAAAATTGTCTCTCATCGACCGGAAAAAAGATTTTCTTATAGAATGTGGATTGTAGAATCCATAATTTCAAACAGTTCCAAGATTGGGCTACTAGTTCAAAAGTTACAGCCCATTGAATTTTCTTTCGAAATTGGTTTCTAGTCTATAACTTTTGATTGAGAAGTCTGATCGAAAAAGTACGAATTGTTTTGGATTCTACGCACCAAAATTAATAAGAAAAAGTGTTTTCCCGAGAAATTTTGGTGCAGTCGATTTTTGGTAAAAAAGGAAGGTTATACACTGCCTTTTTTTGAGGCCCGAAAAAAAAATTGTCTCAGATCGACCCGGAAAAAAATTTTCTTATAGAATGTGGCCTGTAGAATCCATAATTTCAAACAGTTCCAAGATTGGGCTACTAGTTCAAAAGTTACAGCCCTTTGAATTTTCTTTCGAAATTGGTTTCTAGTCTATAACTTTTGTTTGAGAAGTCTAATCGAAAAAGTACGAATTGTTTTGGATTCTACGCCCCAAAATTAATAAGAAAAAGTGTTTTCCGAGAAACTTTGGTGCAGTCGATTTTTCGTAAAAAAGGAAGGTTAAACACTTCCTTTTTTTGGGGCCCGAAAAAAAAATTGTCTCAGATCGACCTGGAAAAAAGATTTTCTTATAGAATGTGACCTGTAGAATCCATAATTTCAAACAGTTCCAAGATTGGGCTACTAGTTCAAAAGTTACAGTCCTTTGAATTTTCTTTCGAAATTTGTTTCTAGTCTATAACTTTTGATTGAGAAGTCTAATCGAAAAAGTACGAATTGTTTTGGATTCTACGCCCCAAAATTAATAAGAAAAGGTGTTTTCCCGAGAAATTTTGGTGCAGTGGATTTTTCGTAAAAAAGAAAGGTTAAACACTTCCTTTTTTTGGAGCAAGAAAAAAAAATTGTCTCAGATCGACCGGGAAAAAAGATTTTATTCAAAGTTCTTTTTGGTTTTAAAATTATGATTTTTATTAGAATTCGGACTCCTACGTGTAGTAATCCTCGATTGTGGGGGTTGTAATTTTTGTAGTACATCAAACATTTGTATTTTGTTAGTCGCTTATGTATAAATGATCCATAAGCAACCCTTCAATGGCTCTTTAAAGTCAAAGTTCCTTTTGGTTTTAAAATTATGAATTTTATTAGAATTCGGACTCTTACGTGTAGTAATCCTCGATTGCGGGGGTTGTAATTTTTGTAGTACACCAAATATTTATATTTCGTTATTCGATTATGTATAAATCATCCATAAGCAACCCTTCAATTGCTCTTTAAAGTCAAAGTTCCTTTTGGTTTTAAAATTACGAATTTTATTATAAAATTCAGACTCACTTATTTCTTTCTACTTCTTTGACATGCTGCATATGTTTTAGTCCATGCAGGGCACTTTTTAAATTGATGCACAATGCGCATGACGATTTTCAAAAGGTCGTGTAGGGAGACTTTATTGTTTTTTTTTAATTTTGAGATTTGTTTGACATTTATTCTCCTCAACAATTTATTTACATGTCAGTAGCAATGCTAAACATAAACGTGCATGATTTGACAACATACTTTATTTAGGTAGCGTCGACAGGTACTTAACTTGATTTATTTTAAAAGGCTCATAGAAAAAGTCACCTACAGATACTTATTAAAAGGAAAGTAGAGTTACACAATAACGTTTAACAAATCCTAATTGGTAATTGCAGATCACATACAATAGTTTAACAGATAAATACAACAGTTGTAAGTACTCATTGATTTCGCAAATGCTTGACAGAATGTAAGTTTTAGTCTGATTTTGCAATAAGGCCATTTTGATTTGGTTGTAACAGCTCTATTATAAGTGCGTCCGTCATTTCCTTGAGAGTATTTTGGATTACCTTGCGGTCTCTAAAAAGTACAATGAACCTCTGGTAAATATCGGGACTCTTACTTTTCCAATGCCGATGCGCACATTTCCATGTAATACTTAATTTTTGGTTCCGTACCGCTAGTTCTTATGGTAGCCACAAGTCCATTGCCAAAATTGAACGTTATCATTTGGTTACTTTTTGACGACGGAAGGATTGCTTTATTATCAGGTTGACTGCTATCAAACCCGGTGGTGAGATCTCTAACGCTGCTGATCGGATATTTATTATTTAACAGTCCCTTTGGGTACTAAAACGCAGTGTTTAGTGAAGAATGGACCAAGCGTGCGCCCTACCGTATTGGGTCCGTCGAAATTCCTCAGTCGCTCAAAAAGGGATTTGATTACGCTGGGTTCGTGACAAATGAAGTAGGAGTTATTCGATACGTGATATCCATACTCATTGTATATTTCCTCCAGCTGTTGACTCAGCGTCAAACTGTGATGGCGGAGGTAGGCGGCCATTGTTCCCAAAACTGCGGCCGCGCTCACTCCGTCTTTGTCCAAAACCGTGCTGCCGCACATAAATCCAATTGCCTCCTCAAATGCGAAGATGATCTTCTTGTTTTCGTTCAAAAGCTCATAGGATTTATTGCCTGTACGTGCAAGAATGACAATACAGTACCGGCGCATCTGTGAAGAGTAGGTACCTACTTACCCATCCACTTAAACCCGGTTAACGTTTCAATGAAGTTGGCACCCTCCGCATTGGCAATTGCTCTCAGAATTTTCGAGCTGACAGTGCTCGACATGACGTAACAGTCGCTCAAGGATTCATTGGGATATCGCGACTGGTAGCAATGTAAGCACCACCACCCTAGCAGTGCGCCCAGCTCATTACCGTTAAAAACCCTCCACTTTCCTGTGCTGGAAAACAACACTTAGTAGTTAAGGAGCTCCAAAAAACATGCGGGTCAACCTTAAGTTCTTTTCGGCAACCGCTAGCCTATCCGCGTCGGGATCGTTCGCCAGAATGATCGTGCTATCATTCAAATTTGCGGTTTTAAACGACAAATCTAAGCTACTCTTTCCTTCTTCTGGGTTTGGAAACCTGCAATGACTCGGTAAAATTTGAAGAATATAGCGCGTGATACGTACTTCACTGTGGAAAACTCGGGATCCGGATCCTTCTGCTCTTCGACCGGTATCAGCTGTAAGTTGACGGCGTTCATCAACTTTACAACGTAATTGTAGCCGACGCCGTGCATTGCCGAGTATGTGAACTTAAGCGCGGTTTTCGCGTTGATCGCTTTGTGCTCGTCCAAAATATCGCCACTCACGATGTCGATGTAGGTTGATTCGGTTTCGGCTAGGGGATCGACATTCTTATCGCTGGTCGAAATTGTCGAGGTGTCCCAAGAGCTCGGCCACGGTTCCAAATTTTGCAAGATGCTCTGTTGTATCTTCTTATCGACCGGGGACGTTATTTGGGAACCGTTATACCCATACACCTGGAAATGGTGGTTGAGAAATGTGCGTAAGATTTGGGGGGGGGGGGGGGGGGATTACCTTGTAACCATTATCTTGCTTGGGATTGTGCGATGCGGTTACCATGATGCCGGCGGCGCACTTCCATTTGGATACGGCGAATGGTACGAAAGGCGTCGGATTGACGGTTGAGAATAGGCGAACGAGATAGCCTTTGTGCAAAAATATGGCGGCGGAGAGTTCGGCAAACCTTTAAATATCAAATATACAATTTAAAATTTTCCATTTGCGCATGGCCCATACCAAATTCATTATAGCTCAAGAAAATTTGGAAAAATCTATTTATAGTTTTAGTATCCACGTATGGAAATATTACACTTTCAGTTTAAGTTACATGGCAGTTTTGCTTTCAGTTTCCATTCCACACGAAAGGTTAGAGCGAGTGAATGAATACAAGTTGTAATTAAACCTAATGAAGGTTAACTAATGGAATCACTGTTAATATTTTTAAATTGGGAAGCAATGTCCTGATGCGCGTAGGTATGTTTTTTTTTAAATATAATATCGTGTCTATTTTCGCTGTTTCGATTTGCAGCATTAGGTATCGACGGCGCATTTAATTCAGATTTGTGCTAAATGCTAAACGATGTGAAACGGCAAGAACTTCATCCTTCATTTCGCGGTAAGTTAACTATTACTAAATGATTTATATTTATTACTGCGCCAGCTGGCCCAAAGTCAAGATCGCGTAATTAAACAGTCATAAAAATGGTGTTACAATTAAATGATGCGGATCCTTCGTAAATTAGTGTTTCATTTATGTCTGCTTCGTTAACATGTTTTTGACCAATGATTAGGTAAGTAGAGAGATTAGCGCAATAATCAAATTGCAAATAGTGATTAGAATAGATAATTACTGCACAAACCATACCTATAATTTGTGTATAATGATCTTACTATTCATTTGTAAGCAAGACCACAGCGCTATTAGTGCATCAAAATGAAGAAGTAAGTGGGGTGAGTATTGAGTAACTCCAAACAAACATCCTTTATTACTTTTTTAACAATCATTGTTTGAAGGATAGTTAGGTACATTTTAATTCAACTATACCCACTAAATAAATTCCCTAAATCGGTAATCTCAAACTAGGAATGAATGTAATACAGTGTCACGGTCTTCCTTCTCATCCCTTCTCACTCTCTGGCATTATATCGTATCGTACAAAATGACGTTTTGAGTTTTGGAATAATGGGACTCAAATTCGATCTTGCAAAATTACAGTGCTTTTTTAGCTTGCTATATCGCCGATCTTTCAGATACTCCTTCGTATTCATTGATGATCCTCCAATGAAGTGCAGAATGTTATTAAATATTCCTTGTTCGGTGGAAGAAGTAAGGGACTTATCAGGTCGGATTCATTATCATTAATTTAGAGACATCCTTGTGTTAATTTAACTTTTAAATTCTTGTATCGTGACTCACGTTCATTTTTCTGTCCGCCTGTCTTTCGGTACATGCTACTGCTATATCCCTAACCAAACGACTTCAAACGTTTTCTCAAATTGGTTAATAATAATGATGTGGAAGCTTGATGGCCTTAAACGGTTAAGCTTGATTGCCTAGTCCGAAGTTACCCAACGATAAATGATTACCTACATACATACATAAATTGCCATACCCGTGTGAAGTTCGCCGCCAGAACAGCCAAAATGCTGGGAACGAATTACCAGTGGTGTCACTTATCGTAAAAAACAAAATTGCACCAAAATTATACCTCCCTTAGGACCAATTAAAGCTATTCAAAAAGAACAACTTACAAACTTACAACGTCAATTGAATTTAGCCTCCCCACACCTCAAATGGTCAAATCTACCCCTAAAGTGGCTGCTATGCGAGAGCGCATGTGCAATCATGTTGTAAAGAAAAACGAAAATTCATTCATTTCATTTCGTGCTCCGCTTCCCATTTTTAATAGATATAACAGATGTCATTGTAAATAATAACTGCAATATATTTGTTTTTTTATAAACTACAGTAGGCGCTCGGTAAACCGGCACCCAAATATTTCGCTTATGCCGAATTGCTGGAATTGCCGGATTAGTGGATTTGCATAGGATTATAAAGCATGTTTGACATCCTACATGGACTATAGATTCCTACAGTCGAAAGCGAAAGGAAAAAGGCGTGTGATCTAGCTGTCAAGGTCAGGGCAGGACCGAACGCGAAAGCACATTTTGTAAAATAAGCTCAACTAATGCCGGATTATAAAGCGGGTTGTGTCGGTCGGCAGAGTCGCTAAATGCCGGACTACTGGGTGTGGCCGACTGTCGAGCGTCGGATTACCGAACGTCTACTGTATATATACTCGTACACATAATTTTTTCCCGCAGAAAGTATTTCTATTCTATTTTTGAAACCAATTAAAGACGAAATTAAAGAAGAAAGAATGAGGTATCATCCAATCACTTTAGAGAAATTGGAGAGGTAGGAGAGTAAGCCGAAGAAGTTAAAATTAGTAAGATAAGAGAAAAAATATTAGAAGAAAAGTTAATCAACGCTCAAGCAGATCTCATATGAGAGCACATCAAGAATTAAATTGGAGACTTAAGAAGAGAGAATAGCCCTGTTGGAGCAAAAAAATTGAAGAAAAAAAAGAAACAACTAGACATGAACAAGAAGTTGGAAGTCAACGAAAACAAATTATTAAGAAAATTAGAAGTATTCAAAGAGAGAAGAGTAATGAATGCTACCGGATTTTTACAGTAGAGGATGATCATAGAGAAGATGAAGATAAATGTTAATTTCTTTTAGGATTTTCTTAGAGTTTCTAATTTTTTAAGACAATTTTTTAGAGAAAGCTCCCTTTTCTTTTGTTGTTGTTTTTCAAATCTCATCAGGTTTTCTTCGCTTTTAAAAACAGTACAGGGGTACTGTGAAGCAAGCTTTTATTTTGGATTTAAGTAATTTCTTTTTCCGCAGAAATACGTAGTTCTGAAGTATCTTCCCAGACAAATATTGTACATTACAATGTGACGAATTCTTTTGGATGATTGGGATCACTGATGTGTTTTCAATGGGCTTTCATTCTTTAATGGGTTTTTGGTGGGCTTGCATCCGTTTTAACAGTTTTAACAGAGTCATCACGAAGCAAAACTATCGCGAATAATGCTGATCGTTTTGTTTTTGAGGTAATTAATAGAAGTTTGGGATTGGCTGAAAGGAAAGCACTAACCAATAGAAAATTTGGACATTTGCCATGTTATTTTAAGTGCCTTACTCCACAGTACGCCTTTTCGCGTCGTCAGAAACCAGACACGTCTCACTATGGTCAAGCCGACGGCACAGACATAAAATACTCAACTCTGATATATTTCAGGTCTTGTCTAGGCTTGACCAGGTTCAAGTCCTTGACGGCGCCCATCGGTACTGACCAAACCGCGCGCCTTGACAGGGCGCAGCAAGATGGGGGAAAAGAGGATGATTTGAGGACCTTAAAAGCACAAACGAGGTTGAAAAGGGGGGTGAAATCTCACTATGATCAAGCAAGCCCCAAAATATATCTTTTTTTACCCTTCGGGGGAAAAACGTTGGGTATTTTTATGTTTTTAGTGCTTTTTAAGGACTACAACAATTTGTTGAATTTAAAAACTCTGATTTTTCACTAGCTACAGGAGCACGTAATCACGTAAAACCTGGTGCAATACAGACTGTAGTTACATTTAAAGAAATTCTTTGTTACAGTAGGTAACTTCTACAGTAAATTGCACTTTCTTTAATCCAGAAAAATGTTGATTATACAATGAAAGGTTTAAAAGTTGTGATTTTAGTGGTTAGTCATGATTTTGTTCTTAAAAAGCGGAATCAGAAACTGCAACAAAAAACAAAAAAATTTTTCTGCTGTAAGTTGGGGTCCACTTTCTTTATAACCATAAGGATAAGTGCCGACACGTGAATATATTTTAAATTAACTGAACTGAACTGAAAATTTTGGGAAATGGTAACCAAAACTTGAATTCATTACAATAGGAGGTTCCCCAAATGTGACTAATTAACGGGTCTTGAAAGTTACGCTGTAGCTTCAGAATTGGAATTTTTGTAAAGTACTAATCAAACATATCAAAGGTTTTTGGTATTTCTATCAATTTTTCATATTGAAAAACAGTTTTCCATCGTTTCAAATCGCCCATTAGTTGATCAAATATGAATAGTACAAAGTGATTTTTTGACCCACTTTGAATTATTACCTACTCGATTGGATTCATCAACAAATTTGTTTATTGCAGTGGAAATATTTGGCTTCCAAACCAAATAATTGTGCAAGAGTTGCGATTATGGAAACGTTAGATACCCTACTCTACTAGATATCGGTTAACAAGATGGTATCGCAAATAAAGTGTCAGGGTCTCGGCCGCTCGTATAAACTATAGATAAAGACGATTGCGTCAACAACATTCACAGTCAATAGAAACTGCAGAGATATGATTAGGTTTTGCGATAAACTTACCTTTTGCTGTTGTAACGGCCATCGTATCCGATAACTATGCCATTCTTTCGAAGCAACTCTAACTGATCACTTCCCTCAAGATACTTCAGCAAACCTTGTGCGGTTTGTACAACGACGAGATCATTCATACAAGTGTAACCAGAAGCCATTTTTCCTCTAAGTCCCGCAGTTCCAAAGGAGATCCTGTTGAGCAAGATCTTCGACAGTTCGTTAAAATTTGCCGTCTCGACGTAAGCTCTAATTTCGGCCGACGTCTTCTCATTTTGATCCCAGGATAACCACTCGCCTATTTTCTTATCCAATTCCACATTGCCAGAATAGGTCATCGTTAAGTACGTGGGTGTCGCTCTGTTGAACAAAACAAATGTCACCGAATCTGTCTAAAGCGCACGAAATTTTGAAAACTGACCAACGGCAATTTAAGCGCGTTATTGCGAGGTTGTTGCCGTACTTAACCGGCGTCGTATAAATACACACGTACTACTTGTACCGCGATCTTATCACATTTTGATAAGAGCAATGGAACCGCTGTCAGACGACTAGCTAAATTTGTGTCAACGTGTGACAAATGCACTTGGTCTAGGGAATTTAACAAAACATGTGGTAAGTGTTTAACATTTAATTGAGCATTGCAACAGCCCATCAAAAATATTGATTTACAAAAATATAAAAAATCAATAAAAAGCGCCAACAACTACTTCAAATTTGTCACACCCAATACACGACAGCAATAATTCAATCAACTTACTTATTTAATTATTAAGTCATAGTCCTAAATATTTATTCTTATTGTTAACATGTTTTGTACAACTTGTTTAAGGTCATGGAGGTAGGAGTTGTGAAAATCGCTGAGGACAGCGACTTCAAAAGGCTTAAAACGCTTATAGATGACAATACAAATTGGAAATTGGATTTCCACAAAGGCGAAGATACGAAGGTATGTTTTTTAAATTAACAGATGTTAGGAACAAGTATTTATTTACGCACGCGCAAATACTATGTCGATCTTATTTCAAAAGCTCCCACGCAGAATCAATATTCCCCAATTACATTTTAACATGCGCGCGCGCGCCCCTGTAAATGGATTTGTTTTTAAATTTGTTTAGTGGCGACCTCTGACGGTTCGCGAAGATGAAAGTGCGATATCTGAATTTAAATTGTTCTTTGTTTAGCCATTGAATATTATAGTTTAATCTGTGATTATAGTTATAAATTCAATGGTTTAGCTTCATGCTACATGTGTAAATTGGTGTAGAACTACGTCAATTTATCATCTTAATGGGGAGGGGTAGGGCTAGGCAACAATTTAGTTTAAATTTCTTTTTATTATAGCTGAATCACAATCTTCGTTTTAAACACTCAAATGCGTGCGAAAAAAGGCCTTTAAACCACACGTGCTTTAAAGTTACTAAGTAGATAATGATACTTCAAGTATGACTTTGGAAACTGTCATCTGGGTGAAATAAAAAATCCTCTTAGGTCGCTTTCTTTTAAAATACAAATTTACAGGGAAGAAAACTAATTTTCAGAAAATCTATATGCGTTGTAATGTTTCATATGTAAGTATTTTGCGTTTTAATTCGTAGATGTTTCAATATTTAGATAAACTTCTTTGGGAATTTGTGACATTGAAATGATTTGAGAGTAACCATGAAAACGCATTTTCTATAACTGTCACAAAATAAAAATGTTAGCGAGTTTGTTGTTTTTTGTTATCGATTTAAAAGAAGTATAATAAAAAATATCGTTCATTACACGTCCAGAAATGCTTTTTCCGTGCTTGCATGACTTCCCGAATTGGCCACGCGCGCACGGAAAAACCTTGCTTTCCGGACTCCTAATGAAATATACTATTATTCACAAAGTCGATGATTGATTTTTATAAGCAAACGTCAAGTGACATTTCCATGGCAATCGTGAAATTACGAACACCCAGCCCACTTAATTAGACATGTATTCGAGTATAACGTCAATATGATTTCATGGTATTTCCTATTTTTAAATTATACTGCAGGTATAATAAAAAATACTATAAGATACACGTGTATAATTAATTGGTCTTTAAAGCACTTGCAAAGTTAAAGGCACTCCGCTTCGCGTCGTGCCATTAAACTCGTTGGGCGCGCTTTAAAGACTTGATTATACACTTGTATCTTAATATACTATTTTCTTTTCAAAAATCTGACCTTTTAATAAACTGATGTTTACTCTCGGGCGACTTTTTAACTCGTCGCCCTCGAGAATATAAACATCACTATTATGCCCTTAATACATAAATAACTATTACCTACTTTTAAGAATATATTTACTTTATTATCTACGTAATATGTATACTGGGAAATTCAGAAGTGAATTTTCCAAATAACAAAAGACATCAATTTCAAAACAGGTATTTAGGTTTAGGTTACGTGACGTTATTGAGCCCCCCAGGTGCGATCATGAAATTGATAAAAATGGCTAGAGGGCACCTTAATTAAGCATTTTCAACAAAAAATTGCAGAAGAAGCCCTAAATTTTCCACAATTTTAATACAAAGTTCACATAATTTCGTCTAAATGTGAGGTTCTCCATATTTCGTGATTACTTTTAAGTTGGTAAGGGTGTGCGTAACATTCCACCTTCAATTTCTTGAGAGGTTATGTTATTTCTCACGATAGTACTGTAGAGTTAGGTATTTCCCAAATTTGTTTATTTGTCGCCCCTAAAAATTTGTCGCTATGAGCCCGGGCCCACATGGCCCCATGCTAAATCCGGCGCTGTATACAGTATGTCCAAAATAAGACTGAACAGCATAGGGAATCAGAAACCATAAAAGAGAATTCCCCGACAATTACAAAGGTCTCGCAACGCTCGTTTATAATTAGATAAATCGCTACATTATGTTTTATGTTTTATCCGATTTTAATTTATTATTAATTTATTCTTTTTTTTATATTTCCTTACCCACGATACAATTTCAAACCTGAACTGTCAGAAACAAGAGAATATCCAAATAAAGCCAGGTCCATTTTAAAAATTTAACTTTAGATATCTACAGAAGATGGGTTCTTACTTTTTTCCTCGATACCGGTCGCAGAAACGAAAAAATTAAAAGCAATCAAAAAGTTTCTAAAGAGGAATATTTCATCAGATAAACTCCCGTCGAGTGAATTCACCTAAAAACTACCATATACCGTGTGTAACCCTCACCTACTAGACTCACCCCGGTAACTTGGTAGAACTGGCGAAATTAATATAAAATTTTGATTACGACTGCCCTTTAATATACAGATTATTCAATCTGATTACTTAGTATTATTGCCTGAGTACCAAGATTAAGGTGCGAAGGCAATTATAAACTTCTCTACCGTGGTATATATACTATTTTTTCACTACTAGACTTTCAAAAACTTTCAAAGAGGAATTTTGAATGGTGGCAATTATTCATTTTAGAGAACATTTATTGAGCAAAATTTCTGGTTGTGATTTGTAAAAGTGACAGCGTGACAGTTCGCGTTATTGACTATTAGTTAATAATGTGGGAAAAAGGTTAATTATCATGTCATCAAACGCTAGTAGTGAAAAAGCACTTTTAACGTGTATAATGTTACATTATTCACGCAAAGCAAGGGTTCTCATTGGCTAATTAGTAAATTGATCATCTAGGAGGACATGATTTGTGATCTGTCTAAATTCAAAATAATTTAGTGGATGGTAATGAGTTAAAACAAATGGAATTTTAATAGTATTTTCCTCCCAATTCTTAAAGCATCAAAAATAGTGCGTTTGGGCCTAAAATCTACATGCATAAGCGCAAATATCAATTTTTCGTAAGCCATATAACTCATTTTTAAACCTTGGAATAAACATAGGCTGCCTTTGATCCTTTCCAACCACTCCCAAAATTTAGTGTCGTCAATGGAAGCAATTGAATTAATTACTGCTAGCAGCAGTAGAATTAGCGTCATCTACGGTGCGTGATAAGGTGCAGAGTTGCGTCCATAAAGAAGATCCACGATTTAGATTCGAAATTGTCGGGACCGTAAGGGTCAGGAGGACTGCTTATCAAAGGGGCTCACCTAATTCTAGACAAATTTAAAAGATTTTTGTGATTACCTATGTGTGTGTGAACAGTACATTGTAACTGCAAGAACAAGAAATCGGAATCTATATTGAAACAGTTCAGAAAATGTTTTTTATACCAGCGGTCATCAAGATTATAGGATTATACAACATACATCATATGGATATGCAACATATGTATTCAACCGCAGATGGCAGCTGACAGGTATCAGAATTTTCCAAGGGGGTTTTTTTGACAAGACAATTATACTAAGGGCCGGTTGCACAAAGGCAGTTTAAACTTCGCTTGGAATTGACCAGTGGATTAAGGTCTAAGATTGGTTGAAATTTGACGTTTTGTCAAATTTCAACTAATCAGGAGCCGATTTGCACAAAGGCAGTTTAAACTCTGACAAAACGTCAAAGGTCAACCAATCTTGGACCTTAATCCACTGAATCCTTAATCCAAAGAAAGGTTCTTATTAACTAGTGCAGTGTCATAAACGATGTAATTCCAACAGCATCCCGAAAGTAAAAGTATCGTGCAATTTCAGGAAGAGGTTTAGTTTTTAAACGATTGCCAAAGTAAAAAGTTCATGGCTTAATATTTGCTATACCTTTTGAGCCAAAATAAGTCTATTCCATTGTTTTATCGAAAAAATTAGCATAATTACTGTGAGTAATTTCAGTTTTTTTGTTTTCTAGGTCTGGACCCAATCATTGCCAGGATGTGATTTTAAAATGGTTAAGATTTACGCAGTATTCCACAACACAACCTCAGACACACTGTTCGACGTCCTACACGATCCCCATTACAGATCGCGCTGGGACATGCACATGATAGAATCCACGGAAATCGGATACCTTAACCCCAACAACGACGTAGGCTACTATTCCAGTAGGTAACGACGCATCGAGCGTGATCCCTAAAATGTCGTTCAATTTCAGTGACGTGTCCCGCCCCACTGAAAAACAGGGATTTCGTCCTTCAACGCTCGTGGCTCGACACCGGCGACGAAAAAATGATTCTCAACCATTCCATCCATCACAAAAGCTACCCGCCGAAGAAGGGGTTCGTCAGGTTTGTTCGTAAATCGAACCGTTGAGTGTGTACTGTTAAAAAACGCTTTAGGGCGCTGTCGCACCTGACAGGCTTTTTAATACGCTCGCTGCCTAACGGATGTGCAATGGGATACATCTCCCAAACGGATCCCAGGGGTAAGCTACAACCGTGGCTCGTCAATAAGACTACGCAGATATTCGCACCGAAGATGATCAAGCATATGAGGAAAGCGGCCGAAGGTTACCCCACGTGGAAAGCGATGCAGATAAACCCCAACTTTAAGCCTTGGACTTATCCAGAGCAAACTTTGGAGTCGACCAGGATAAGCATTGATGACGTAAGCTCGCTTGTAAGCCGTCCATTCTTAATTACCTTATTCTAGTGTATCGATTCGCTCAAAGGCTCATCTAGTTCTCTTACCAAAGATCGTGATGACGACTGAAAACTATTGGCATACCTTCATCACACATTTACATATTTAGATACCAATGGCAGAGAGGTATAAAAGTGCACTTTCATTGTTGCAATTTAGCGTCATACTTACCATTTTCGTCGATCGTTCAGTATTGTTACTACTAGTGTTCCATCAGTATTGCGAATTTAAACGGTAAAAAGTGAGTGAATCTGTAGAAGCTTGCTCAGGAAGAATGACGCATTTAATGGTATTTTAAAGTATTATAGTATTTATATAGACATATTTAAAGTTGTTCAATAAATATTACGGAAGCGTTTCACTTTACCAAGAGATTTCAATGTGGAACAATATTCCAACTGAATGTAAAACAACTGTACAATTTGCAACGAAATTATTTCACGACGAAACTACCTGATTATACACCTCTTGGTGGTTTCTCCATTAAAACTTCCTCGGGAAAACTACTCGCGGAAAATCGTTCAGAAAACAAATTTACTTTTTTACTAAACACTGCTTGGTCTGGTAACGCAGACCCGAATGAATGCAAAATCTTACTATGGACCACCCACTGTTCGCATCGGGGGCTCAAATGCGTATGAATCCAAAATCTCTTATTAATTAATTAGTAAGTAGTAACTAGTACCTTGTTCAAGATGGCTTCTAACCCATTTTTGTTAAGCCAATCAGGGTTGGGATACTTCCCTGAAATGTATACTATCACTCGTTCAACTTTTTGCAATTTTTGCAAATCCCACAATAATTCTCAATTTTAACCGCGTAGCCCTGAATCTAATCCAAACCTCAGACAGACGGGCGACACCAACTTCCAGAACTAGTCCATGCGTATGTATTTACAGTTCACTGGCGACCGCCAATTCCATAAACTACTTAAGGACTTTTACCATTCCAGCAGTCACCCAATTTAATAAAAAAATCGACCTTCTCATTTTTACACCCTGTAGACTTTTTGAGCCTTAGAAAATCCCAAAACTCCCAACTTTACCTATCTATCTACAATCAACCGATGACGAGCCACTTAGGGATAGCGGATGAGGATCTTCCTGGAACAGCCCTCTCTACGTGGTTGATCTTGTGAATAGCGGGAAAGTGAAATTGGTAGATTTTTGAAAATTTGTACTTAGGAGTTACTGTGAAGGCCGAATCGATGTGAAATATTGTCAAAATGGTCCAGAAATACCGAAAGTAGCTAGTAACTTCGTTATTTTAAATAGCAACCCCTATTTTTTGGATTCGACATGAAATTTCACTTCATTTGATCTACCATTTATGGTTTTTAAGTTATTTTGACTTTAAGAACAAAAATGGCGGATGCAGACGGCTACCTTGATAATTTATTACTTGAAAACGGTTGTAGTTATGGTAACCCATTTTTATTACCAGTGCATAGAGAAAGAATAAGGCTTTCTTTTAGTGTACTTAAAAAAAAGTTAAATTGCGTACAACCGCACCTATGAAATGACCATTTTCTTACTATTGCATTAGATAGAGAATCGAAATTGGCATATTTTGATGTTACATGTTCCTATACCCATCTTTAACAGTTTCTAACGTATTCCCATTTCATTGAATTGATACCATTTTTTTCGCATTTTCTTTTTAGAAGGTACCGTCTGCATCCGCTATTTTTTATCTACATGTGAGTATCAAAAGAACTAAAATTTCACGAAGAATCCAAAAATGCAATAAAAAATAGGGCTTGCTAGTTAAAATAACGAAGTTACTAGCTACTTCCGATACTTCCGGAAGTGCGACAATTTTAAAAATAGTTCGATTCGGCCTTCAGAGTAAATCCTACGTACAAATTTTCAAAATCCTACCTATTTCACTTTCCCAGAAACGTTTAACTAAAGCTCCCAAAAAAAAACACCCTGCATAATTGTATACAATATTTCGTGCGCATTCAACCAACACTAAAATTACGCATATAAATTTGTTTACTTAGAATTATTAGTTATATGGTTTATTCAGAGGGGTTTAATTATTTAATTAGTAGGGATATTTTTGTATTTAATTAGGAGTAGGTATGTGGTATTTTAAAGAGACTGTAAGGATTTGGTTCTTTTTGAAATTAGCGTCACTTGTTGTAAGTCCTACAAAGTTGCAAAAGTTTTGAGTATTTTTTATAATTTTGATGGCGAATTGCAAATGACTCATGAAATTATCAATGAAAAAGACATCGGTTGAATTCTGTGCTATTTCTAACCCATTTTTACCTGACCTAGCGCGCAAGTAAAAGTACGAAAACGTAGGTCCCCAAATGTACCTACAACAAAAGAAGACGAAGAAAATTGTGAGAAGATTTTCATCAATAGAACCATGAATCTGAAGCTTATTTGCGTGAGGATTTTCCACTCTGACCCATTTCTAATTTTTAGCGCATTGTTTGCGTTTTGACCGTCCGTCCGAACCCACTTCAGCCGTTTTAAACTACTTCTAGGGGAATGGTCGTAGAGTAGAGCATTGAATTATTTCCTGAGATGCTGTTTTTGATAGTAAAACGTGCACGAGGGGGAGGGGGGGGGTTAAAAATTAATTTTATCTTTCATAGTATTCTAATTCAAGGGCTTTAACGAAAGGAATTAATTTCTACCCACCATAGTCCTCCTCGGCCCCTTATCGTGATTGGATGGATTCCCTTGTATCTCCAGAACGGATTGTCGGAAGAGGGTTCACACCAAAGGCGATTAGGACGTCTAGAAGAAAAATATCCATTGGTGATGCCAAAACTTTAAGAGCGAATATCTCGAAAACGGTTTATCGGAGGAAAGTACTCGTAAAGGCAAAATGAATCGACTGGACGAGACATATCTATTGGTGAAATCGAAGCAAATACCTTGATAACGAAGTGTCAGAAGAGGGTGCTCATACAAGGCAAAGTGGATCGTCAGGTGTCAAGACGAGACATTTTTTGGTGATCTCAAAGCTTTCAGTGCAAATATCTGCAGAATGGAGTGTCGGAGGATTTTGAATGTATGCCATTAACCATCTACCAAGAAAGTAAACATCGATAGCATGCCACACTACCTTATAACCCAACCATTTACTAAGCTATTTCGGTTTTTAAAAAAAATGCGATTTATCTGCACAAGAGTTGTGCACAATTTATACTTGTTTTTAAGTCATAGCAAGAATTAAAATTGTTATTCCGATTGAAGTGATGATGATCGCTCCTGTTTTCTGTAAAGACATGTGGGTCAGGTTTTTTGAGGTTAACGTAATTTAATTGCGCCAGTGGCCTTTAATTGTCTGACAATTTCGTTTGCCGAAGGCAAGAACGACCTTTGGAACGTGACAGATTGCATTATATTATCGTCAGTATAGAAAAAATCCAAATATCTTTATTTCGCAATGAAATTATCATTTCATGCATAGTAAAAATCGTTATCCACGTTGAGTAGCTTGCTCTTCAATTCAAATACATCAGTTTAGTTTTGTGGAAGGACGACACAGCACTTATGTTTAATTCTAGTACTTTCCGTATTTGTATAACTTGAGTTTTTTTTACGCATTCCCTCAAATACTTTTCATACTTCCTTCCATCCCTCACCCAATTGTTAGTGAAGAGAACAAACATACTCCCGACCTCCCAGGATCGTGCACCAAGCTTGCACCCTATAAATCAAATAATCCTTTTCACATAGCGAAAACTGAATACTGTTGCATCATCCTCAGCTCATGATAAACCATAGCCGATGCGAACGAAATAATAAGCATTTTCGAATTAAATAAAAAATAGTGTTATAGAATGGGGAAATTAAAATAAGGAAATGTAAGGTATGGTAGGGATACTACGTGCAGGATAATTACAACGTACGAAAAATGAATCAAATCTAGCAAGCAATTAATCACGTGAAAGAACAGATGAAGAAAATATTTGCAGTATGCAAGATCCCAGTGGACAAAACAAAGAACTACATCAAATTAAAGAAAAAGGAATGATGAAACAAACCGGAGCAAAACCAACAGATGTTAAAAAGACGACATAAGTGAATGATATCATAAACGCCAAGTAGAAAAATTCGTTGAGAAAATAAAAAAGAATATTTTGTAGACAAAGCAAGAAATGAATATGTGGTGGTATTGAAACCCCTGGTAGGACGTGTAGATTTTTAATTTTTTTAAATACTGTTTCTGACCGCACGTACAACAAAAGTACATATTTGTCCCATGGACATAGGTGCGAAAAACGGAACAAAAATGTACGTACACTGGACAATGCGTGCTATATGTGAATAGATACAAAGAGCAAAAAGAAGAAGAGTAAGGTAATCCTGGGATGGCAAAAGCACAAAAACAAAAAGGGCCTAGACATTTTCACAAAATTGCTTCTCTTGGATTTCTGATTTTTCAAAAATAGCGACTATTTAAATTTACTCACCAAAGCTTTCCATACCATTTTCCAAGGTTCTTATCATTTAGAATTTACAAGAAATTAAATCTCGAGAAAAACAATTTACAATGCACACTACCTCAACATATTGCGTTTAGGTCTGAGAAGCTAATTAGCTGTGCTAAATGGACGGTAATGATAATAACATGTATTATCGTCAACTTTTAATTGCGTATCATCTTATTTCACAATAAAATTGTGATTTCACACATAAAAGGTAAAATAACTCTTTTAAACGTTTAAAATGTAGTGTTTATTAATACAGAACTATTGGATTTAGATTTCTTATTTACTGTTTCTTACACGGTTCACATTTTAACGTGATTTCGAAAAAATTCGCATGTACCTTCATGTGCAATCAGCCTTTTTTAAAATTTTCTGATAGGTTATCAGTGCTATAAATCGATGGAAAATATCCAGGAAAATTGTGTATGTTATTCTGTTTAGGAATTATCACATCGTGTTTAGTCAATTAGAGAGCAGATACGTTTTTTGCAATGAAGTATTTACAAATAAACATAAATCGAAATATAATCACTGAGTGCAAATTACTGTGAAAAGAGCAGTTGTTGAGTGAAAATGGACGAACTAAAGGTACCTTTAAATTCGAAGCTGAGCGCTCCAATAGTATACAATGCTAAAAACCAGCGGAAGAAGCAAGCGTTATCCGTTACAGATACAGTTTTGTCTCTGGTTTTGGTGAGCCCACTAACCATTGGATGTTGGAGAGGTACTTGGGAACTGGTAACCTGCTACACCACCTTGTTTCCCGCATGGCTAACCTTCCTATTTGGAAACGTGGCGTATGCAATTTTAATAGTTGGTAAATATGAAATTGGCGAACTAATCACCACCAAATCCACGACACTCGAATTCACCTTGAAGAGACTCCACACGTATGTATTTATGTGGATCGGGATCTGCATTTGGAACCGCGGATGGGAATTGTATAATTTAGCGTGCGAGATTAAAGTGGTAGACATTCAGGAATTGGATGGCAATGATAATCCGTATAGTGTAATTGGATCGTTTGTATTTTTTTATACGTGCCTAGGCTGTTTAAGATCGACAAGGAGCACTTTGAACGTTCCGTTTGTTATGGTGTTGGATACCAAGAGTGCTTATTCCGACTTTCCGACTCGATTCAAGAAAACAGTGAGTAATATTTTGGTCTCATTTCAACTAAAGTTCAGAAAATCACCCCCAGAGAATGAATTTTGTCAAGTTTTTTCACAACGCGGTTTAGGGGTGTAAAATTTTGAAAACGTGCACGCAAAAAACGTATGTTTGATATCGCATTGGCAGTTCTTGGCGGTAGGTCTTATCTTAGACAAAAAGTTTACGGTCTTACTGAACATGATGCAGAAAGATATTCGAAGTGCAGCTGTTTCAATCAAAGGTCGACTTACGTTTTTATTTATGCGGAGGCACTACACACTGTTAACAAGAAGACACCCCAACCTCTGCTGGGCCTTTTTTGAGATTTGGCGTTTGCACCGCCCAATTTACGCAGCTCAGAGGTTTATCTTTGCATCCATGGTAACAACTGTTGCTACAGTCGCTGCTAGGGATTTTAATTTGTGCTTTATGATACCTAATCTTGGCTTAACTTTTACGGCGTATATGAGCAAACATCCCGGATTAAGATTGATCTTGGATCTTACATTTAGGCAAACACTTCTGAGATAGAATCGAATGTATCTGACCGGAGACAAGTTGGTAAGGTCGCGAGTCTGAATCCCTTTAATCCTCGGAAAAAAAAGCAAGACAATTTTGCACAGGTCGGCATTTTATAATGAGCCTCTAAAAATACTCAAAAAAACGACTGGTGTAGCTCGGCCGGCGTACACATTTTTTTGATAGATTTTAACCCCACAAAGTAGTAACAAGACTACACAAAACAATTCGGAAATTTACCAGTTCAGCTCTTCGCCATTTTGCCGTAATTGTCATTTTGAGAATGATCCAATATTTTCTTAGTTAAAGATATACAGAAAAATGTTTAGTCCAAAAGTTTCTTTATAATGACTGTTAATAATCTGCCGTCTTCAAAATAAGTATGCAAGAGAATTTAATATGCTCTTTTTAGACTAAAATATGCGGAGTGTTTCTTTTAAAAAATGAGGTTAGGTCCTCTATGGAAAAGGCTCCCTCCAAGAAAACCGAAAACTGGATCACCTTTAGGGTGATACAGTTGAATCCAAAGTTAGAATAACCCGAAAGTCTGCGCGGAAAGTTTACATCTTGAATAGGAGAACGAATTAACAAATTCGCGGAGAAGCATTACTCGTGGAAAAATTTTCGAGTACCGGTATCTTAACGTGAAAAGGTTAAAGGATAATTGCAAATAATTAACCGCATTGCAAAATAAAAATTACTATAATGTAAATAAACAGTTTATGAGACTGACCTCCGTATAATATTCAGACACTCGCGTAAGTTCATGCCAACTTCATTTAATTGAAGGACCTAATTAATTCACACTACGTATTCAAATCTCTCCCGCTTTCAATCGCATCAAAAGAGGAAAATATTTACAACAATCGATCGTCTACTACATCACCTGTTGAGAGGACACATTTCAATCAAAAATCAAGCATCCCGTTACGATACCAGTGTTCCAAAAAATAGTCAGGCGCCTAAAACTAGAGAAAAACTTTGTATTCCAGCTGAGCCTCGAAAAAGAAAAGGAGCCGAGTCGAGTTTTTAAGATAGAATTGGGGGTTTCTTTAAAAATTTCGTTACAAATCGGGTATGAATCAAGACTATATTGTATGCGATTCTTTGTATTAAGCAAGTTTTTGATTTATTTGGAAGTGAATTTAATTTATGAGGTTTCTAACTGGGTTGAAAAATTAGATTTCAATGTGTAAACGAGGGGTCGTAATTACCCTCATCTTTATTTTAAAACACGGGTAAATTAGATTCAAATGGAGAAACAAGTGGCCACTAGGAAAACACACATTTGTCTCGTTAAACATGGATTTCATTTTTAATCCGGAAGATTGTAAAAGGAGCAGATTTGTTATTGACTCTATATATGTAAATATTTAAGAGAGTCGTATTTATTTACAACAAAGTGTAACGGCTTAGTTACCCTTACAGGGGTTGAAATCTCTACGGCACTGGTAAAAATTTTACTGTAACAATTAATTTTTTGTAACGAAATATATAAATCCACGGCTAGCTCAATAATAAATAAACTTTCAATGACTCTTCCCTTGCGGAAAGTTGGTTCTTTCTTTCCCGCTAAAACCTGAAAATCAAAACCTGGCATAAAATGGCTCGGTTGATGAAAATAATATCGTCCCAACTTTACATTTTTTGTGATTTAAAAATATTGATGTAATTCATGCAACAAATACAAAATCGCAGTTTGCACATCTGATTTTTACAATATGCGATATGCTTATCTGCACTAGAAGCATCTGTGATTAAATTTTCAAAGAAATATCTCTATAAATAAAAAAGATGACATTGAGCATTCATCGTCAAGATTTTTCTTGGTTGAGATGCACGACCACGTCACTTAACTTCCTTAAAATTACGAAGCCCAAACTACTTTGGTTCTTGTCCTTCGTGGAAGTATAACGAACGACAACCAAATGTAAAAATCATACTTGCTTCCCAGAAATACAATGCATTTAGACGTATTCGCAACAAAATTGGTAACACCAATGTTTAAACCCTTACCAAGCGTCACACACATTTTAATCGTAATCGGTCAACGGAAAAAGTGCAGAATTTGCTGCACGAGCCTTTTTGTTCAATAACATTTTAGCTAGAGATCATGCTCGAGACCATGCTAAACAAAGTAGAGTAGTGAGTACGCCCGTAAATTTTACGACAGAGATTTGTTGACGGGCCTGTGGGATTGAGGGGTGGGGAATAGGATATTTATTAATTTTGTAATACATTAGTTCGAGGCTCCACTTGAAGTTTTGCTTTGGTTGTCATCACTTGTTTAATCATCACCTTGTCCAAATCGGATCCAAACTTCACCACAGCTCCCAATTCAAAGTTTTCCCAAGCCGCAACCCCAATGGACACACCATAGGTAATCTCAATAATAGTTACGACCGTACCATTTTACAACTCGCTAACGCCAAATATACCACACAAAGCTGAGGATGTGGTCGTGACAACTAAAGAACCTGGGGGTTGTGGTTAATATGATTATAATGTTGAGTTCCACTGTAAAACAGCTGAGTCAGTTTACAAGTTTATGTACCTCACCCAATTGCGCCGAAGGAGATCCAGAATTTTGCCACCCTACCCCTTGTATCCCATAACCTTCACTTTATCGTATTCTTCAGCGTCACTTCGCTATGACCTTTTTCCTTAAAAAAAACCGACTATGGGTAATGCTCATGGTACCAACCACTCAAAACGACTGGCGTGTATTTTTAGACTTTTGAATGAGTTGCGTTAGCTACTAAAAAGTCGTCGGTCAATATTTTTAAAGCGCTTAGTGAGGACAAATTTGCACTGAGATTTCACTTAACATGTTCACGTAATACGAGCTCATTTGTTTAAAGAAGGATTAGCCCGCTAATACCTTGCAAAGCCCTGAGATGTGTGAATAATTATGACAATAAATCGAAGCCCCTAGTTACAAGATTTGCTTATATAAGGCGAGAATCGGGAGACGCTCTCAAATAGTGACTGAAAATGGACGAGTCTCTAAAGCCCTTGTATAGCGAATTGAAGAGTGTTGCGGGACTGGTGCCCAAAAAACAGGTGTTATCGGTGCTCGATACAGTTATAGCTCTCTATGTTGTGACACCCCTTACGATAGCTCACTGGCGAGGGACTTGGGAGTTAGTGGAACGCAACCGGGGTAGTTTTCCGATTTGGCAAGTTTTCCTCTTTGCCAGCAGTATGTACTTAATTTTTACGGTAGCGCGACAAAGTTTCGAGGATATAGCCGGATGCAGCGGGAAAAATTTGCCGCATAAGGTGATATTGTTCCTGTCGCGGAGATTGTACACTTACGCATTCGCGTGTTGTTCGGTGCTCCACTGGAATTCGGGATTTAACATTTTAGACACTGTGTTTGAAACGTTCCTTGGACGTATGCAGGATAGACCAAGCGAAGTTGCCTATTTCGCGATAGCATGCCATGCCATGTTGCTAATATCAAGATCGTATAGGAACATTCTGACAGTGCCTTTTGTTATTGCTTTAGACACCAAAAGTGGAACGTTCAATTTCCCTACGAGGTTTAACACGAAGGTAAGTTTCGTACCATTTTAAGCATTTTCTGTCGAATTATCAATGCATCCATTTTGCAAACTGACCATTGGCAATTAACGGTGTCACCCACAAGTACGAAGACACGCTTTCTTTAACTTCTCGTGACAAAACGATGTGCTCAAATAGTGTGACAATGCTAGAAAACGACGACAGCATTTATACTTTTAAACTCATTAGCAATATGACGACGGGAATTGTCAGTTGTGCATTAGGTGCGAGAAAAGGGCCAGTGATGAAAATAGTGATTATAATAGCAGGCTCCTTTCTGCTTCTGCTAACGGTAAGCGGTCGTTCAATAATCACATCGAACTAGCAAATGCCTTGCAGATAGTTTATACGACAGTTTACGCTTTGCACAGCGGCGAAACCACCCCCAAAAATCGTACACTTGCAGAGAAATTGGTGTCAATCGAGAAGCAAGTGATCGAAGCTCTACCTGCGCGACCTTTCATCAACGATTTGAGAGGAGACTCGCCCTCCAGCTTTTCCCAAACGACACCAATCTACCCAGAAAATCACAGATATCCGGGCCGACCCAACAACATACTGGACATCATCAACTACATCACCAACACTGCGCACAGACAAAAGCAGCGGATCAAAGAACAGTTCCCTCAAGATCCGTTCTTCGCGTTCAAACCTCAAGATCCGAGCGACATCAATCTTTTGGCGCCGAACAGTTTCCGTTTCGGACCGGCGATCGTCCCGAAACCCGCGAAGAAGGGCGTTAAAGCCGAAGAGAGCGAGATGCGTAACTTTTCGCTGACGTACATGAAACCCCTTAAAGTCACATTAAACATTTATCCCTCGGGCGACAAAAACCTGGGCTTCCAAGGACCTGGTGTAACCCCACGCTACAGGTATCAGCACGATAAACCGGGGAAGATGGTCGTACATATGAATTTATACCCAAAATTAACCGATCGCAACAGACATATATTTCCACATGACGACTACCAACACCCAGCCAATGGTTTTGCTAATATTTTTTAATCAAGTTCAGTTTTAGTGCAGTGAACAATTAAGATGCCACTGATTCGGCCGAAGATGTTTTAGCCTTATATTTAAAGAGTCTATTCGTTGGTCTGCCTTAACTTACTGGTGGAAATGCAGAAATTAAAAAAATGATATTAGATGATCTATTTTTAAAATTTGCCCAAAAGCGTCATCACCAACCGTTTAAACATTAGTTGATTCAAACTAATCCGTTTATTTATTTTACTAAGGTATTTAATTTTCCTCGTTGTGGCTGTTTGAACTGGGATTATCGTAATTGACGGTAATTTGTGAAAGCAAGACGTAAATGAACGTATTTTTAGCGCAAGGCATTAAAGTAATTGCCTTCTTTTCAAAAAAAAAACAGCAAAGAGAAAATAAGCGTGACATGTAAGCACCTGATAAACAAATTATACCTACGGCGTACCTCAAGAATCACACGTAGGTACTCTACTGTTGTCTTAGATATCTCCCATATCAACTACTACCTATTTTTTCTTCGTTTTTTTGAAAATATTAATCTAACGGATTTACTGATAACAGGTAGAGTGTAATCTTCAAATTTATTTGCGTATCACCTATAATTAATTTAATAGTATTATTTACACACTCTACTAACTTAAATGTAATGAACGGCTAGAAATAAATTTTGCATATTTCATGTGGAATTAGCGATAATAAGAACTTTTTGTTGTCTATAAAAAAGTGAGTTAAACTGCACAACATTATTTAGATAAAAGCAGAACCAAATTGGACAGACGATAATTACAAGAAGCCACCTTCTGCTCCAAAATTTTAAGCCTGATTTTAAGTGACAATAGTCCATTTGCAAAACATTTTGAAAATTGTTTCTAAAATCTGACTCATCCGTAACAGGATGAGAAAGCCGCCTACAATATGTGAGCTTGGATCCTAAGATGGTGAAAGTCGAATTGCTAATTTAAACTTTGTTTGGGTGGTGCATTACGAACCCCCTATTAAGTTCAAAATAATGTATAGTGTAGAAAATGCAAATGATTGGGTCAAAAAATTTTACAATGGACAACGCGCTACTTTAAGCTTTTTATACATCCAAAGCAAATTCTGCGTAAAAGCCTCGTCAACAGGACAGTTTAAGTTTATTTGATTTAATTATTTATTTTACCAAGGTGTGTGAAGGCGAGTCGTAAATGTGTGTTTAACGAAAGTCGTTAAAAGGACAAAAACGCGCAAGAAAAAATGAACATGTAAACACAAGATAAACTGTGCGCGTGGTACCTTTGTATTAATTACAAAACCTAGAGCGTGCCTCAAGGATCATACGTTGGGCCACTGTTGTTATCTTAAATCGCAACCCATACTAGTCCGATTTTGTTGTTTTCTTAAGTATTAATCCAACAGCTTTACTGATAACGGGTAGATTGTGGAAGTACTTGCGCATCATTGAAAAACCTATAATTATGGCACCAATTTAATAATATAGGTACTTAGTGATAAGAGTAGTTGCGTAATACACCTTAAGTACACTCTGTTACTAAACTACCCTAACATCATATGGCAAATCGACCTTGACGTAGCACATTTTTTGTTCTGTATAAAAAAGTAAATGGAAGCAACGCATTTGCTAAACATATCCGAAAATATCCTATTCGTCTATTCACTGGATTACTTTTAATGGGAAATTTAAATTAACTAATTAAATTAATGGGTACTTTAAACTCTGAACTTAAAATTTGAAGTTAAATTTAATACTGTAACGTACATTTAATTTGGCGATTTAATTATTTACAATTAATGAATTAGTAACAATCTTGTACACAAATTTATATGGTGTCAATTTATCACATACGAACGTAAACTTCACTAATAATCCCTTCGCACACAAATTTTATTCCCTACGGCACTGGTAAAAATTTTACTGTAATAATTAATTTTTGTAATGAAATAATTAATACCACGGCTAGCTCAGTAATGAATAAATTATCAATGACTCTTGCGAAAGGTTGGTTCTTTATCCCCCTTATATAATCTGAAAATTAAGACAAAGTTTGACACTTCAAACACCATAAAATAGCTTTAAGATTTACGCCCTAAATTTTAGGTGCCACAGTTCAATCATTGGTTGGTCTATGGTGCAATACATGGGCTTCAAACTTCATCAATGCGCTTACTAACGCAAGAAAATGGAAAGCACTGCCCTTATCCTAAAACAAAAAATAAAAGAGGTGTTCACCCCATTGTGAAATGAGTATGTAAAATTATCAAAAATTGAATAAAGCCATGAACTCTATTATCAAAAAAAAAAGCAAAAAAGTAACGGTGCGGTGACCACATCAGTACATATTTCAATTTTTTGCGGCATAAGACCAAATCTTAAACCATTCTTGGAGCGCCCCAGGGTTTCGTAATAGGCTCCCCTTTTTTTGAAAGGAGTACATTTTATAAAATGGTTCACGAATTACCTGGTTATACTTACAAAACATTCAAAAAATGGAAAAATTGGGAAAATATTTACATTTCCACGAGATTAACTCGCTGGGGGATGCAGGAGTCGTTATTTTTCGCAAAAAAATATGGCACAATTAAGCTGACTTTGAACATCGGAACTAAGATCTAACGCTGTCATTCGCACAATAAAAGCATCAAATAATTGAGATTATCACGTGGTGTCCCCTCCAGGTCATACAGGAGAGGGTGTCCATTATTGTTTGTTATTACAACTGTGACTTAGTTTAGGTTGCGACCAAGCGATAGTAATAGCGACCAAAAACCGACAGAATTTTTTTTGCAAAACAAACCATAGCAAAGACGGTTCCCGTTTTCGAGTATGGAAATCGTGACTGAAAGTGCGCCAAGTGGAACGCTAATAGCGCGCAATTATCAAATAAAAGCGTCCACGACCGCTTGAAAATAATGTAAATATAATTATAGTTTTCATTTTCAAATAAATTAAGTACGCGCGACGGCCAAAAAGTAAAAGATGCGGGGTAGTGTCGCCGGCCTGCCGGACTTTTCAGTTAAGGGCGCGAACCCTACGCATTACGCGCTGCTGGTGGTACTGGACACGCTTTTTTCGGCGATTGTGATAAGTCCCGCGGTGGTTGGGTACTGGAGAAGTATATGGGAGTTGATGGAACTATACGTTTATCCCCAAAATTCTGTAATAAGTGCGATTATATCGACTGCCATCGGAATCGTTGGACATTTAGTTTTGACCGTCTGCCAGCACGGTTTTTCGAAACACTTCCACCCCGACACTAGTAGAATTTTGTATTATGCGTTTTCGCGTTTGTATACAGTGTGTTTTGCTTTTATATGCGTTAATGGATGGAGAGGACCGTGGTTACTTTTAGATCTCTACACGGAAATGGAATTAACGACAATTGTTTTGACCACATGCATCGGTGTTGTTGCACTTACGGCGCTGAGGGCGTTAAGAAACATTTCTGCAACTCCGTTTTCTATTGTCACCGATCAAGTTAAAGGATACTTCGAGGTTGTTACAATGTTCAGAGTGTCGGTAAGTCCAATTCCTGGTTCCTACTTATCCCAAATCACCGAACCAGAGAATTTCTCCAAAAGCAACTATAATGTAGAAAGACTGCATTCTTATTCCCACTTTCTTCAACAAAATTGTTGAATTAAAATTCCAAAAATGAGTTATTGAGTAATTGTTATTAATACGAGGGCATAAATATAGGCAATGGACCTATGACTATGATTTATACTCAGTAACTTCGTGATGAAGAAAACTTTGTCATTCTGACAGCTTATAAAAATTATGAATTTCGTTTGCGTAAGTATAAGAAACTGCTCATAAATAAAGACGAACGGAAACTACTATTTTTATGTAACTGCAAATAAATAATAGTGTGTTATATTCCAAGGTAGCATTATTTCAATGTAGGTATAAGGCGTAAACTTTGCTTTGTTAAAAGTCAAAGCTTTTTAGGTTGAGGTTTTTGCAAGTTTGAACCCTAAGATTTTGGAATTCAAGAGTAAAGTTTGTAGTCTGAACTTTACACTTTAAAACAGAGCTGGGCAGAATACTTTCAAAAAGTATTTGAATACTAAATAGTAAATACTTTACCCTAATCAAAGGTATTTGAATACTAAATACTTTTACTTCCAGCACAAGCGAATACTAGATACAGATACATTGAAAAGTATTCAAATACATAAAAAATGAGTATTCAAATACTTTAGAATGTATTCGAATACTTTCATAAGTATTCGAATACTTTCAAAAGTATTCTAATAATATCAAAGGTATTCGAATACTATAAAAAGTATTCGAATACTTTGAAAAGTATTTCATTAACTTACTTTGAAAAGTATTCGAATACTCTGTCACTCAAATACATTAAAAATTTAAAATAGTACCTATACTGGATAAAAGTCTTAATACTACTTAAAAAATCAAGTTATACTTTGATTGGGGTTAGCTTTTTTTATATTTCTATTGTTATATTCAAATTTAAGGGGAGTATAAGCGTAATATTATTATTATATTATTATATAGGAGGTACCTACCAGGACGTTTCTTATACCAGTTATATCCTTAAGAATACGTGTACCAGTTTTCAAAGCGATCGTACGTCGTGCACATGATACATACGCCTTTCCGAAATTAATCCTAGCGATTTTGGAACAGATCCATTTTTGACCATCCTTTTGTCCGTGTGCATGATAGTTTGTTTAGAAACGTGCCATCGCTTTGAAAATTGGTACACAATGGTCTTAAGGATATAAGAAAGGTCCCTATTGTTTTTAAGTTACGTAGACTATCGAGTCAAAAAGTTTCACTCCAGGATCGTTCGGTATTCAGTTGTATCGGATTTCTATATTTGATTTTGTGAAAATGGAAACTTTCCCTAGACATTTCTAAATTGTTCTCAAATATTTGAATAACTTAAAAGTACTGCCTTTTTTTGAGGCCGGAAAAAAAATGTCTGAGATCGACCGGGAAAAAACATTTTCTTATAGAATTTGGCCCGTAGAATCCATAAGTTCAAACAATTTGAAGATTGGGCTACTAGAAGTAACAGCCCTTTGAATTTTTTTTCGAAATTTGTTTTTTGTACATAACTTTATATTGAGAGATCTAATCGAAAAAGCACGAATTGTTTTGGATTCTACGCACCAAAATTAATAAGAAAAAGTGTTTTCCCGAGAAATTTTGGTGCAGTCGATTTTTGGTAAAAAAGGAAGGTTATACACTGCCTTTTTTTGAGCCCGAAGAAAAAATTGTCTCAGATCGACCCGGAAAAAAAATTTTCTTATAGAATGTGGCCGGTACAATCCATAATTTCAAACAGTTCCAAGATTGGGCTACTAGTTCAAAAGTTACAGCCCTAAAATGGTTTCTAGTTTATAACTTTTGATTGAGAAGTCTGATCGAAAAAGTACGAATTGTTTTGGATTCTACGCACCAAAATTAATAAGAAAAAGTGTTTTCCCGAGAAATTTTGGTGCAGTCAATTTTTGGTAAAAAGGAAGGTTATACACTGCCTTTTTTTGAGGCTCCAAAGAAAAATTGTCCCAGATCGACCGGAAAAAACATTTTCTTATAGAATATGGCCTGTAGATTCTATAATTTCAAACAGTTCCAAGATTGGGTTACTAGATCAAAAGTTACAGCCTATTTAATTTTCTTTCGAAATTGGTTTCTAGTCCATAACTTTTGATTTTGAAGTCTAATCGAAAAAGTACGACTCGTTTTGGATTCTACGCACCAAAATTAATAAGAAAAAGTGTTTTCCCGAGAAATTTTGGTGCAGTCGATTTTTGGTAAAAAAGGAAGGTTACCTATACACTGCCTTTTTTTGAGGCACGAAAAAAAATTTTCTCAGATGGACCCGGAAAAAAGATTATCTTATAGAATGTGGCCTGTACAATCCATAATTTCACACAGTTCCAAGATTGGGCTACTACTTCAAAAGTTACAGCCATTTGAATTTTCTTTCGAAATTGGTTTCTAGTCTATAACTTTTGATTGGGAAGTTAAGTATTCAAATACTACGCGAAGTATTCGAATACTTCTCAACGTATCCAAATACTTTGCGAAGTATTCGAATACTAAGTATTTGTGGAAGTATTTGAGTTACAAATACAAATACTGCTTTCATAAAAGTATTTAATTACAAAGTATTTGAATACTTTAAAGGATTTGAATACTAAAAAGTATTTACAAAATCGAATACTGTCCAGCTTAAAATTTGAAGCCCATGGATGGAAAATTGAGGTTTAAAGTTAACTTAATGAGTTGAAAATTACAATTTAGAGTTTAACTCCTCAAGTTGCATGTTTTAATTTCAAGGGCTTCGAGTGATTTTAAGTCTACAACTTCAAAATCAACCGTTCTGGTTTGAAGCCTACTAAATGTTGTTGAAATTTGGGTATGGCACATGAAGATTAAATAAAATTGGAGGTTTCAACCTTAAAGTTTACAATGTGAATTTTTTGTTTGAATTGGCGGCCGAAGTACAAGCTAATAATACAAACAATTTCATTGCTTCTAAAAACTTTTACGGACAATGTCTGTAGTATAGAAAATTTCGCTTGGAGGATTGAAATTTGGAGTAAAGGATTTGAAGTTCAAACCTTGAGGTTAGAAAATTTTGATTTCTTAAAAACACTTTCTACATTTTCTATTTAAATAATGGTGAAATGATAGTTATATATAGATACATGATAAAGGGATATTTTAACCATTAATAGCCGTTTTCACCAACAAATTTAAGCGGAGCTTAGCTTAAGCGTATAGTTTAAAATCCATGGCAACGATCATTGAGACAATGGTTGCCATGGATTTTAAGCTAAGCTCGGCTTAAATTTGTCGGTGCAAACGGGCATAAGTGAATTAACTTCCACGAGATGGTTAATTTTCCTTTATCGTCGTGTATAATACAAAACTTTATTATATAGCAGAAGCCATATAAAGCACGGTAAAGCTTCTGACAATTCTGAATTTAATTTACACGTCAAAAATAGGAAGCTTAGATTCTGCCGCCGCGGTCGTGTCCATAGAAACAGCATTGATTATGTTCTGAATTTCACTATTTTACCACCTCCCATTTGAAATAAAACTGACAGATGCCATAGAACGCACAATCATCGCTTTCACTTTATCTACCCTTGCGGTTAAAGTGATCACTTTATCTACCCTTACGGTTAAAGAGCGACTCTTAAAATGTCAATCTAAGATCAGTTATTTACATCATTCTAAATACCGCATTATTTTTAATATTGAATTCGACAATATTTATTGTGCAGTACCTATAAATAAAATTTGTGTGTTTAGGGCTAAATTTCAACGGCCAGTATTGTAGGTCTCCTCCTTTTGTTATCAATAAGAAGGATTTCCAAAAATGTTTCACAAAATCTATTGAGTTTTTAGACATGTGCAGTCACAATAGCAAAACAAGCAAAAAGTCGTTGCTTTAACTTCTATGTTCACTCCCCACTCAGAAGGCGTTGATTAAAAAAATTACAGGCATTTTGTAGGAAAATGGTTTTCCTAGAATGAACTTTTTGAAGCATCAGTAGTCCGAATCAAACAAAATCTCGATGATGTCGATCGGCCTGTCGGTCTATCTGTATATACTCTCATTTTCGGCTAAACGGCTGAACCAATTTAAACCAAATTTGGTACACATATTCTTAGACATCAAATGAAAAGCTGCAAAGCTTTTGGGGAAAATCGCACAATCGCACATGTGCAAGTGTGTCACAATCTCTTAACCGGCTAAACGGCTGAACCGATTGGTAACAAATTTGGTACACATATTCTTAGACATAAAAGGGCAAAATCGGCGGAAAGAAATTTTCAGAAAAAGACCGATCGACGGTTTTTGTTAGTAGAATTTAGGCAACGAAGATATGATCTAATATTGTATGACTGATCTACCACATTCAAAATTAACGTCGCATTGCAAAAATCGCGTAATCATTTTCAATGTCGCATATGCCATCATTAAAAAATTATTTTTTACATCACAAGTACATTATTATAGTGTTTTAAAGTGATTCTCAATTTGACAACCATTTGCATTTGCAGGATTCGTTTTGCGAGAACGAGGACTTTAAAAGCAATGCAACTGGATAAAAAATTGATTTGGGTCACGTAACCTCAATCAAAAACTTGTATTTGCGCTAAAAAATAGATCTTTTGTCATTATTTTTCAACTTAATGGCACGACTGACCTCGTACGCATCAGTTACCCGTGACCAAATTACCATTATCCTAAATTCGTATCGTTGATGAATGAACCGTAAAGGCAAACGCTGACATGCAAAAATTCATAATCGCGCTAAATTACCTAAATTTGAACCAAAAATAGGAATAATCCCCGATTGTAATGTATCTACGTCGATTCAAAATTGTAGGCTTACAAAGGTCCAAGGTTTTAAGCGTTTTCGACACGTAAAGCGGTGGATTTTGTAACAAAGCACTTTCATAAGGGGATGAGGCTTTCAATTGCAAAGAATGTCTTCTATTCCTTAATTTGTTTTGAAAAGGTTCCAAATTCAAGTTATCAGGCAAGTAGGATTTTCATTTCGTTTACAAAAGTTTCGTGGATTTAGAATAAAGTTCCTTTATAAAGGGATTTGCGCAGTTCCGCCTAGAAACCAGATTTGGACCCATCAACAAATTCGTATACTAACCCACCAACTTTGATATTTTAAGATGGTTTTCTCTGTCCGCCATCTGTTACCCAATACCAAGCCATTACCTACATTAAAATAATATGGTTGCTCAAAGGTATTTTGTGATTGAAAAAAAATTGATTGGTTAATTTCCCGTAAATCGACCCCTTCACGACTGTGAATGAAGTGTCAATTCCTTATACAAAATCCCCAAATCCTCGCAATTTATTAGTTCCAAATTAGTTTATAGACAACCAAAGAACGAATTAATTGTCTTTCACCTTTGTACCGGTTGCCGTTTTAGTTATAATTTTATTAGCACCTCGTTTAAAAAAAATTACATACATAACATAACTTTTTACATTCACGTAACGGAACGTTAACTTAACTTATTGACCATAAATCTTGCTGCTTTACGTCACTTAAGTAAGTGTAATGAAGGACATTTATTGTAGTTTGCAAATTATTAAACTACTACGGATATTCTTATAGTAAATTTTTTAAATGGCGAACAATGGTAGATAATAAACTAATTTTGCTCACAATGCGTTCTTAAATGCACATCACCTTGATCCTTAAAAGCCTACATCGAATTTCTCAATAAAGATGAACAATTTTGTCATTTATACAACCTACTCAAAACTTAATTCTTTCTCTTATTGTTTCAGATTGAGGAAAAAACGACACTGTACGTACTCGACTGCCTTTTTTCCGTATTTATCATAGGAACACTAGTCGTATTCGTCTGGAGGGGCGCGTGGGTTCTAGTCGACATATACTTGTTTCCGGAGAATGAATACTGGTCAGCATGGGGAAGCTTAGTAAGTAATTGAAAATTTTGCGCACGAAACCCATTATCCCCCTTTCAGGTACTAGGATATACAATCGTGGCCATAGCTTTTCTGCTACAGCCAATGATGCGATGGATCTGTGACCGAATTTCCGGTCTACTAAGATTGCTGGTCGCAGACGTGTTCCTCTTTTTCTCGTTCGTTGGTACCGTCAACGTTTGGAGAGGAATTTGGAATCTGCTTAATCTATACTTCTTACCAGGTACTTGCTTTAGGTATACTCATTCAACCGACACTCACTCTCCCACTTGCAGAAAACATGGAGCTCAGCGCCTGGATCACGCATTGGGTGTGCCTGATTCTGCTGATCCTCTTAAAGTGCTCCAACACGTTGTTGGTACGCGGCGTTTACATAGACGCCGATGAACCCGCCGGAAAATGTGTGGTTTTCCCCGTCTACTACTTAAGGCTAATCTTCCAGAGGGAGAGAATAAAGAAAATTAACAAGAAATTCCAAATCGAAGCGATGAGCCGAAGAAAAATCGAGCTGGACAACATCAAAATCGACTGCTCCTGTGGAACGGACCTAAAAAACCACATCACCAAAGAAAACGCGCAAAATCATTCTCCCAGTCAATGATATATACCATGTATATAACACTATTTAATACAAATAATTTATTAACTTCTCCCTTTTGAATTCCCGAAAAGTCGACAAAATGTAATGATACAATTGGTATCGTTTCGTCCCACGAAGACATTACGTTAATCTGCATTAACCACGTAATACAAAATGAAGGTCAACAATACAGCGTCTCTCGTACAATAAGGCCTAAACAAATTAGCCAAACATGATTTAATTATTAAATAATGACATCCCGACGTGATTTTATACACAAAATTAGTTAAATGCGGATGCGTACGTCAATTTACTAATTACACTTAAATTTAATCCTTCCCTCTACAGATAATTGGCTTAATTGTTTCTTTTCAGACGCGTAATTAGCCGCCTGGATATTGAGATTTGGCAGGTATTTTTTTTTACCGGAAAGGTCATTTTATTGAAAGCAAGGGACTTGGCGTTAGTTTCGCCCGGAGTATAGCAAAGAAATCATCCCTTAGGAAACAAAATTGCCGCTATTGTTTGATTATCTAGGATTTCAAAAGGATGACTGAACGTATTGGCTCTGTATACAAATCTGTAGTTCCAAAGTTTTCTCGACAAATCAAGATGTCCCCAGCAATTAGGTACAAATGATGCCACCATTTTTTGACAGTATTATTGAATATTTGAATGACTGTGTCTGAACTGCTCTGTGAAACGGTCACTAAAACCGCCCCCTAGCTCAATTTAACTCCAACTCTTTCTATACGAAATAATTCAATTTTCCCAAAGCACGTCCAGTATCCGCCACGATGAAGATCTTGATGAGGAATTTAATTAAATCTTTTGGGGCTCTCAGCAGCCTTGACCACTTGGATTCCAAATTCCAAAGAATTCAATTTCACATTTTTATTGACCTGGCATATCCCTAGGTACTAACAGAAAATTTATCGTGATCCTGGGTCGTAATTTGGGTTCGATTAAACACAAAACTGATCATTTACACACGAAACAAATTTATTCTACAATAATCAACTAATAATGTTGAAAAGTTACTTTTTTTAACGGAACACCCCCTATTTTATTGAATGCTGGAAAGTTATGTTACATATTATACCCTTAACTTAACGATTAGAAATGTTGTAGTTTCGGTTATCCCGAACTACAATTTGTTTAGGGGAGTGAAGTTTTAAAGAATATTTGGCAAAGGTCGATCAACAATTTTCTTCTTTCGATAAAGTGCATACAAAAATTAATGAAAGTAGAAGAGCCTGTGTCTCAAATCAAAAGCTAACCGTCGGCGCGATTTAGTTTCTTTGAAAAAAATGGAACAATCAAATTTTGAGGAAAAAAAATTACAGTAATGTATGGATAATACCATTGAATAAAAATCTGAATAGAAAGACAACGCAATGCTTTTTGAAGGGAGTTTCTCCGTAGGTTGCCCTCTGGGACAAACTCCGCTTATTAAAAGTAACTAAATTTTAATCGAGGTTTTATACCACCTACTCAACTGAATCAAAGTGATTAGATTTCTTTAGATGACGCTACTTTCGCGTACTTATCTCGTAGACTGCGTGGGAGTTATAACAGCAGGTGAAGATCGTATTGCAATATTATCTCTGTATTTACAAACTTATGCTTACGTAATACATGTTATTATTTGCACACCTCTTAGGAAATGACGTCAAAGTTATCAACTTACAAGTAAATCTTGATTCCAACGATCTTACCTTATGTAGACTTTGAGATCGAAATTAAACTTTACTATTATTGTACCTATAGACAATGTTTTGGGATATTTCAGAATATGCAATATACTGTCAGTCTCAGTTGTGCGAGCATTTACAGATATTGTTTAATTGCTGTTTCCGTATATAAATGCACAAATAACATGTTTTTGAGACAAAATTTGGAATTAAGTACTACTTTAAACAACAACTTTAAAATTCAAATGAGAGAAGTGCAATATAATCTATTATGATGTGAAATGAAAGGTTTTTTAAATCGGCTTCATGAAAGAAATTGTATTGCACTTTTACGAAACGAAGACTCGAAAACGCCATGCCGGCACGTTTGCTTCTAAACCTTTTTCTACGTCTCTCTTGTAACATATTTTTGATATTTTTTAAATATTAATAATTACGGCACCTGAAAATACCATAAATATCAAGTACTTCTACAATTATTTATGCAAAATTCGAGTATTAAATCAAAAATCTGTTACAATAGAGGCATAGATGTGTCCTTTATCTTTACATCGGCCCCTAACAACACGGTATAGAATCCAATTTACTCAAAATGTTATACCGTTGAGTGAAGGATCCTTCACTCAACGGTTATACTAAGTCCCACACCTAGACACGCTATTCGACCCATATAATTTCTATTGAAGTGCTTTCCTAGTCGTATGCAGAGAACGGCCTCTTAAGTTCTCGAGTTTACGGATCGAATAAGAAATTTCAAAGCTATTATGAATTTCCATAGCAAGAGACGCAGTCGTCAATCGCATTCAATGGAATGTTTTTTACCGTCAAAAAATAAATCAAGAGAACATACATTTATCATAGGGTCCGTTCACTTAGCCCCCCATTAGCCCAAAAATGAACCAATTTTTTTATGTATTGTGCCTCAATTGTGCATTTATGCGCACCGTTTGTGCTTTTTTGGTTTTGGAGATAATCGAAAAAATCAAATGGGGGCTAAGTGAACGCTTAGCCCTCCCAAAAATTAAACTTTTTGATAGTTCATCGACGGTATTGCGTAGTACTTCGATTGTGTTTAATCGTGCTTTCATACTCATCGTTTGTGCCTTTTTGGTTTCGGAGATAATAGGAAAACTCAAATGGGGGCTAAGCCTGGGGCTAAGTGAACGCTTAGGTCTCATCAAAAGAAACTGATTTGTACAAACTATAGCTTTTCCGGGCGACTCATTTTCGAGATCAGAGGGGGAGGGGGGTGGAACTGGTTTTGTAGGTGTCATTTGTCAATTCAGCATTAACAGTCCATCTTAATTTATAAGTTCGTGGTACTCACAAAGGGCGATTGAGACGTCTGCAAGAAATATATCAATTAGTGATGTCAAAACAAAAGCTATTTCGGTTAAAAAAATGCGCTTTATCTGTACAAGAGTTGTGCACAATTTATACTTGTTTATACTTTTCCAGATTATGTCTTTCATACTGCAGCAGTGCAGCTTATGACCATACCTTGTGTTGTATTGATGATTAACGTTCAGACGATTGAAAATATCTGAATTCATCTTAACAAAAACTAAAACTTCTAATATATACAGACATGGAAAGGTAAGGATGTCATTTAAAGTTGGTTATACAGGTTATTAAAATGATGTCGTGCAGCGCGAGCGAGGCGTACCGCGCGTTTTATGTTATTTTCGGGCCGTCTGTCGGCGTCGTTCTACTTTTTTAACATTGAATAACTTGCTGTACCTCCATTTTGATATGGAATTCGAGATCCTTATCCATAAAAACATATAAATCGATGTATGACAGCGACACGTTAATATTGAAAAAATATAAAAACCCACCCCTTAAAAACACCCCCCACTCCTCCAAAATGCCCCCAAAATCGTTTTTAACTAAAAATTTAAATTCAGAAAACTTCAAAACCCTAAAATCGATGTGCTACATGCCCATATTTTTAAAAAATTTAATTTTTGTATTTTTTGCAGACATTTTTGGGCGGATTCTTAAAATAGACCTACTTAATGACCTAAAACCGCAAAAAAATTTTCACCGTACCTGAAACAATCACTACACAACAGTTACAAAGACAAAGACACGTTTTTAATTAGGTTTTCGGGTATGCCCTTTCCGATTTTGAAAAAAATTTTCAAAATTCCTATCACGGAAGGGCGCACCCCTGCTTCGACGAAATTTGGTGCCTGGCGGTTTTTGAACATAAAAATCACGAATCTGGAATTAGTTTTTGAAAATTCGAAAAAAAAGTTCCACTGCAATTCTTGGCCGGACAACGAAAATGGAGAGAATTCCACGAAATTGGTTGTGTACATACTGGATGAGTTAAGGAACAAAATTTTAAAATAACTTTTCAAACAAAAGTTATAGGTACTCGTTTGGAGAATGGGCCTTGAGGCAAAGTGTCTCTCGCCTACTACTATAGTGAATGATCTAATTTCGTATGTAGTTAGTTGAAAATGTCACAAATAACAAAAAAATAACGATTTAAGTTGCCCCCATTTGATTTGTCCTATTATCTCCAAAACCAAAAAGGCACAAACGGTGCGAATAAATGCACTATTGAGCACAAATGATTATTGAGGCACAATACGTAAAAAGTTCATTTTTGGCTAAGTGAACGGACCCTTTATCATATTATCATAGCATATTGTTGTCTAATTATCTTGTATCCAATAATTGACTTTTTACGTTCTGCAACAACGCTGTTATTATTATTGAATTAAGAACTTATAACTTGTTAAAAAATTAAGTCGGATATTCATCTGAAAACTATATTTAGACGATCGTTGTATCAAAGGTATCCAGTTACCGACATGCGTAAGTTATCAATGGCATGATGTCACCGTAGTCAAAACATTCTCTCTCACCTCTCTACTCATTTTGAAGTGAGTATCTCGGCTATATTGTATGAATTAAAAAATGTTGCAAGAGTTTCCTTTAATCACGTTTTGTTACTTGCCGTACGATACCAGCACATTCTAGATAAAGAATACTGGCTACCTTTTCTCCTATCTCACTGACCTTCTATTCAGATTTATTATTCAATGATAATACTATAAAAAATATATATATATAATCCGAACACGCAAAATTTGTGTATTTGTAGCATGTGTGTCATTGCAAAAGCTCAAAAGGGTGAAATTTTACGTCAATTGGAGTGTTTCACTTTCAGGCTTCCCTGGCAGGACGCTTCAGCGTCGGAAAGGTAACAATATCCGACCTCAAAAAAGGAGGAAATTCTTCGTTAGTCACGTAGATACTGACGACCGAGGCGCAGAATTTTCCGATGTTGAAGACACAGGATATATAAGGTTTTTACAACAGAGAACACAACATGCACCAATTTCTGAAGCAATCGTATTCCAGAAGGCACGCTATTTCTTCATAAGGATGAATTATTGCGAAGGACTAAACTTCGAAGCTAGTAGAGGGTGGTTTCAGGGATTCAAGCACAGGTTCGGCATCCGTTCGTTGAAAGTTACCGTCGAGTGACGTAAATACTGTGGAACCCTTTCATATCGAGCTGCAGCTTATTGAGAAACTTGGTCTTTCTTCGGAGCAAATCTACAATGCGGATGAATCTGGTTTGTATTGGCGCTGCCTTCCCGAAAAGACGTTAGTACACTCGAATGAAAGATCAGTAAAGATCGAATTAGATTTATGCCTTGCGAAAATGCGAGCGGCAGACACAAATTGCGCTTGCTTGTGATAGGCAAATCAAGAAATCCACGGCCATTCAAAAACATTCACCTTCCAGAAACGAAAAAGGTGTGTGGGTTAACCAAGATAACCGCAATGAATGGTTCCACCAAGAATTCGTTCAAAGTGTCAGGAAAAATCTTCGTATAACCAGAGTCTCAAAGAGAAAGCTCTTCTGTCACTTGACAATGCCTCAGCACATTGCACTAGCCAGCCATGATGGTAATATCAAAGTAATAATCCTACCACCCAACTGTACCGCCCCGATCTAATCGATGGACCAGAATGTAATCCAAAATGTTAAAGTTTCACATAGAACAAGGCTGTTGTAAGAGGTTCTTTTACAAGAGGAAGAAACGCGGTGTCGCTGACAGATGTTTTTTTTCATTTGCCGAATCCTGGACGCAACTCCTTCCCACTACGGACCAGGATGCATGGGAGTTAAAGCTTCTGAGAGGCTGACGAGGTGAAAAATCTGATCATATGGTGAAGCTAGTAAACAAAGAGAACCGTGCCGATAATCCGATAGGAAAGGCAAAAGTTGACAAATAGGTAAGAGAAAACCGATTGCCACTACATGAAGTGATTCTACGAATTCGGCAGAAGGCGGGAGTAACTATGACTCACTTTGGCGTTCCGAGCGGTAACGTAAGGTAATTGAACCAGAGAACTAATGTGAAAGTCCTCCTATCCTTGTGGTGCAAACGATTAGGTTGGCACGAGTCATAGTTTCGAGCAGCTACCTCCACGTGGTTCCCGCTGGTAACCTTCCTCCTTGTGTGGAAGGGCCAAGTGCTGCGAAAGGACTTACGTCCTAGATAACAGGGCCTATAGAAAGAGAAAGCGAGAAACCCGCTCAAGGAATCATTAACAATTTTGTTCAAATAAACCACTTTTCAAATAAAAAGTTTCATATAATATTCGATCATGAAGTATATTCTTGGGATGTAAATTTATGTGTGTGGATGATCATGATATCTACGAGGGCAGGTTGATAAGTCGTTTCAGGCAACACCACACATTAAACCAAAATTTTCCTTGGTCTCATATATGTAAATATACTTAGATGGGGGTTTGCAATAGCGGTTATTCTGTCTATTAAAAATTCCAGCACTTGATAATATTACTGTTCTGTGCTTGATATGTGTGCTTCATCCCTTCCTAAGAAACCAATGACAAAATTCGCGCCTTCTATGTAAATGTTCAGGTTTCAAATATTGATTCTTATGAATTATGATACTTATATGATTTGTATTTGTGGCGTTTTAAAATTATTAATGTTTCAGTCCTCGAAACACCAACATCTCTTACAATTTCCCTTAAAAAAGCTTCGTAATTTGCTTCTACATTTTCTACAACAGAGTGGCTTCGTCTTCAACGGTGTCATTTTCATAATTTTTAGGTCGTGGCCGGACAAATGACCTAAATTCAGTTTAATTCTCTTTCAACGTAAAAGGTGTACGCAGGGCTGTAACTTTTGATCTAGTAGCCCAATCTTGGAACTGTTTGAAATTATGGATTCTACAGGCCACATTCTATAAGAAAATTTTTTTTCCGGGTCGATCTAAGACAATTTTTTTTGGGGCCTCAAAAAAAGACAGTGTATAACCTTCCTTTTTTACCAAAAATCGACTACACCAAAATTTCTCGGGAAAACACTTTTTCTTATTAATTTTGGTGCGTAGAATCCAAAACGATTCGTACTTTTTCGATTAAACTTCTCAATCAAAAGTTATAGACTAGAAACTAATTTCGAAAGAAAATTCAAAGGGCTGTAACTTTTGATCCAGTAGCCCAATCTTGGAACTGTTTGAAATTATGGAATCTACAGGCCATTTCCGTAAAGGGCAGTTGATAATGTGCAATTTCATGTAGGATTTGTAGAGCAAATGTACTTCAATGATCCAGTATCTGGAATTGTCTTTTGTGTACGCAATTGGTACATTTGCGCCATCTCTTTGGTAATTCCTATACTTTTCCAAATTAAATCCTTGTTATAGTTGAACCAGTTCCAATGAGATGTCGCCACGTACGTAACTACCTTTAAAAGAACATTTAATTTATGCACTTAATGGCCACGTCCGACTCAATTTTCCTTAAAGAGCAGTTGAAAATGTTCAATTTCATATAGGATTTGTAGAGCAATTGTACTTCAATAATCGACTACACGAAAATTTCTCGGGAAAACACGTTTTCTTATTAATTTTGGTGCGTAGAATCCAAAACGATTCGTACTTTTTCGATTAGACTTCTCAATCAAAAGTTATGGACTAAAAACCAATTTCGAAAGAAAATTCAAAGGGCGGTAACCAGGGGTGTACGTATATTTAACTGCACACAATATAACTTAATAACAGCAAATAACAAGCAATTACCGTCTAAAAGTAACTATAATATTATATACCAAGGTAGAGAAGTCCAGTATTATTGCCTGCGCACCAATACTTCTCTACCGTGGTATATACACGGTGTCCATTCTTCGAGTGCCACTATGGTGATCTCGCTTACCTTAAGAGATAGAAAGTTGGCTAAATGGGGGCAAAGTTGCGAATTTCCGTGCTGAATAACCGTCTGGTGCCGCGAGCCCATTAAAAGTCTTTTCAATTTGTTTGAGATCCACCGGAAAATAGCTTATTCTTATAGATTTTGGCCTGTAGAGCCCAAAACGACCTGAATTTCGAAGATTGAATAAAAAATCCCGAAAAAATGTTGGCATTTTCTAAAACAAACATTGAACGCCTTTCAATTCAAGCGCTCGGTTTGGAAGTTTATTGTTTCGCGGTTTGGACTTTCTCGAGAGGCTTTGAAGCAACACCAAACCTAATGAAATTACCACTTCGAAAATCTGACAGAGAACCTCACACGGTTTTAGGTGCGTGTGGTTTTCATTTCGCGGCGCAACACGGGAATTTGAAATAATGAATCACACCTTAATTTCTTTTGATTAATTTAACGACGTTGCAGAAATGAGACATTAAAATGAAATTAAACTAAACTTTTTGAAACATTTACTGAAATTGTACAGTAACTCGTTTAGCTTAGTGTCTTCGTACCTCCTGTGTTGATAGGTAGGTATGTTTCACAACCCTTGTGAAAAACCTACTTCCACAACACTAAAACATGATAAAGCCGAATAAAATGTGAGCCCAGAACTGGCTATCCTATTCTGGATCTTTCTGGTTAGACGGAGAAAAATCCAGCGCAAATCGTAGGCATACTTTCCTTGCCAAACTAAACGTGAGGAAGGAACCGAAGAAGTTTCTTGCATAGACAACCCATCAAGCTTCAAACAAGTATTTTACAAAAAAATACAATTACGGTAACTATTGACTTCTGTATTTAATTAGTTGCTTCCTGTATTTGTTTAAAAGAGGTGCTCCGAATTTTCCACGATTACGAATGCGAAAATGACGGCAGCCATTCGAGACGATGAATTATGAAAACGCGAACTGATAAAAATCGAAATTTTTTACCCGGTGGTTTTTCACGTATAACGGAATTTCCAATTTGGCGATAACGTCCTGTACCGCAAGGTAGATATATCGTGTGAGTTAAGTTAAAAATCTTGAGTTGACTACTTATTTTCAGACTGATAGTACGTCCTCAGTGTCCGCGTGCAAGATTTGTATACGAAAAGTGAGAAAGTTGGTTTTTGGGTAAGTCCAAAATGTACCTACTCGTTGAATTAACATACTAATTAATTACATGTAACCTTGGAACGCATAATAAGTAGGCAAATTTGAAAGCATTTGTATCTATGATATATTTAATGTAATGGCACCAAATATACGTAAACGTCAAAGTTCAGCCGTTTATCATTCTGAGAAGATTTCAAAATCTTATCATTAGTACGTTTATGTGCATTCAAATTGTATAGTGTGGCTTGCTTTGTGAATTATTTATTGTGCTTAAGGACATCATCTTTGTAAAATAGCAACAATATTAACATCGCCAATCAAATCATACTTATTGCTCAAGCAGAAAAAATGTACTTACAAGGTTGCTCCGTGTTTATTTGGATACAAAATCTTAAACTGCGCACTGAGAAACCAAAAATTGGAAATCTGTACACGTACAGCAAACAATTTAAGAATTCACTTAAGTGTTCATTCATTTATTAAATGTAGGAGTGTAAAAGGCATTTATAGTAAAACAAACAAGAGATATTCGCACTTCTAATAACGAGTCACGGTCGCACCAACAGCGCTACTCAATAAGTAATTATAATGGAAGTTATTAATTAAAATTGTTTAGCTAGGCTGTAGTTTTTAAGCATTGAAAACCTTTCACGTGCGCCCAAATGGAGTATTCTTAGCTAAATACAAAAAAAAATAAAAATTATATAAGAGTTATGGCAAGAACGCAAACGAAAACGTATCTATATCGGTTAAGTTGGATATCACGACAACCACATCCAGGACCAGATAATAAAGCAATTTCACTACCACTATAATTCTGCAGTAGCCTAAAATTCATATGCCTTTGGAGACACTTGTAAAGCGTTTAGAAGGCCTGAAGCCTTAAATCCCTTTGGGAGGGCCCCTTAGAACCTGTCTAAACCTCTCGAGAACCCCTCCCTCTCCTTCTAAGCATAGGAAAGTACGCAAAAGGTTCTGAAAAACGTCCATACAAGCTCTGTGGAAAGTTCTTAAACTGTGTTATTCATTTAGAAGTAGACATAGAGATGTGCTATGTCTACTTTTAAATGACAAAATCCTTCTGAAGGACGCCTAATTTTGTGCAACCAAAATAACTAAATGCGCTGCCATTCTGGATTTTACAACGCATTCCAAACACTGAGGCAAATGGCTCCTTTTAAAATGTCACTGCTTCCGCAAAAGTTGAACGCACTTTACTAAAAGAATTCATATCTTTTTGTCAATAACTTTGCTCTTTAGATAGGGTGGTTGGTACGTATATGTACTTATAAAAGCGAGAGACAAGAGTAGTATATGCGTTTACGTTAAGATGAAGATATATTACACTCGGCCCCTATTTCCCTTAAAATTCTTATGGGATTCTCTTCCACAAAAACAAAAATGTTCATATCCTCCGTTAAAACTGAGGGTTGTTTACGTTGTCTTATGTGCCTCGCATTTAAACAACCACTAATTTTAAAGTGATCCGCGCAGAAAATACGTCTCTTACCGTATTTAAACTGTTACCGGCACTATACCAATTGCCAATTGTCTCTCAACTTCGCACACGAACGAAAATAAAAATACGGAAGCCAAAGCAACAATGTTCAAATTAATTAATGTGACAGCCAGATCTTCATTTGTTTTAAGTAGTTATTTGGGTTGCATAAAATTAGGCGTCCTTCAGAAGTTTTTGTCATTTAAAAGTAAACATACGGAAAAATAATACACAAAAATCCCTATGTCGAGTTCTAAATTAATATCACTGTATATAGGGCTCTGGAACGCACTTTTAAGCGTTAAAATCTGGTCCAAAACAATCCGTTAATCGATTAACAAACAAATTATTCAAATCCACGAAATTTCCTTGTTGATTGGCTATCGCAGGGTGAGGTAAGGGACCTCTGCACTAAAATGCCTTTTTCACAATCTATTTTCCTAAAACTGTAAAACTGTTGGTTTTAAGTTAGGTATAAACGTATTTCTGTAGTAACGTTTTCAAAGATTCCTTAAATTTATTTATAGAGCTTTTGGGAGATAATCGAATTCAGAAAGCGCCTTATGGGTACAGAGCACTCTTAAAAAAAAACAACGCCTTCAATTGCGCTGAAAATCAGTAAGAAGGCTCTAGAATTGTTTTAGACTATCCATTGCGTTTTAGCGCTTTCGAAAGGCTCTTAAGCATTCCTAATGGGCGATCTTTCCAAAACTTAATGAAAATGGGCGAGTCTAGGAAATCCTAGAAAGCTCAGGTTAGAGACTACAAACTTCTGAAAATTGACCAAAGGTTTGTAAAGGCGCTAATATTTTGTAGACATTTCGAGAGCTTTGTATGCGCGCTATCCAAAGCTAAGCAAACTAGGATGGGCACAAAATACTATAAAACAAATTTAAAAGACCCATCGCTGTGGCAGATCGTCGATCGACGTATTCTATTAGCCAGTTTTGCCTTCAAAATCAGTAAGATCTTATCTTATCACATTCCCTTTGTCGGTTTAGCGGCCAACGCTAAATAAAATCCTGTCGCGTTGTATGAAATATATTTACAATATACGGGGTGTCAATTTTAAAACTTGCAGTCGGCCATATTTTCCAAACTAAAGAAGATATTGAAAATCGCGCAAAACCGTTTCGGGGGTATCGAGGGGGAACCAGAATGACGTTATGAGTGACAACCCCCCCCCCACCCCCCTCTTCAAAAACCCTAAATGGCAACTCCATAGTTGTGACACATCGTTGGAAAGCTACTGGAAAAATGCTTTCCAGTGGTACCAATAAAGTCAATATTCATTAAGACAATTTAACTAATTAACAAACAAAAACCTATCGTCAATATTAATCAAGCAAGTGTTTGGCAAAGTGCGTCCGCCAGAGATTTTAAAAAGAGGAGAAAGTTTACAAAATAATTGCCTGTCAAAGAAATTTGAAATTATTTTTGAAATGGTTTTGAGAAAGCTTATATGGGATCATATTCATATACTTACTATACTTAGTACTTAACATTAATTTGTTATATTCATTTCTTTAAAAATGAATATTACTGAAAAAATGATAAAATAGTCAACTGTGTCATATTTTGGTCAACAATTATGTCATCCTTTGGATCATATGTATTTATAGGCATATAATATATACATATGTTATGTTATAACTATAGGTACAATTATACCTATTATTTAAATAGGTTTATTTTTTAATAAGAACCTGGAGTGTGGATGCAAATTCTCTAAAGCAAGTTTCAAACTAAATATTCATAAAGAGGTTGCTAAATGTGTACCTAACATAATATATGATTTCTGTTTTAAGAGTGTCATCTATTGGGTGGTTTACCTTACCTTTTTATCTAATCTTTGAAAATCTTCTTATGAAACTTTGGACAGTAAAAAAATCAAAAATTAATACCAAAATACAGGGTGGAGAGTGGACGCGAAAAAAGCATACCTATACCTTTACTTTCCTTATGCTTCATGAAAACAGACCAAAATATATGCTTTTTGTCTCTTTTATTGCTTCATTGTCGAAGGTGTGAATTATTAACATTTAACATAAGTATACCTACTTACCTCATTTAAAACTAATTTGGAATCACCACAAGCAATTACATCATATAAATAAATTGCATGCGAAAATAAGTCATATAAATTCCTCAAAAGTGGAGGGATAGAACACATAAGTTAATGTATAAACAAAAATATTATTTTTAACAACAGTTTTTGATTGCAGACAATGGAAAATACGCTCCTACTCATCTCTTCTTTGTTAACAATATGTCTAACACAAGAAATTGCATTTCCTGGTATAGAAGAAAATGAAAAGCCAGGAGAAGAGCCGCACAGATTATCGGTAGCTATATACGCTTTGAATCTCTATGTTAAACTGTTGCCATTTGCAGGACAAACGGACACCTCTAATGATTCCGGGTGCATGTCCTCCGAATCAGTTACTCTTCCCCGGTGACCAGCAGCACGATTGGATTTGTGACTGCGGACCAGGTGAGATACAAAGCTCTCGGTCAATACAAAAATGTAGAACTCGCAGGTTTCTTATATTACCCCCCGAAGGACGGATGCTTTATGGCATATATGCAAGGACCTTGCAACACACGTGAGTATCTAGTCTTGCCGAAGAACGAGGTCATTCCGGAATGTATTCGAAACCCGTGCCGAAAGGATGGACTTGTCAGGTGCTACATCAGACAACTAAATCTAACAATGTGATAATTAACCCGTATGCTAGGTACAATGGAAAATGTTACGAGCTAGGTAAAAGTGGTGAGCCATGCCCACCGGCAAATGAAGGTGGTGGAGTGTTCGGAGTCAACACAACAACGTTCGACTTGGAATGTCTAGAAGGTGAAGACAGATTATCTTTGATTAACTTTCCCCCAAACTGCCCGAAGGGCAGCAGGAGAAGTGCGAGTCGGTGCAGACCAGAATATTAAAGACAATATAAGAGCTTTTTCATTAGCAAATAGAATGCATTATTTTAGCTAGTTTATTCATCAGTGTCTATTTATTGTGTTATACAAATTATGAATTCGCTTTATAACTTGCAAATTAAGGTTAAAATTTGTTCTTACCCTTAAAAATAAGTAAAGAAAACAACACAACACCTATATTAACACAAGAAATAACCTTAAAATGCCAGACAAACAGACTCTTCATTTATCTAGGACTGAGGAACTCTGGATCTATACAAAAACCATAAAAAGAAAGGGTGGCTGGTACCAGTATAAACCAACCGGAAGCCTCCAACAAAAAGAAGGAAATATCATAAGGGTGAATGTGGTTGATTAGTTGCCTATCACCTAGGCGATTTGTTGTCCATCTGCCATGACATTTCTTTTAAATTTATTGTCAATCTCTAACAACCATTTTTATTATTCTTTTATATATTGTATCATTGTATATATACAATGAGTACTATTGCACCAATAAGTGATTCAGGAACAGTAGACAATCTTTCATGGGAAAGGGAGGATAAATCTCGATGACAATGACCAAAGAGAACTATGGGTACTCTTTGCTATGCTTTAGAATGAGTGGCAACGAAATATGGTTCTGGTGTATTAGGTAGGAACCCGGAACTGTAACCTCAGTTTAAAAAACCTAAGCCCAAGGGTAGAACAGCGCTAATACCTAAGAGCAAAATGATTGGAGGAGAACCTTCAACTCCCTTCCTACGGTATTATCATTGTATATGTATTATGGAGCTCTGTCGTAGATGAGCGTTTTCTTAAACTCTCATAATACGTATCTGTGCTCATAGGAACGTTATGGACCATATAGAAAACTTAGAGGCGACAGAGGGCCTCAACCCTATCAGCATGACAATGGAAACAGAAGCAAAAGTTGCTTCATAGACACGCACCAAACAAACCAGAGAATGAGTCAGATAAAGGAAATAAAAGGTCCTGATTTAATGGAACCACACCCGACGACGCTGCCGAAAACCCACCAATTCGGTAGCGTTGCTGAGAGCACTGTGAGTGCCACAGAAGCGCGAGCCTTAGTCTGAAAGCCACTAGCAAGATTTAACTTTGGAGGAGATCAAAGAGGTACCGCATACCTATCGGGAGATTCTAGTGAAGCACCCACCAAGTTAAACCCCTAATCGACATAGTGCAATACTAAAAGTGCGAGTCCCTATAATTTATCTTAAAACGTATATTAGGACTAGAAAACCGAACGTTATCAATAAAATTAAGTAAGGCACCAGACAATATACGTGGATGTATTGAAAAGTAGGGTCTGCTGTTTTTTTTTTCATTTTCATTTTTCTATAAAGTCGCCTTGATGATCAATCACTTTTTACATCCTGGTAACGAGTTTTTTAAAGCCAACTGACGACTGCTTTTTGCACGTCCTCGTCTGACTTGAATTTCTGTCCCCCAACAGATGTTTTTTGAGAACGCGAAACAAATGGGAACCACTGGGGGCAACGTCCGGACTGTAAGGAAGGTCGTCAATGATATCCCAGCCGAATATAATTAAGTAGGGTGGTCGTTTGATGTGACACATGATGCAAACACACTCCTTTGGTGAGCCTACCCCTTCTTCTGTTCTGAATGGCTCGTCGAAAGTTTCTTGAGAGCCTCGCAATAGCTTTTTGATTTGATTGTTGTTCCTTTCGGCATGAAATCCACAAATCCACCAACTAGAACTCCTTTCCTGTCCTGAAAACGGTCACCATAGCCTCCCCCGCTGACTCTTTGTCTTGAACTTTTTGGGCTTAGGTGTTTCGACTGCTCCTTTATTTCTGGGGTGTTATGATGTGCCCAAGCTTAGATCTTGTCCAGAAGGAGCGTAAAAACGCGCGAACATTTGGGAAGGTGAATCGTCTGTCAGTAGAAAATATTGACTTGAATGAAACACTTCTTCGAATCTTAATCTACGAAGGGGCGAAATATTAATAATAATATAATAATATGCATGCTCGTGCCGTTTTCATTGATTTGTCACGTGCTTTTGACAGCGTATGTCATAGCATATTACTTGACAAGCTACAAATGTATAAATTTGACAAAGTCAATCTAAAGCTTATACAATCATATCTCACTAACAGATGTCAATGCGTTAGAATGAACAATATTTATTCGAGCCAAGCAAGTTTAGTAAAAGGCGTGGCACAAGGTAGCATTCTTGGTCCACTCCTTTTTTTGATACATATCAACGACATGCCTACTTATATCTCCCAAACCGAACGTTGCATATTATGCTGATGATGCTACCCTTCTAGTTGGCGCTAAAAATTTGGACGATACCATCACTAAATCGAAGGATTTACTCAATAGAGCGACGATGGTGTCGAGAAAATAAATTGAATATCAATTTAAACAAAACCGTCCAAATGACATTGTCATTATGAGACCCCATAATACAGTTAATGTACCGTTTGTGAAGTTTCTTGGAGTGCAGATTGACCCCAAGTTAAATTTCGGTGCATATACCGATTATATGACAAAAAAGGTGTCTAGCAATTTGTATGTTTTGCGCAGACTGACAAATGTCGTCACGTCTGAAGTGTTAAAAGCTGCTTACTTTGCCTTAATTCAGTCTCATTTGTCCTACTGCATAATACCATTGTATTTATAAACGAATATAAATACAATGATAATACTCTGGGGTCATACTCCTTGCTGGCGAACTCTATTTAGACTACAACGCAAAGCTGTTAGAATAATATCTCGACTACCTTACAGATCTGAATGTCAACAAGCATTCGTCAGGTTAAATATTTTAACCCTTCCCTGTCTTTTTGTACTGGCTTGCCTTTGTTACGCTAAACAAAATATTTCCCTGTATATACGCTACAACCTGATGTACATACACATAATACTCGTTTTAAGGACAATATATGTGTTCCTTTCTGTTACTTGTCAAAAACTCAAAATGGATCTGAATTCTGGGCCAAACAATAATTTTATAACCAATAATGATATGATAGTGTCCAACTGGCGAAGTTCAGGTGTGGAAAAATCCTTACCTGCTCTTCCACTTAACCATTTAACGTTATTTACACAATCTTATTTATAAGGCAAGTCTGAATATACAATGAGCATGGAAACAAATGATGTACGAAAGATATAAACAAACAATAACTTCAAACTAAAGTTAACAATCACAGATTACTTAAAAGCAATTTCTGGACCTGATTTTTAAACTTTTTAATCTCACAACACTTAACATCCAGAGGTAAAGAGTTATATATATTACCAATTACATAAGAAAATGATCTTTCATACATAGTAGATTTATGTTTAGGAATATTGAGTAGATCCTTACGACGGATGTTAATGTTGTGAACATCGGTACGAAACGTTATCTTATTATATAGGTAGGAGGACGATTTATAGGTAACAACGTTATGAAATAGGACCGAGGCATGAAGGAAACGTCTTTTATTCATAATAAGCCAAGAAACCTCATTTAATTTATGTGAAATAGGAAAATTTCTTTTTATTCCAAAGATAATACGGAGACATGATTTTTGTACAATTTGCACTCTCTTTAGAGATATGATTCGTGAGACAGGGACCGTAAACTGTGGAACAAAATGTGAAATGCGACAACACTAAAGCATTGCACAAAGTCATTTTGGAATTTTTATTGAGGAGATGCTTTATACCTTTGAATATAGACTACTAATAATCAAAGCTTTATACTATAAATATATCGCAAGTTTGCATAAGCGCGCTGGATGCACGACTTTATATGTTGTTCAAATCTTAAAGCCCAGGTTTATTGCGTGATCAAGGAACTCTAATTGGGTACCTTTAACTCGTATATCCAGTTGCGATTTTATTTCATCCCTCAAATTTGGATTATGTTGTAATCCAAACAATAATATTTTAGATTTAGAAACATTAATATTTAAGCAATGATCAGCCGCAAAATTAACAAAGTTATCCAAGTCGTTATTGATAATAGTAACAGCTGCTTCAATTTTATTAATTTCAAAACTATAATATACAGTTGCGTGTCACCTGCATACACGTGGTAATTACAATAAAATTACCAATTAATTATTAATTATAATGCTTGCCCTGTGCGCCATTTGGCCACTGACTTTAACACAAAGTGCAAGCTATAACAAAAAAGTGGTCCTGCGTTGCGCCCTTTTGGCAAAAATCGGCTGTCCCTTTTTATTGAAGCACGCTGTATCAAACAATTTGAAAAATTGCCGGTAAAACAAGTTCATTAGGTGATCGAGAGATGGCGCAATTTTATTTCGTCTTTGTTGTCTAATGTCTGCTTGTCGGAGCTGGTTTTTGCGCTTTTTGTAATTGCAGTTGCAGGGAGTGAAACTGTGTGTGATTGTTAATAATTACGCCGCCGTTTTGTGTGAGTAAGTGTTATTAAATATTAATCTCAATAATAAATATTGCCTGACCAAGATTACTGCGTTTCAATATTAAACTTACCAAATTTGTTATCGTCTTTCGTAAACTATTTTGGGGTTAAATTTATAAACCGTTTAGGGTGTGTGACGGTTTCTGCATTTTCTAGAAGAGTTTTTAGCGGAATTGGCGGTAGTTTATTTAAATGGGGCAGTAAGTTTAATTTTAATGTAAACAAAGTGCAGTAGTTTTGGTGGCAATCAAGAAGGTTAGGTTCGTTGCTAAATGAGTGACATTCCCCAGTAGTTGGCGAATTTGATGGAGTGATTGCGTTTCGTTTGGATCTGGCTGTATTTAAATTAATGAAAGAATGGCAACTTTGGCACATCAAGCTGCGGCACTTTTGGATTTTAACCGTAAATTGGACATCGGGCTACTCGACAGTGTGGTTGTTAGTATGTATGCGGGGAATGGCGAAACCCAGCGTGTGGCTCAAGAGGTTCTCACAACACTCAAGGAACATCCGGATGCTTGGACGAGAGTCGATACGATTTTGGAATATTCGACAAACCAACAAACTAAATATTATGCCTTACAAATTTTAGAGCAAGTGATTAAAACGCGATGGAAAGTTTTGCCAAGAAATCAGTGCGAGGGTATCAAAAAGTACATAGTCGCATTGATCATTAAAACGAGTTCCGATCCCGAATCTTTGGAAGCGAATAGGACGTACCTAAATAAACTGAATATGATATTAGTGCAGGTTTTAAAACGTGAATGGCCGAAAAACTGGGAAAGCTTCATCCCCGACATCGTAGGGGCGAGCAAAACGAACGAATCCCTCTGCCAGAACAATATGATTATTTTAAAGTTATTAAGTGAAGAGTTGTTCGATTTTTCGTCGGGCCAAATTACGCAAACGAAAGCGAAACATTTAAAAGATACCATGTGCTCGGAATTTTCTCAAATTTTTACTCTCTGCCAGTTCGTCCTCGAAAACTCCCAGAATCCTCCTCTGGTGAACGCCACCCTGGAAACTCTTTTGCGGTTTCTCAACTGGATACCGCTCGGATACATTTTCCAGACGAAATTAATCCACACGCTTATTTTTAAATTTTTGATAGTACCATTATTTCGTAATGTTACCTTGAAGTGCTTGACGGAAATCGCCGGCGTAACCGTAATGAATTACGACGAGATGTTTGTAGTTCTGTTCAGCGAGACGATGGGCCAACTGGAAATTATGCTACCTCTCCAAACCGATATTCGTAGTGCCTACGCGATGGGTCAGGACCAAGAGCAGAATTTCATTCAGAACTTGGCGATGTTCCTATGTACATTTTTAAAGGAACACGGGACGCTAGCTGAAAGCTCGGCGCCCGTGCTGAGAAACGCCTTACACTATCTCGTTATGATATCCGAAGTTGACGAGGTGGAGATCTTCAAAATTTGCCTGGAGTACTGGAACGCGTTATGTACAGAACTTTATCGTGACGTCCCGTATAGCGGTGCTCAATCGATTTTCTTCGGGAATAACCGACGGAATTTATACCACGAGGTGCTTAATAAGGTAGGTAGTTAAGGTGCTCTAATTTAAATACTTTATAGCTGAACAATCTTATCGGAATAGAAATTATAAATGTAGTTCTGGTCTACAAGGCCTAGGACACGCTACTATCATGGTCCAAATAAAGTCTCTGGAGGCTGGTTTTTTTAATCTTAGTTAAATTTATCTATCAGATAAGTTTAATTGAGGTAAGAAGAACAGGCCCACAAAGGGCTCATTAAAATACTATTGACAGAAATTCAAAATATTTTTGCAGAGAACAAAAATTTATGCATTAGATCTCTCGAAGCGGTCTTGTTAAATGTACGTTTTTAGATGCCACACTTATTTCCGGGTTCCTCAAGAATCTGTATTAGGATCATCATTCCTGTTTTCCTCAGGACTGGATTGCTTTGAAATAAAACTTTGATCTATTTTTTTTATGCCGATTTTGCATGAACTGTAGAGGTATGACCCTTGCTATTTTTACTCATTACACAATTTTTTTTGTTATTTATGGTTTATTTATAATAGTTAAGTGGCCAAATCGAAAAACGACTCTGTTTCTTAGTTCTAACGACATTTTATGAGCCATTTTGGCCACATGGTTTTTTAGATGCAAAAAAAATGTGCTGAATCCGATTCTGGATGTTGCCAGGCCGAATTTTGCACTAGTTCACAAATACAGCACGATGGCGCCACTATCTATGTATTGTGTACTATTTAGTATTAAATTGTTTTCCATATATTTTATTACTTATATATACGTAAGAGTTGGTTAATTAACTTCATAGCTAGTTCGGAAAATGTAGGAAAATATATCCTGTGGTGATATATATAGGGTGTCCCAAAAAAGCTGTGAATTAATTAAATTAGTGTTTTACATTTTCCTCGGCAAATTTTGTTTGTTATTAAATTTTGTGCTTTTTAATAACCGTTGGTAAGTATTTAGGTTTTCTCCTACTATATATATAAATATATATAAATAAAAATTGCGTATTTTTTCCAATGAATTCAAATCTGCAATTAAAAAAACAAAACCACATCGCATTTTTCGGATGAGAACAAAAATGTGACTTTGATATGGAACACCCTGTGTATTATTACATAATATGACAGGTTATTAAATTCTTTATAAAACACTATAGCCAAAAAAAATTTTAAATAACCAACATTTTCAAATTATCGACGATCTCCTAGGAGGAGTGTATAATTTTGCGATGCCTGTCCATCTGTCCCGAGATCTGTTCTTTAGCACGATACCTCGAAAACGAATGGACCGCCAATTATGATGAAATTTTGCATTTGGATTCTCTATCAAATTTGTAGAAGGTTGTACCAGGTTCAAAATTTATTTATTTACCGCCCGCCAAGATACAGACTTTATTTACAAAAAATATTTCATTTTTTGGGGTAATGGTTCAGAAGTAACTTATCTAGAAAACTGTCGGTATTCAGTTGCTATAAACTTTTTAAAAAAAATAGTCCGAACATTTTGTAGATAAAGGTCTAAATTTATAAGATATACAATTTATATATTATTAATATAAAATTTTATTTTTCAAAAACAACTTGAGTTTTTTAGGCGGACGCTCTTATGGAAATTTACATTAGGTGCAGTGGGTACACAGAAGATACCAGGTGTTCAGCAGAGTTGGTCGGCTCCACTCCATTATTAGGCTTTTAAAAATTATTTTGTCAAGCATGATGTCACAATTTTTCTTCGGCAGGTACCTGCTTTCATTTTGAGTTTCTTCATACAATCTTCTCATCATTTTAATCGTTTTAAGTTGAGCCAATTGGGAACGAGCAAAAGTTTTCACGTAAGTGGATTTATTTTGTAGCGAAACTTGCAATATTACATCTAAATTTATAACAAACGAGGGTGAAATCGCTGCTAATCATTTCGGTGTCGATGTTGGAACTTCCATGAAACACTATTCGATTTGCTTATATAGCAAACGGAAAATTTCTAGAAAGATCACGCACATTTTCGAGAATTCCTGAATACACTATATTAACACAAAATGAAAAACACCATGCTCATAATAGTATAATCCAGGACTGCCGAACGTTTTTAGCGTGGGGGGAGGGTCTGTTGTTTATTTGACGACCAGCAGACGAGATCTGTTCTTCACTCCGACAACGAATTTAACAAAAAAACCATCGAGCCATCATCTCGGAATATGACCAATGTACAGGGTGGTCCAAATTGGACACTTTCTTATGGAAACACCCTTTATTTTAAGACAAAAAAATGGATTAATTTTAAAGAGAAAATCGCTGGCGCAAACAGAACTGGGGTATCTCTAATCGTTTGGTTGCAGGAGGGCGCTTCTCGAATTTACTCGATTTCTTTAATGCCTCGTAACTTTCTTATTATTATAGATAATTGGTTTTGGGCAAATTTTTGTTTGACAACTTTTTATGTATCATGTATCACGATAAATAGTTTTTATACAGAGTGTTTGGTTTTCCTTATATGACCCTAAACCACATTTTAGAGTTTTTGAAAAAGAGTACAATTTCCCAAAGTTTGATGTTTCACTTGTTATATTTATATTAAATATTAATTGCAATACATTTTATACATTAAAAAATTTTATTGCAGACATCTAGTTGTCCATGGCGAACAAAAGATTGTTTAAAATGACAATTTCTTGGTTATCTGTATTATGTATTATGACTTATTTGTTTTATTTACGTTATTCACGTTCTTTGTTATTTGTGTCCATTTGAGAAACTCCTCCTAGCGACCAAACGATTAGAGATAGCTGAATTCTGTTTGCGCCAGTGATTTTCTTTTTAAAATTGAGCCCCCAGACACTTGGGGTCCATTTTTCTCTCTTAAAATAAAGGGTGTTTTCATAAGAAAGTGTTCAATTTGGACCACCCTGTACATACATACAGACAGAAAGAAATTTTATTCTTTAACAGTTGCTTAAAATGATATAAATCAAAAGAAACGTAATGAACGTATTTTTACACTGGATCTGTTCAGCTATAAAGTATTAACTTTCAGTCAATTTCCCACTGTAAAATTATGTCAAGCACTTATCCACTTTTTTACCAACAGGTCCGGTATATTATGATCTCAAGAATGGCTAAACCTGAAGAGGTCTTAGTTGTCGAAAACGACAACGGGGAGGTCGTAAGGGAGTTCATGAAGGATACAGACTCGATTAACTTGTACAAAAACATGCGGGAGACCTTAGTCTATTTAACTCATCTCGATTACGCCGACACTGAACGAATTATGACGGAGAAACTGCAGAATCAAGTGAACGGCAGTGAGTGGTCGTGGAAGAATTTAAACACGTTGTGTTGGGCTATCGGGAGTATATCGGGTGCTATGCACGAAGAGGACGAGAAACGTTTTCTCGTCACGGTCATTAAGGATCTTTTAGGTTTATGCGAGCAGAAAAGGGGGAAAGACAACAAGGCGATAATCGCGTCGAATATTATGTACGTGGTCGGCCAGTATCCGAGATTTCTGCGCGCGCATTGGAAATTTCTTAAGACTGTTGTTAATAAACTTTTCGAATTCATGCACGAAACGCACGACGGCGTTCAGGATATGGCTTGTGATACTTTTATTAAAATTGCACTCAAGTGCAGGCGGCACTTTGTGACGACTCAGATCGGAGAGAGCTGCCCGTTTATTGAAGATATTTTAGGATCCATTTCGGCTATCATTTGTGACCTTCAAACTCAGCAGGTTCATACATTTTATGAGGCGGTTGGTTACATGATATCTGCCCAAGTGGATACGGGGACACAAGAAACTCTGATTGAAAAGTATATGTTGCTGCCCAATCAGGTAAGTGCAAGTTTTGTTGTACTATTGCTCTTCCGTTTAACCTGTTTTGTGTTTTATTGAGAATAATGTTTTTCGTTGGGCCGATTTGCTATTTTATCAAGAATTGGTGTCTGCTAATATTTTTCAGCTTATTGGTAAACTAGGGGGCTTTCCAAGTTGTGTCAATACGGAACGTTTGCAGAGAACACTCTGTATGTTTTTATATACGAGTACCTATGTGAAACCACACTTGAAAAATGTTTGAGTCATTCCATATACTGATTGTATATTATTTATTATTTGTTAAAATCAAGTGCTTTGCTCAATTTTTTAAAAAATCACGGGACATTTTTTTTAAGGTTTGACTAGTCTCACTAACTGTGTATCTTAATGTTGTCTCCTGTAGGAGTGACAGAGAATATCTCTGCGTACGTAGGGAGTGGTGCAGTGGCAGCCCCTGGAAAGTGAGCATGTCACAGTATCTTAGAGGGGCGTCGTCTCTTCTTCTGAAACTAGCTGGATAGTAATGCAGGTCTTCATTTAAGATTTTATTCAGACGTGGAGGAGGAGTCTAACGAGCTACAAAAGTTCTTTCACGCCGTAACGGCCTAGTTACATTTATGAGGGTCGAACACCTCATTTGCACAAAATAAAATTGAATCTCTTCACCACTGGCAAAAAATTGTCTTTTTATTATACCTGAATCACAATCTCCGTTTTAAACACTCAAATGCGTGCGAAAAAGGGCCTTTAAAACACACGTGCTTTAAAGTTGCTAAGTACCTAACGATACTTCAAGTATGACTTTTGAAACTGTCATCTGGATGAAATAAAAAATCCTCTTAGGTCGCTTTCTGTAAATGCAGAACATTCCTTTGACTTTTGTACCTATCCTTTGATTGAAGCTTTCACAAACGCGCGTAATTTAGGGTATGCTTCCAAATCTGTTCCACTTTTTAATCGCAGCACTGCTTTAAAGTTTTGAATGAATGCACCAAAATATAGAAGATTTAAATACCTTTGACATTTCTTTCATATATGCCAGCATTATGGATGCATTTAAGACTGTATTCGTAAGTAACTTCCTATTCATCCATGGAAACAACTTTTCATATTCTTTATAATAGGCTTTACTGGAGTTGGATTTTACACCTACTAACGTTTGTTTAGATATTATAACAATCGATTTAATGGGCGGTGTATTATCTTTTTCAACGGAAATCGTTTAATTCACAAAAACGATGATTTTTGTAAGCAAACGTCAAGTGACATTTCCATGGCAATCGTGAAATTAGGAACACCCAGCCCACTTAATTAGACATGTATTCGAGTATAACGTCAATATGATTTCATTGTATTCCCTATTTTTAAATTATACTGCAGGTATAATAAAAAATACTATAAGATACTCGTGTATAATTGGTCTTTAAAGCACTTGCAACGTTAAAGGCACTCCGCTTTGCGTCGTGCCCTTAAACTCGTTGCGCGTGCTTTAAAGACTTGATTATACACTTGTATCTTAATATACTATTAAATTCCATGTTGTATGTATATAAACATTTTTGTTTATCACAATGTGTTTAGTGTCAATCCATTTAATTCCGTTTTTTTTTTTCGTGAAAAGCGGTTCTCCAACTCCAAAATGTTCCTTCACATATATTTTAGCACTTGTAAATAAAAGGCCTTGCTACGAATCAGGCTGTAATTTGTTTATTCCCACATATAGAATTCAAGTACTTTAGCTCACAATTTGTCACAAGACCGAATTTGTTCCTCCACAGCAATACTCAAAGTTTATCTCACAATCACCTAAAACAATCCCGCAATCAGATTCGCAATCCCCCAATCTTTGTGACAATCACATTGGCAATAGTGCACGCCCACACATGTTTTTAGGTACAATCACATGCCACGCGGAGTTAGGCAAAAGAGTGATTGCACCTAACCTTTATTTTTTTAAATGGAACGCCCTGTATTACTTAATAAACCCCTAAAGCGGATCTAAAAAAGTGGCACAGCACCTTGGAGTAACCATCATTGGATTTGACCTATTTTCAATAGGCTTGTTACATAATAATACGCAAAGTTTGAACCGAATCGGTCCAAGCGTTTGGCAGTTATGGTGTTCACGGACGGACAGATGGACACCATCGACTTCCCTATAAAGCTTAGATCGCTTTGCTCTGCCGCTTAATACTCTAAAAATACAGCATATTAACTTTTAAAAAATATAAACACTAAGGATGATATTCAAAAAGGTCTTAAAAAAGATTTTAAAAAAAAGGTCAAACGATTTGATAAATACAACAAAATTTCAAAAAAATTTTTGAATCTTTCGGTTTTTTAAATCTTTTGAATCTATTTGAATCAATATGGAATTTTTGTAGTGTTATATTTTGGAAAAGTTAGTATTTATTAAAGGAGATATAGCAAGATGTTTCTTACAAGTTTCATTATAATCTGCCGATTTAAAATAAGTGTACGGGATCAGGTAAAAAAGTTATAGGACCTAACCTCATTTTTTTGTAGTGGAACGCTCTGCAATTTTATTCGAAAAAGAGCATATTAAATTCGATTTCAAAAAAATATAACCTACAAAAATTTAAAAAGTGCAATATTAGATTTTTTTAAAATTAAAAAATTTCAAAATGTTTAATTATTTTTTTTAATATTTGAACCTTTCTTAAATGTTTTCATTCTTTTTAATCATTTTGAATTTTTTTTAATCACTTGTGTTTTCCCTATTTATTGCGATTACGTTATATATTAAAAAAGAAAATGTTAATATGCTATCTTTTTAGATTAAAATATACAGGGTGTTCTATTTAAATCAGGTTAAGTCCAGCAACTTTTTTGCGGACATCATATATGTGGGCCACCCCCCTATTAGATTTATGGGATGTATAGAACTTGTTCCATTGAAATACTCTTCTTTTTAGCACATTTCCACAAAATAAAAAATGTACTATTGTGGCCACTTTGTCCGTCAGTCTGTCCGTCCCCAGTTCTTCTACTTTTTTCGCTATTTGGTTCGTTATGCTGTCAAGGTTTGCAGGAATTTTTTCTGTGCCGCTTACGAAAAAAGTTATGGTAAAAAACCAATTTTTTTTCATATATGCAGTATGTACCATAATTTAACAATTATGTCGTTTATTAACAATCCTCGAGATTGTATTGTATTGCTGTCTGTCTGTCTGCCCATCTGTCAGTGTATCTGTTTGTCCGTCCGTGTGCACGATAGGTTTTGTATTTGCGCAATCCATTTTTTATTTGTTAAATACTGAAAATGAAACTTTGTATGTAGGCTGTAGAGGCAGATGGCGACCTCGACTAAAAGTAAAACTAGTGCCGAGTCAAAAAATATGTTGGGCGCATGCACAATCGGATTTTTTATTTGTTAAGTTATTTAAATGAAATTTTTTATGTAGGCACCTGGAATAAAGGTGAAACTAATGCCAAATCAAATAATTTGTTTTGCGCATGCCCAGAAATACCCTGAAATTTTAGGGTAGGATTATTTTTATAAACTGAAATTGAAGCAGCAACGTGAAAAATGGATTGCACATGTGCAACGCTAACTTTCTTATTTGTGGCCGGATTTTTACGAAATTTTAACAGAGTTTGCTTGATGCATCTTACAGTATGGGAAATAAATGCCCTCGCCCAGCTCTGTTATTTATAAGTGGTTGTATAGTTATTATTATTATGTATTAGCCAAGAGCATTAAAGATAATTTATTATTATAATGCAATTGTAATTCACAGAGTAATGCGCTTTTTATAAATCGTTTACGATTACCTTTTTAATTTGTTATTTGTGTGTATTTATAAGTACCTATGTTACCAACTGAGAATTCCCTAATGGCCAACATAAATGAATATGTTTCTTGCTTAGGTAATGTCCGTGTACCTATAACAACTTGAGCAGCACCAAAAATCTTTGTCACTCATCCACATTCGTCTGCAATCATGCATAATTACATGCAATCACAATGCAATCCTCTAAAATCCGACAATCGCATTGCAATCCCCGGATTGTGGTCACAATCGCAGCAATCATTGGGTTAATCGTGGGGATTGTCGCAATACTGTCACAAAATTTGAGACAATGATATTCATTGCAACGCAGTTAAAGATATCGACCGCGAATCAATTTTTGCACACACTGGTCGTACGTGGTCGTTCTTGAAGTTAAACGAAACCTTCCCTTTTTTACTTGAAATAAATCAAGAATAATAGTAATTGCCTACTCAAATTGGTACGTACTCGCTTGCGAAAATCAGCTTAGATCAAACCTCGACTGGCGGTGCCCTAACAACCAATAGAAAACCAGCATTTCGTCTTTTTCAGCTGGCTCAAATAGAATGAACACAACTTTTAGGTTCGAAGAGATCATGGCAACCGCACTCGCTTTCCCCAATACTTTTCACGTTCGCTATGAAACAGTAAATATGACCAAAATACAAATTCAAAGCCCAATTTTTAAAACTGCAAAGCAACCACCTATTACAACGCCTCTTTCTTAATTTCCGTTTTATATTGCCATATTCGCCTATTCTCCTCTGTTTTTATTTTGTTTAGCTTTGTTGACTAGTTTGGCCATTCTGGATTTTTTGTATCGCAAGTGCCATGCACCACCAGGGTTGCTTGGCAGTCTTCAGAGGACATGCCTGTTTATAAGGACTTAAGATGGTGCCGGTCAAAATATCGACTGCATCCTTAAGTTTAGCTGGCATTGAGTGGCACTCCCAAGGGAATATTCTAAGTTTTCTCCTATATAAGAGTATGTCCGTGGTATTATTTTTCATAATGTTATGTAATAATTTGTCACTTTCATGGTTGATATTCTCAGTTTGAAATTGGACTGTTTTGGGGGTAATTATATTACAAAAGGAGGATTTTCTTGATTCGCCATATTGCGCCAAACGAAAAAATTCTTGGCTCTGAAGTTGTGTTACTACTAGTTCTTAATATTGACAAAATGTCTTTTAGGTTTGGGACGATATTATATGCCAGGCGAGTAAAAATGTGGAAGTTTTAAAAGAAATCGATTGCGTCAAACAGCTCGGAAGCATTTTAAAGACGAACGTTCGCGCGTGTAAGGCTCTAAACCACGCGTACGTCGTTCAACTGGGTCGCATTTATTTAGATATGCTCAATGTGTATAAAGTTAGTATGCGGAATCGAGGTACTCGCATAGATCACACTCTGAATTTGTAGGTTATGTCTGAAAATATTACGAAAGCGATTGCTGTGAATGGTGAGCAAGTAACGAAACAGCCACTGATCAAGAGTATGCGTGTTGTGAAGAAGGAGACCTTAAAGTTAATATCTGACTGGATATCTAGATCGAATGATCACGCAATGGTACTCGAAAGCTTTATCCCGCCACTTCTGGATGCGGTCCTCTTGGATTACCAACGTACTGCTGTACCGTCAGCCCGCGAACCGGAGGTTCTCAGCGCAATGGCAACTATTGTAAACAAATTAGAGAGCCACATAACATCAGAGGTAAAATTTGCCTAGTAATTGTTACCTCCTGATCATCTGTTACAGGTTCCGAAAATTTTTGACGCAGTCTTCGAGTGCACCTTAGCTATGATAAACAAAGACTTTGAGGAGTATCCGGAGCACAGGACGAACTTTTTCCTTCTACTCCAATCGGTGAATAATCACTGTTTTCCCGCATTTCTAAGCATACCTCCAGCCCAATTTAAACTCGTTCTAGACAGTATAATATGGGCGTTTAAGCACACGATGAGAAACGTCGCGGATACCGGATTACAAATACTACAGAAACTTTTACAAAACATCGAAATGCACGAGCAAGCCGCACCGAGTTTTTACCAGACTTATCTCACCGACATTTTGCAGCATGTGTTCTCCGTCGTGACCGATACGTCTCACACGGCCGGCCTTTCCATGCATGCCACAATTCTAGCGTATATATTTTCTTTGGTTGAGACTGGTAGAATAAATTGCCAACTTGGCCCGGGAAATGACAATGTATTGTATATTCAAGAGTTTATCGCGTCTCTACTCAGCGCCGCGTTTCCACATCTCACCGATAACCAAATTAAGATTACGGTTCAAGGACTGTTCAATTTGGATCAAGATATACCCGCTTTCAAAGAACATCTTAGAGATTTCTTAGTTCAGATACGGGTAAGTGGTTGTGTAAAATGATCATTTTTTCTGTCTCTAAATTAATCACTTATAATTGCACAAGAGGTTTGTATTTTACCGAGTAAATTTGGGTTGTTTAGGTAATGAAAATCTGTTGCCTAGCAATTAGACGAGAAAAACTGTCAACTAATAAAAATGCGACACCGAAGGTGGAGCATTTTTAGGTTGACAGTTTTTCGAGTTCAATTGCTAAAAGGCAACAGATTTGAATTGCAACAACACAAATTTACTCGGTTTAAATACAAACCTCGAGTGTAATTCAGCAGGACAATTTAACGAACAAGAAATTCGCATAACTAATCAATTACTGACAGACGTCAAACTAGTCATATGGGAAAGGATAATGCGATAATTGGTTCGAAAATGAATAAGTGAAAAAACCACTAGTGCATTTGTCGCTGGAAAAGTTGCAGGTAACTTTTGCCGCTGTCAAGGTGACAATTGCACTGCGGCTTATGCGATTTTTTATACATGAGTTGAATTGTCACTTATAATTGCACAAGAGGTTTGTATTTTACCGAGTAAATTTGGGTTGTTTAGGTAATGAAAATCTGTTGCCTAGCAATTAGACGAGAAAAACTGTCAACTAATAAAAATGCGACACTGAAGTGGAGCATTTTTAGGTTGACAGTTTTTCTAGTTCAATTGCTAAAAGGAACTTCGGCATTTATAAGGTCTTTGATTATCCGTTTGAGGTAGTATTTAGTTGGAATGACTTGTCGTGAATTGCTATTATAAATTGCGTAGCTCAGAAGAGCTTATGTTAGAAGCTCTAACTTTGGCTACAAGGGTCCTGGGTTCGAATCCCAGGTAAGGCATGGCTGTTTGTGATTGTATAGTGGGTTGAGTGGGAAGAGTAGCAAATTGCTAACACTCCACCCACTATAAAATAAAGGCAATTAAAAAAAAAAAATCCTTCTACGTTTCCATGCCGAAGCCAGGCTAAAGAGGCTTCCTTATCTGTATGTTTTTGTCGGAGAAAATGTGGGTACTTGCCGTGAAGTGGCTTTGAAAGCCAGGTAGTGAGTTTATCTGTCGTATTTGTTCGTGTGCTTGTCATAAGTTGAGTGGTGTAAATGATTTGTCTGACTGGATGATTGTTTTGTATAGTTCGTTCTTTCATCTATAGAAATAAAATATTTATTTATTTGTTTAACCAGACACCATACAGAATAAAAATTCCAATTACATGACACTGGGGCTCTGAACATACAGGGTGATTCCTATAGTACCTGCCACCGTTTGGGAGCGTGTAGGTGGTGCGTAGGGGAGTATTTTGATATAGGATACTTGGGGTCGGAAATCTAAAATAAGGGTGCCAGAGCCAAATTTACCTTCTGGAATTTCGCGCCTGTAGGTAGGCAACCCAACCGGCCGACGGTGCACACGGAGCGATCTCAGGCGGCGATGTGTGGCTGACACTTGATCAGAATTTTGTTTAAACCCTCCGCGTCTAAATGCCCATAATTACCTGATTTTCCTGCGCGAGGTGCTACCAGAACTTTTAATGGATGTTCCAGTGAACTTGTACTGGGACCACTGGTTCCAGCACGATGGGTGCCCTGCTCACTACGGGCGGCAGGTGAGGGAACACTTGGACCAAACCTATCCGGACAGATGGATCGGCCGTGGATGTGCGGTGGAGTGGCCTGCCCGCTCGCCCGACATCACCCCATTAGATTTTTACTTGTGGGGTGTGATGGAAGCGCACGTCTACGAGACTCCCGTCGAATCCGAAGAGGACTTAATTGCGCGCGTCGTCATGGCCGGAGAGGCTGTTGGCCAGGACATAGGAGTCTTCACGCGAGTTCGAGGGGAGTGGTTGGCTAGATGTAGGAAGTGCATTGAGAACAACGGTGGCCACGTTGAACACTTGTAAACGTTATTGCTTTTGACTGTCGTTTTCCCTCCTCCCTCCCATGTCGCTTCCTCGCGCTAACTCGCTCTGCATCGCTCCGCGCGAAACGTCGGTCGGTTGGGTTGCCTACATACAGGCGTGAAATTCCAGAAGATAAATTTGGTTCTGGCGCCCTTATTTTGGATTTCCGACCCCAAGTGTCCTATATGAAAAGACTTCCCCTAGGCACCCCCTGTACGCTCCCAAACGGTGGCAGGTACTATAGGAATCACCCTGTATTGTTGCTGGTTGTTGATTTGTATTTTATGTTGTTCCTCCATATCAAGCCCAGCTAACAATTTAGGTGTCGGCAACCGGAGGCAAAAGAAATTCGACCAAAGTAGGTGGAAATTATGTAATGTTTATGTTGAATAGGTGAAAGTAAATATGTTACCTATTAGGCACTGGTGACATATTGGTGAAATGAACACTTATTAGGATGCAACAAACTATGGTAGTGGTAAATGGTCATCTAATAGGTGAGGTACGTTAAAAATACCAATTAAGGAGTGGCATATACCTAACTTTGTATCACCTAATAGGAGCAGTAGGTAGAAGGACCTTATTTGTGCCAATTTGTAACCTAACTAAAGGGACGCTTGTTACCTAATTGGTAATATTTTCGTTCCATGACTTATTAGGTAACTTTGTTCATGTTATAAATGTAACCTAATAGGAGATATAGACCAAAGTCGAGAAAATGACTAAATAGGAATAGAAGAAAATTTCATAGACACCTAATAAGAGAATACGGTTACTTACATTTCGACTAATAGGTTGAAATAACTTGAATATTTCATCATTAAGTTTTTTCGACCTATTGGTCGAAACGACAGATCACCTATTTAGTACCATTTCACCAAAATAAATATATTTCACTCGAGTAAAATAATGACGCGAAAGTGCCGGTCTGTTTCACCTATAATCTGCTCACCCAACAGATGCAGTTAAGCCACTCCCAATAAATTTTGGCCAATGTAATAACAGACCCGTTTCACAGTCACAAAATTATAAAAACCGGGAAATTTAAAATTGCATATCACATTGTACGACGAAGTTATAAAGAGTTATGTTTTGAATATTGACCTTTCAACACACAGCAGTACATAGTTTCAAATTGTTTATTAAGTTCAAAAAGATTATTTTGTTCGTATAAATGATATTAACGGAAAATTGAGGCAAGGTAAATACAAAATGCAATGATAGGTTTGACGTTAAGACCTAAGGATGTCAATTCAGATACGGCAGTTATAATTGGAAGCAAATTAGTTGCGGTTGCGTGTGTTACAGATTTTGAAAATTCGGGCAATTAAAAATGTTCATTTAAATTTGCCGGGAATTTTTTGGGAGGAGCTTTACTGCATCTGGTGGATGAACAGATAATAGTAGGTATCAATGTCAACCTAACAATAGGTAATAGGTTGTGAATCCCTGGTAGTAGGTTGCCATCATAAGTTGTGTTGCAAACAGGTGATCTACCAAAAGAAGTTACATGCGGTCCTAATAGGTGTCGATTTAGTGAACGTAGGTGGAGTTTGGTGTTAAGACTTACACTTAATAGGTTGGTTTAGTTAGTTAAGGTCGAATTCCCAACATACTTAGTTGCGAATACACGTATTAGGTATACTTAAACAGACCACCAATAAGTATATAATACGGTATTTACATGAATTTGTTACAATTAGGTGTATAAAAATTGGTAATATTGTACACCAATTAGGTAATAGGTATCAAAAGTAGTTTGTTCTTCCAACTTGAAACATGAGGTCGAAAATATAGGTGCAAATTAGGGTATTCTACTTATTAGATTAATATAACGAGAAGGCAGACATATTTATTGGCTAGCGTAGACGGCCGAAATATCATCATACATATTTTTTAGCAGTAATGAATAAATATGTATTATACAATTAAAATCTAATTATATTTAGGTATTATTAATGATTGTATGTTTGAATAAAATACTTAAACTGCCAATGTACAACTATAAAAATGAAAAACGAATAATTATTTTTTTATTATTTTTATAATAGTTATTTCAGAGGGGCTTTGTGTTTTTTGAAGGCAGAAGATATATGTTTGTCATAGAAAATGCATTCGCACGAAATATTTCTACATAGAATTCATAAAATTAAACATATTCAATATTTTACATATATAATAGGTAATTTGTCTGACATAACGCCAGCCATAAAGTTCATAACAGTATTCTTATTGACTGTAGGTACTATTCTTTAAAAAGAGAGGATAATAATGAAGTATGGTTATAAGTTCAAAACGACATGTAGAAAATAAGTAATCCGCCACGTCGATTGGACGTAGAAAATTACCTAATAAGGTGTCTAGACACCTAACACCTATTAGTTAAATCACACCTATTCAACTTATTTCTCACATCGAATCAACGTGTCAAAAAACACCACTTAAGTCGATTCGACGTCGAATTTATGTTATACTGCACTTATTGAAATTGGTGTCGTTACTTATTTGAAGTCGAATCGACGTCGAATCACACCTCAATTGCTAGCTGGGAGGGCTCCTCTTCCTCCTTCTTTCCATTTTAGATTAAATCTTTCTACTGCAATTGGTGGTTATTAGTATTTTATTTATTTTAATAATAATAATGTGTTTATTTCCACCAAATTTTCACAGCTTGATGCTGGTTTTAAGTTGACGAACTAAGCCAAGTCAACAACACTTTTGAAAGTTACTGCGGGGTTTGGTTGGGAAATAGTCTGGTGTGGGTGCACATTTTTTAAATTACCGATTTTTGTGTAGTGAGATGTATATTGCGATCCATGTTAATTTGTTTGAGGTTGCAAGGAAAAGTGTGAGGTGTGAGTCCTGTAGATAAAATTATAAGCGGTAATAAATCCTATTACTTTATTTTGCTTCCAGGTTGATTTAATTTCAGCAGCTAGTGGCTGATATTTCTCCATCTTTTCATTGTATTTATCTTTGATGCTTAGATCTTGATTATTATTATATTTATTACAACTGTACAATATTTACAGTGTCGTCACTTACATAATATAAAATAATTATACCCTAAAAAATACAGTACATACCGAAAGATATCTTGGCTAACTGTAAAAAAAACAGAACAATCCCAGTTCGTATTGTAATCTGGAATGTACCAAGGCAAAGTAAAGAGCTCTTAAGTGCTCTTGCTTTACTATATTTCTGGTAAAATAGAAGGTTTTTCACTATTGGAATAATAGAGAGAGTGCAATCGAGCACAGTGTGGTTCTCTAATTAAAACAATGTTTTCATTTAGAAAATCTTTTCTCAAAAAATGTGTCAATGCAATAAATATTAATATAGATTAATCTAAAAGTACAGTAAACTTATTTTTCGCCTAAATAAAAATAAGTATAATGCTGAAAAACATTTTTTGTAATTGAAAAAATCAAAGTGCTATCAAAACGGGAATTATGGCACAACAATCTATAAAGAGGGCAATCTAGTTCTTTTTTTTAGCGTATTTTCCAACTCTGCTATGTATGACCACTTTCTCTGTACGTCCGTCCAAGTCCTTAACTACTCCTACAGTTTTCAAGATATTTTAGTTCGATCTTTTTGTAAAGTAAAGAAATCCAATCTGCGCATGCCAATTTTCTTATTTATGGAGATATTATTTTGAAATTTATCCATAGATGCTTCTAGTCAAGAAAAACATAGCTCACACACCTATGGCCCTTTGGGAAGTCCTAATCAATGCATGGAAAATGCGCTAAAATTACTCGCGTTAGTTATTAGTATAATTGTAATAAAAATCTTAGTATATTAGTAGTACAAAGTTGGGAATTTGTTTTCTGTTGAGCTGAAGAATTAGGTACATTACACCACAATCCATCATAAAAGCTTGCTTAAAATCACAGTTTTTTTCTCATGACCTATTCATTAATTTTTTTATAGGAGTTCACTGGACAAGATGACAGCGATCTTTTCTTGGAAGAACGGGAGAAGGCTTTACAGCAAGCACAAACCGAGAAACGTAGAGTTCAAATGACTGTACCTGGTATCCTAAACCCGCACGAAGTACCAGAAGAGATGCAGGACTAGCCCGTTGGTAAAAATTCGTTATTTAGGAATAAATTAAAAACATTTATTGTTTAGATGGATATTTTTGTATCTATGAGTTTTTACAAGCCGTGCAATAGTTTGTGTTTTGTATTTGATTACTAAAACCGAGTGTGCGCCACTGTAACATTTGATATGGGTTTCCTGTTGTTCGACCACAAAAATAAGTATAAAACACTTACTATATTGCACTTATACTGAGAAAGGTCATTTTTGAGGCTTTTGCGCTAATATGCCAATAATGAAAGCGTAGTAAACAATTGACCTGGTCTTTGTTTTTGTAACTAACTTTACTAAAAAAATTTGTATAATTGATCAGATATTGTTTTTTAATTGAGAGTGATTTTCTTTGTTAGAGAGTATGAATGGGTTATACTGGGTGTTGTGAACTTGATTAAAGTTTAATGTAATAGTTATGTAATGGATAGTTGTTTAGGTAAGATTGTTTATATAAGTTTTTCTTTAGTTTTGTTAAGGTTTTGACCAAACAAGTTCCCATTTTTGATTTTTTTTTTAAATAAAAATTATGCGCTTTTTTCACCAATTTTTTTCTGTACTTATGAATGTATTTATCTTTAATGGGCAGTCAGGTTTCATTGTTAGTTTGTTACTATTGTATGGCAGCGGATTTATGAATAATTCGGTAATACAACGCAGTGGTTACTAACCAGCGATATTTTGTACAAAATTTTCATATTCAATTGTAAAAATGTTATACTAGCTTTTAATACTGCATCTGGATGATTCACAATGCCTGCCATATGAGAAAAAATTTTAGTTCCTCGCTTAGCTAGTAGAACATTTTCTCACCTATTAATATTAATTTGGCATTTCACACCGATAATTTCCTTTAGTTTTGTGGCTGTAAATGGGCTAACGGTTGCGGTTTTACGAATTGCGTTTGCTTCTGTTTTTATAAGACTCCCATTATCACGACATTGCCCCCTATGAAAATGAGATAGCAATTAGTTACATCTTTTGTACAAATAGAATTCTGATAGTTTGCTTTGTGAGCAGTTCAGATATTTTAGAAATATAATGTATAAAACGAATTTTGGTATTTCAGTAGAACACCCTGTATATTCCAGATTTGAGCCTGTAACTCTTCGCATGTGTTTATTTTGGTAATAAATTGACGTCGGGGGTTTAGTTTTGACAATTTTGATTCAATAACGGCAAGTCATAGGAATAAGACATTAAAAAGCTGCATCTCTCGATTTTTATAATTTTGTTTTATGATTGCACTTAGGCAACAATACAATGAAAGGTACGAGTAGTTTGTAAGAGAGATTGGGATCAGAACAGCCTTTTTGGCTTTTCAATATTATTTGCTGAAGAGATGGTGATTAGCCCTTTGCCAGATTCTGGACTCATTTAGAATGTCACACACCAATGCTGGAGACACTTCTAACTGAAAGCAATTTTGGGGTAACATATTGTGATATTGCCATAAATTGTTTTCCCTCATACCTCCCCCGAACTAATAGATATACTCTGGATTGTCCACTACCTCACTAGTGTGGCTGTTCTTTTGAAGGGGGAGGGAATATTTCATGCTACACTCGATTTGGCTTTTATTACCTTATTAAAACTGCCTGTAGATGTTGAATATTTAATCCAATGTGACAAGTTTTGTTATAAAAATTAATACAAGCAACTCATTTAAAACCTAATGGAAAATCCTCTGTATTCGGCTGTAGCTAGTGTTTGCCAATTTGATAAATCACAGTGGTCTATTTCACAACCGGGGGATCCGATATGGGACAGCCAGTTAATCCTGAAACAGATACATTCGTTGAACCTGCGGAATTCACAAAAACTTCAATTTGGAAGTAAGCCAAGTGCCTATTAATTACTTGGCACTTACATTGCTTCAATATTGGGTTTATATCCTTGCGCAATACCAACAATTGTACCCTTTCTAGTGTTTTTAACCCATCCAGTAATACCCAGTTGTTCTGCAAATTCTCGACAGTGCTTCGTAAAGTATATCCCTGTTGAATATATACATTGCATACAGAAGATAATAACAGCCATACAGTACCTTGAACTCGTCCAAAAACCTCAAAATCTACAGAAACCAAAGGTACAACTCCGCCCATTTCGTATGAATTTACTAAACGATAGTATTCATTCAAATAATATATTTAGCACATTGATTTAGAACGACGCCGACGCTGCATGCGTCTATTTAAAACTGAACTACGCTTCCTACATTGTTTGGAGGAGTTACTTACATAATGTATTTATTTTTATTTTGATACGTGCCAATAAATTGTTATATCTTTAGATTTGTTTTTTGTGTATAGGTAATTGTTTTCTAATTGGTTAGTTTTTGAGGGTGGATGTGAAAAGTTCAACATTATCCAATAGGTAGGTAGCTCTACAAGGTACAGCTATACATACTTGAAAAATTTAGATATTCTCATGTAAAAGTTAGATATCCAAAATTTGGCGTTTCAGTCAGACGGCTTATACTTTTTATTAAGTTAGAGGAATCGAGGAAAAAAATGCCACTTAGTTTGTTTAAGGCGCCCAATACACAACGCACATTTTCACGGCGGCCTCAAAAGCTTTATCCTCTCAATCAATATGGTTTTGGATTTAATTACCTAAAAATTGCTTCAGATCATTAAAGAAGCTGATTACTGCACTAAGGCTTCCTTACTCAATTTCGTCAGGCGTTTGGAGGGGCCTAACCGAAGGCAGTTTGTCTGCATTCATTGGCATACTTCCTCTGTTTCGGCTGCTATCATCTTCAGCTATTTCTATATATCTTGTGTAGTTGGTACTGTAGTCGAAGGTGGTGGGGAGCCGTTAAGGGGTTGTTGTTCTTGCTAGCCTATAGATAAGAGCTACAGCTTTTGGCTGTGATGCGTTAGGCTTGTGCAGGATTGGGTTGCATTTACTGCCTCTGTGTGAGAGTTCCATTTGAGCTTTTGATCAAAAGTTGCTGCTAAATGATTCTCCTTGGTCCATGGTAAGGTTAGTAAGACCATCCCAGCATAGGTGCTTTACTTGCTCGGTCATTCTCTCCTCTTCACACAATTTTTTGATGATGTGCAGCGGAGAGCTCATGTAACTGGCAGTTGCCTAGCTGTGTATGTCGATTTGCCTTTTGCGGTTGGTTTGGTAGTACCTTGCTTGTGAGGAATTAGTCTAGAACCTTTTCCATCCCTTTCAACAAGAACGAATAGAGACCGATGGGTCTTGAGAGGTTCCAGCCTAGTATATACAGCGTACGATGTTAAGACTAAAATTTCAAAAGCACCATTTTTTAGCACATTTTCCAACTCAAGACGCTCCGTCCTTCTGTTCATCCGAGACCGCAAGCAACTACCCCTACAGTTTTCGATATATATTTAGTTCGCTCTTTTTGAATTCGGTATAGCTCTCTGGCACCTGAACTAAGCAAAATCTTGACGGTTAATATGTGTGCATGCGCATTGCGCAATGTCAATATTCTTATTTATTAATATATTTTATTGAAATTTTGACTACAAATGCTTCTAGTAAAGACAGACATATCGCATACTGTAAAATCAACTATCTTGTTTATGGAGCCATATCTTTGATATTTTAACCATTGACGCGTTTAGTAAAGAAAAGATAGCTTTATTACACCTATGGCCCTTTGAAAAGTACTAATCAATGTGCTAAAGATATATCACTATACTTGTCTAATTCACAAAACTATAACAACGCGAATTCCTGAATATTTGTATTTTAAAATTGAAATTCGTGGAGATCTTCATGATCGTAGATTAAGAAATATTATGGACATTCAAATACCTGCGCACAGTACCACACGTTACGAAGCTTCCTTTAGTTACCTCTCTGCCTATTTGTAACAAGGTTCCTCATGTTTATCGGTCGCTACCTCTGCAACCATTTAAAAGGAAAATGAAAAATCTTTTGAAAAGATATTCACTCTTAGATGGCTAAACGGTGCTTCTCGGTTAATACAAATGTAAGGATTCTACAGGCCACATTCTATAAGAAGCAATAAGACAACACCTATACGGCATGCCTTCTATACTGGTGAGCGAATATTTAAATCACAAGCACGATGTGTAAGCATAGCTATGTTGACGTTTGCAAATACGTTTGTATAAAGCAAGAAAAATAAATCTAAATCTAAGAAAATTTTTTTTCCGCGTCGATCTGAGACAATATTTTCTTCGGGGCTCAAAAAAAGGCAGTGATTAACCTTCCTTTTTTACCAAAAATCGACTGCACCAAAAATTCTCGGGAAAACACTTTTTCCTATTAATTTGGGTGCGTAGAATCCAAATCAATTTGTACTTTTTCGATCAGACCTCTCAATCAAAAGTTATAGACTAGAAAAGAATTCAAAGGGCTGTTACTTTTGAACTAGTGCCCAATCTTGGAAATGTTTGAAATTATGGATTCTACAGGCCACATTCTATAAGAAAATTTTTTTCCGCGTCGATCTGAGACAATTTTTTCTTCGGGGCTCAAAAAAAGGCAGTGATTAACCTTCCATTTTTACCAAAAATCGACTACACCAAAAATTCTCGGGAAAACACTTTTTCCTATTAATTTGGGTGCGTAGAATCCAAATCAATTTGTACTTTTTCGATCAGACCTCTCAATCAAAAGTTATAGACTAGAAAAGAATTCAAAGGGCTGTTACTTTTGAACTAGTGCCCAATCTTGGAAATGTTTGAAATTATGGATTCTACAGGCCACATTCTATAAGAAAATTTTTTTCCGCGTCGATCTGAGACAATTTTTTCTTCGGGGCTCAAAAAATGGCAGTGATTAACCTTCCATTTTTACCAAAAATCGACTACACCAAAAATTCTCGGGAAAGCACTTTTTCTTATTAATTTGGGTGCGTAGAATCCAAATCAATTTGTACCTTTTCGATCAGACTTCTCAATCAAATGCTGTGGGGTTCCCCAAGGGTCCATATATTAGGTCCATTGCTATTTTTATTGTACACCTCAAATCTCGGCAATTGTTTAAAGCATGCTAAATTTCACCAATACGCAGATGATACCCAATTGCACTACGACTTTCTCGAATGTAAGATCGAACAAGCGGTTGAATTCATGAATAGTGATATATGCAGAATAGTTCAAACGTCCGAGGATCATGGCTTGCACATTAATACTATAAAATCATCGGCTATGTTGTTTGGGAAGAGAAAGGCAAGGGAACGACTCAAAGATTCAGTGCGAATACGTATAAAGGACTCAACCTTACCAATTTCAAAGTTGCGCAAAAAACCTTAATTGGTGTGATAATGGATTCTGACCTTAGATTTAAAAAACAGGTGTCAGAGATGATAAAGAAAGCTTTTTTAAATCTGAGATTAAGTTTTCGTAACAGGCGCTGCATCAGTCAGCAGATAAAAAGTATTTTGTGCGAATTGCTCGTCCTTTCCCAGTTTAATTATTGTGATGCATTGTACGGACCTTGTTTGGACGCAGCCGATAAGTACAGGATACAAAAAATGCAAAACTCGTGTTTGCGTCTGATTTATGGTGTTAGGAAGTATGATCGAATCCCTCATAAATTACATGAGATAAAATGGCTGAATATGGAGAATAGGAGATTCGGTCACTCTGCTAACTTATATCATAAAATAATCTCTAGGAAGACTCCACGGTATCTCTATGAGAAGGTCGGACTGAGCTCAAATAGTAGGTACGCTGCGTTAATCACCCCTCCATTGCATAAATCAACACTCTATGAGCGCTCTTTTAGCTACAACATAGCGAAACTTTACAACTCCTTGCCGGACTCGTGTAAAAGATTGCCTCCTCTTAAATTTAAAAAGTACGTCCAACTATTCTTACTTGATAGTCAGTTGCAATAAACTCGTCAATTTGGTCTTTTTATATGAGCAAGTTCTCAGTCCTCATATCGAACCACACATTCATTAACTCGCTTTGTCAGCTCAGCATTCATCTATCGTCCTCAAGTTGTGCCGCAACCATATGCACACCAATTTATATTGTTTATTTAGAAGCCATATAGTCTTTCGTTTCAAACATTATATGTATATTTGGGAAATGGGTTAAGTGGAAGAGCGAATGCAGTTTCTGTTGATACTGCAGTCGAACTTCGCCCAATTAGCTACCTAGCATACAGAATTTGTTTTTCTTTTGTATCGTATGCATGTATTCAGTTGTGAGTAGCTAATAAAAGTCATTATTATTATTATTATTAAAGTTATAGACTAGAACAGAATTCAAAGGGCTGTAACTTTTGAACTAGTAGCCCAGTCTTGGAACTGTTTGAAATTATATGGATTCTACAGGCCACATTCTACAAGAAAATTTTTTTTTCGCGTCGATCTGAGACAATTTTTTCTTCGGGGCTCAAAAAAAGGCAGCAGACCTTCCTTTTTTTACCAAAAATCGACTGCACCAAAATTTCTCGGGAAAACACTTTTTCTTATTAATTTGGGTGCGTAGAATCCAAATCAATTTGTACTTTTTCGATCAGACTTCTCAATCAAAAGTTAGGTATAGACTAGAAACTAATTTCGAAAGAAAATTCAAAGGGCTGTAACTTTTGAACTAGTAGCCCAATCTTGGAACTGTTTGAAATTATGGATTCTGTTAATGTTTTTCTCTATAACACGAATTTTTTGTATTATTTAGTACAACCAATCTGTATTTTTCAGTTTAATGTTTTTTTTGTGTGTCATTTATTGCGTGCTGGTTAGGAAAAACAGCATTATGTTGATCCTCGCCAGAATAATAAAGATTATTATTATTATTATTATTATATTCGCCTTAAGTCCAAACCTTTTTACTTGTTTTGCTTGTTTCGATCTGGGGAATCGATCTGCTAGCGGGCTGAAAGTTATTTTTCGGATGGGCTGAATGTTACAGATTCTATAGGATTTCCAAGGATCGGAGAGAATTTCTTTCACACAAATGATTAGGATATATATATATGTTTATTGCAATAAACATCATAAAACTTTATTTTTACATAGAATTTTGGCACTAGAGCTATCATTCCTTAGTTTCACCAACTTAAAGTATGCAGCTTGCGTCAAAGCTGTAAACTTTAAAGCTCTGTAACCAAAAAACAACTGCGCTGATAAAAGTAGTAGCATCACTGATTGAACAAACACCTCTACGACATACAAATTAAAGTACGGATTAAATAGCAGAAGGCTCTGTAAAGGAAATTGCAAAAGGACGGACAGCATCCAAAACCCCGCCAATTCGGGTATCTGTAACAAGCATAGGTAGTTGAATTACTGAATTAGTACATTTCTGCGAGCAATTAGGTACCTTATCTCGTAAATTACCCTCGTAGCCCAAATATAAGCGTAATACTTCCGCAATTAAGATCGATACAATGACTGTGACCGATAAAAACTTGTACAGCTCCGAATAACAATCAAACTGGAAACCAATCGCGTTAATTAACAATTAAACCAAAACGACAGTTACATTTTCCTTTAAGAAAATTACAATTATCACAAACCAAACTGGGGCAAACACCACATTAAAGTACAGTGCCATTTGTAAAGGAAGATTAGACATAACTTCATTTTCTGAAAAGAAAGTTATAAATATAAGTAGGTAGGTACGTGTACTTCACTGAGTAGGTACCAATATTATCGTTGTCACTAATTTTGTGGGAGATTCCCGGAAACACCTTTTCTGAAACTTGTGTCACTGTTTCTTTCCAGTCCATTGTGGCTGAATAAAAATAATCAATGTGATTGTTTGTATAGGTACTAAGGGTCGCTATGGAAACCTCTTTAGTCATATCGCAAAAACAAAAGATACCTGGCTTACTTCTCGCAATGAGTGAGGCCCTCACTAATTTGACACAGTAGGTGTTTTAGAATATCAATTTGACACTATCTTGTAATATTGCAGGGCTTTCGATGTTTTAAAAGCGCAAGAGGATGATCATGATTATTTGACGATAATCAAAATTTTCGTGTTCAAATTCTTCAATAGCCAACGGGATGCTTTGGAAGTTGAAAGTAGTATAGCATCACTGATTGCTCAATTACACTGTCTTTGTTCGGAGTGGAAAACAAAAGTGTCTGTGGATTGCGTGGTCTTTAACTATTTGCACGATCTCGTCATGCCGCAGATTTACCAAAGATTTAAAACTGAAGATCAGTTTTATTTCAACAAGGCTTCAGAATTAAAAAATGTAACGTCGGAACAATTAGGAGCACCTGTCGAATGGACAATATCATTGTCGGCTGCAGTGAGTTACATTTTTGTTACCACAGCACCCTAACGGTGGTTTGCAGGTGGTGGAATTGGCGAACTTGGATTCTTATAAAAGTCCCTTGGAGAAAATGTGGTGTTTGTGTACGACGTATGACTTAATTTTTGCAGAGCTCAAAATGGCATTAATTAATGTAATTTCAAGACACCCCGGTCTGTATATCACTGCATCAAAATACTTAATCTCAAATACGTTGTAGATACAGACTCCAACATACCAGTGGTAAATAATGAAGACATCATTCCCATATTAATAACTGTGATTCTCCAATCCAAATTGGTGCACCTGCATAGCAACTTTTACTATCTGGATCGCTTCATGGGATCATTAAGCGAGAATGAACTATTTCGGTAGTTTAGCATTTTTCTTTAACGTATTTCATTGCAGGATTTTTTCAGGCATACTGTGATGGTATTTCGTGAAGCAGTTAATCGAATGAGAGAGCTATCGACGCAATCATTGCGTCCAGCTACTGTATCTCTGTGCCGGGAGATGGATTTGGTAAAACTGATTCAAATTACTGACGAAATGAATATTAAGTTGCGAGTCAAGGAAAGAGAAATAACGCCATATGAAGCTCAGCTTATCGAAGTTACCGATCTTATTGTTATGTCGACCAATCAAAACCAAATATTACCAAACGTCTGATGTTGGAGAGCATGCAGATTTGGTCTTCAGTATGATTTGAACGTTGGTGTTACTGCGAAGTAGTGGCATACTAAAAACCTTTCTGATTTTGGGCGAGATTTTGGGTATAAGCAAGTATGGGTGACCGCTAGGGAGTTGTTTGCCGTACCTAAATCTGTTTCTGTGTATTTTCAGTCAACGGGGAATACTTTTTTGACAATTCTAAGTGTTTTGCACCCTAAAATAAATAAATAAATTGCTCTATTTATATCATTAAACATGTTTTACTTTTCGATCTTGATCTAAAAACAATTGTTTTACATATTGTATTCTCTGAGAGATTGAAGCGCCGGTTTGGAACGGGGCGGTTCAAACGTACGATTTGTCTTGGTGGGTAAGCGAGTGCTAGTAACCAGGACATTATTCATCTAAAAGTGAACCCCAAGTGTTGGTTGGACCTAGAGCCCGCAATCATCATCAGTACCTACCTAATCCGCCTCGGTTTTGCAGCGAAGTGTTCATTTTATGAAAAATTTCGTTAATATACCTTTAGTAGGTATCTTTCAAACTGATTCCCTTGGAATTGCGCATTTCAAAATTTGTTGTTGCTAGCACAGATACCACCTACACACCTGCGCATGCACGATTCTGCCTAAAAGCTTTACAGCTCTTCATTTTATCTAATAATAATAATAATAACCCCCTGTGGGTTCGGGGATAGAATAGGCCCACTCTCGTCCTAGAGATCGTAAAAGGCGATCAATGGGCACTAAAAGTGACAAGTCCAGCCACATTTAGTACTTACCTGATGCCCACCTTTACTTTCCAACTCCCACATGGAATATCGGCATGCACACGACTCTATGCTACAAATACACGCCACAGATAATACTTGAAGACAACACACATAAATCATATTGGGATAGGACACTACTCACCGACAAAACTATCCACAATAATAGACCAGACAGTACACTTATATATAAAACACAAAAATCCATTTGTATAAGTAATAGAAATTGCCATTCCGAACACTATAACAACTTAACTAAAACACGTGCAGAAAAACACTGCAAATACACTGATCTCGCTCTCGAACTCAGGGGCGGTTTTTAGGGGGGGGGGGCGACAGGGGCGATCGCCCCCCCCCCAAACATACTGCTCAATTGTTTTTTTATTTCATTAGGTTTACATATAATAATCGAATTAAATAGACTGTACCTACTCAGCACTGATTACCACCGCATAATAATGAATATGGTGCGGATTTATGGCATTTTGCTTATACGTTAATTTTGAATGCAGAATGTAATGGTTATTAGTTTTGGATCTATACGTTTCATGAAAAATGAAAGCGTTTGAGCCTATTTTTATTTTGCCTTTTTTGCTTTTTTTGAACAACGGCGCTTTAAATGCTTTTTGTTACTGTGCTTGCTTTGGGATAATATTTGGCAAGTTAAGTTAATTGAATGTGGTACAGGATGTTGGGTATTCGGAAATTAATGCGGCAATAGATAGTTTAACAAAAAAACAGCTGAAATTGGGTCAAAGCTACTTAAAAAAAATTCCCGCGCACCTCTGCATCTGCAATTCTGTAGCCCCCCACCCCCCTGAGTAGATGTATAAAACCGCCCCTGCTCGAACTTAAGGCACAATGGAGAATGAAATCTACTGTTACAGTTTCCATTAGGGAATGCAATACCGGGATCCCGAAATACCGGAATCCCGCAGCATTTTTGCGGGATTAATCCCGCACATAAACGGAGCGGGAGCGGGATTTGCGGGACTGAGGAATTTGTCGACCAAGGGAACGACTCTGTTATGCTTTGTTAATGAAACGCATAACGGAGAAATTATTTTTAAAATAATTGTTAAACTTTTCCAATTTTGAAAAAAAATTCAAGGGGCTGTAACTTTTGAACTAGTAACCCAATCTTGGAACTGTTTGAAATTATGGATTCTACAGGCCACATTCTATAAGAAAATGTTTTTTCCCGGTCGATCTGAGACAATGTTTTTTTGGTGCCTCAAAAAAGTCCTTTTCCTTTTTTACCAAAAATCGACTACACCAAAATTTCTCGGGAAAACACTTTTTCTTATTAATTTTGGTGCGTAGAATCCAACACGATTCGTACTTTTTCGATTAGACTTCTCAATCAAACTAGAAACTAATTTCGAAAGAAAATTCAAAGGTCTGTAACTTTTGATCCAGTAGCCCAATCTTGGAACTGTTTGAAATTATGGATTCTACAGGCCACTTTCTATAAGAACATTTTTTCTGGGTCGATCTGAAACATTTTTTTTTCGGGGCTCAAAAAAAGGCAGTGTATAACCTTCCTTTTTTACCAAAAATCGACTACACAAAAATTTCTCGGGAAAACACCTTTTCTTATTAATTTGGGTGCGTAGAATCCAAATCAATTCGTACCTTTTCGATCAGACTTCTGTTATAGACTAGAAACCAATTTCGAAAAAAAATTCAAAGGGCTGTAACTTTTGAACTAGTAGCCCAATCTTGGAACTATTTGAAATTATAGATTCTACAGGCCACTTTCTATAAGAAAATTTTTTTTCCGGGTCGATCTGAAACAATTTTTTTTTCGGGGCTCAAAAAAAGGCAGTGTAAAACCTTCCTTTTTTACCAAAAATCGACTACACCAAAATTCCTCGGGAAAACACTTTTTCTTATTAATTTGGGTGCGTAGAATCCAAATCAATTCGTACTTTTTCGATCAGACTTCTCAATCAAAAGTTATAGACTAGAAACCAATTTCGAAAAAAAATTCAAAGGGCTGTAACTTTTGAACTAGTAGCCCAATCTTGGAACTGTTTGAAATTATGGATTCTACAGGCCACATTCTATAAGAAACTTTTTTTCCGGGTCGATCAGAGACAATTTTTTTTTCGGGGCTCGAAAAAAGGCAGTGTACCTATAATCTTCCTTTTTTACCAAAAATCGACTACACCAAAATTTCTCGGGAAACCACTTTTTCTTATTAATTTGGGTGCGTAGAATCTAAATCAATTCGTACTTTTTCGATCAGACTTCTCAATCAAAAGTTATAGACTAGAAACCAATTTCGAAAGAACATTCAAAGGGCTGTAACTTTTGAACTAGTAGCCCAATCTTGGAACTGTTTGAAATTATGGATTCTACAGGCCACATTCTATAAGAAAATTGTTTTCCGGGTCGATCTGAAACAATTTTTATTTCGGGGTTCAAAAAAAGGCAGTGTTTAACCTTCCTTTTTTACCAAAAATCGACTGCACCAAAATTTCTCGGGAAACACTTTTTCTTATTAATTTGGGTGCGTAGAATCCAAAACAATTCATACTTTTTCGATCAGACTTCTCAATCAAAAGTTATAGACTAGAAACCAATTTCGAAAGAAAATTCAAAGGGCTGTAACTAGGGAATGCAATACCGGGATCGCGGGATCCCGAAATACCGGGATCCCGCAGCATTTTTGCGGGATTAATCCCGCACATAAATGGAGCGGGATCCCGCGGGATTTGCGGGACTGAGGAATTTGTCGACCAAGGGAAACGACTCTGTTTGCTTTGTTAATGAAACGCATAACGGAGAAATTATTTTTAAAATAACTGTTAAACTTTTTTCGTTAAAAATTTACTATGATTTTTGAGGCACTTTAGAAGTTCGCCTTTTTGTGCTTTACAGGTGAGGTTTTTTTGAGTTCTAAGTTAGGCTGAAGGTACTTTTTTGTTGAATATTGTGATAATTAGCGATTTATTTTAATACAGAAGTTAACTGCACAAAATTGCTTATTTGCCAATTTATTTAAAATTTTGCGGGATCCCGCAAATACCGGAATTGAGATTTTGCTGCGGGATTGCATTCCCTAGTTCCCATCATTATTATATGCGTACCAAATTTGGTTTCAATCGGTTCTGATGGAAATGCGAGAGCACAGACAGACCGACTTGATCGATATTTTGTATGATTTGGATTCTTGGTGCTTCACAGCGTGTTTAAGTCATTTTTTACCCTAATGCAATATCTGCGAGTGGTAAAAAACGATTCAATTTGCTGTAGTATTTCAGAAAAAATTTCACGTGGTTTCCTTAGTAAAAAACTGTTAGCTCTTAGCGGCTCAACAGCTTTTCCTGTCGATAGCGTTATCCTCTTTGAAACCACTTCAGTAAATCCTTTGCCAAACTAATTCTTTGGAGCGTTTATGCATTAACCCTTTGTTTTTAGGATGTGAGGTATTAAATGCAAAAATGTACCTAATAAAGTTTAATATCAAAATGTATTATAATTTTATTTGCCGCTTAAAAATATTTCCACAGCCATCTTGGGCGTATAAAATAACATCCTCATCAAAGCCAGCCGCCCTAACTGGAATTTGAAACGAAAATTTCAGCACTTTCCCTCCAAATACCCACGCTTTAAGCACCATTTCGTCGTCTTTCCGTCGAATTTCAATAACTCTTATACCGACAATTGATCTGACAACATTACTAGCTGAATCATAGCAAATGGACACTTGTCTAGAGCTGTCTACGTTCTGGAACCACCTAAAAAAGAAATTAAGTATGGTAGCAGGAACGCGGTTACTGTACTTGTGGTAGTAGATGATAAATAGGGCACTTTTTGACCATCCAGAATAATCTGGTGTAATTTGGGAAGCGTCTGTGCAACGGTAATCGCAAAACCGCTGTTCGTTAGCGACCGCCAAAAACACATCGTCAATTTGTCCAAAGTTAGGTCCCATTATGCCAGCCTCGGAGTGGCCCAAATCGAAGGTATGGCACAATTCGTGAAGTACCGCCCCCAAGCTGGCGATGAAGCAACCGCCCCAAGTGTCGCGCGAATTGCTATAGTTCATTAATTTAGTTTTATCCACTAAAGTATTCTTGCACAGTTTTCCGTACACGCCATCCAAAGTTTCAGGCCACGTGTACAGGCAGCCAGTGCTGAGCAAGGCTAACCCATCACCTCCATACGCGACATAACCCTTAACCAACTTAAGCATCTCCTTGTACGGCATACCTTCGTAGTAACCTTCCCCATTGTAAACACTGCAAGATAGAAACGCAAGGTACTTTCTGTTGTCACTACCAATACCCGAGGACATAATTTCACGCGCGAAATGATACCACAACTCCACTTGTGTCATACTCAGCGCGTTCTCCACGTTTAGCTTACTATGCCATGTGAGACAATCGACCTCCATTTCGTAAGACCTCCTCTCCATCCCAACCTTAGCGAACTTATAACCGAAAACGCTCTGCAGCAGCTTGCAGACCGCTGTGATTCGCTTACATGCACTTTCTGGCGAGTTTACTTCACCGGGAGGCGCCTGGAACCTGCCATCGTGGCCCTCGCAAACAATGTATAAAGGCAAAACAGTGAAACTGGACTTACGTCGTTTGTAGTGCAGCTTTACACTAATGGAGAAAGAGCAATATTTAAAGGTAAACTCGTTACTGCCAGCGTTCAATTGCAGAATACATTTAAAAGAATTGTCTCTTGTATTTGTCTCAATGCCCCTTTGGGGCTCACCTGTCGCGAAAACGGAAATTTGAGAAGTGCAGGTCTCGGCGTTTTCGATGAGACCACTGCAAATGATTGCTGAGTAGGTGAAGGAGTCTCCATCGCTTAGGTTGTCTAATGTTATAGTGTGATTGCAAGTTGGTGTTTGGTCATGCTTGAAAGACTGAAAACAAATAAATTAAAATTACACTTTCGATACAAATAAATTACCAATGTTCTATATTAATAAATTTTGACGTCATAAGCAGGGTTTTTTTCTTTTACTAATTTTTTTGATATAAAATACATAAATCCAGAATCTTTTTTTGCAAAATATGTACCTATATATTTAGTAAATATCTACTATAAAGTCCCTCTACTCCCCTCCCCCCTCAATCCTCTTTATCCTTGGTGATTGTACCTCTTTTCGAATATGTTGCAGTACAATACACAGTATATCAAACTATGTACATATAAAACTTTCTATTAAACAAATCAAATACCAAAAAAATATTGGATGCAGCTACATTTCTTGAACAAATTAATCTCTGGATTCGAATTCCATAATTAAATATGAATGAGAAAAGCATAGACATTATACCATTGTATATGTATATACAATGATTATACATATGCATAATGCAAGCATTGATCGAATCAATCCTTGTGTTGCACTCTATTGAGTAAAATTATAACTACCAAAAGGTTATATTTATAAATTTTGTATAACTGCATCATTATTATTTAGTAAATTTAAAGTATGGGGTCACTATTCTCGTGTTTAATAACTAGGCATAATGAAATAAAATAATGTGAAGTAACATACCATTAAAACTACATATAGAATGTAATTGATGAAGAAACTGTACGCTCGCAGAGTAACTGTGACTCTTTTTCGTCCCTAGATGGCGGGTATTGTCTCGATAGACCGTTTATGCATTGATTACGTTTTCTCTATACATCAACTTACCTTTTTACATGCACAGTATATGTACTACCTTACGTCCCATACTCAATAACGCTGATGACAACGGACCCAAAGATTTGACGGTGTGACTATACAAATATTTCAAATAAGTTGAAATTTATTTCACATACTTAATAGTACCTATAGTGACGAATAATAAAAACTTGACAAAAAATGAAAACAAAATCTGTCATAATATGTCTACATGTATTGAAATAAATAATTATATCAACTAATAAAAAGATTCGTTCAAAAAGGGCCTTTTTAGTAAACCCAGTCGGCGATGGATGAAGCTTTCCAAATTATCGTATTTAAATTCTATAAAGTATTGTTTTCATAATGGTTTCCGGAAGCCTTCGTCGGAATATAGGTAGGGTTTTTGTTGTACAGATAGCTGACCTAAGAATTACGCAGTTTCTGAAATCACCACTACGGCACTACGCATTTAAAAATACACTCTCGGTCGTTGCGTGTTTACT